CCTATTCTGCTCCCCACCAACAAATTCCTCTTTATTTCCACAGACATTCTTCTTAGCAACCGATGTAAAACCAAATAAGTTTAAAAAGCTCTTTCCTACAAAATGAAGGACTGTGAAAAGACGAAATAAACAAACACGATCTTCGTAAAAGCCAGCCATGTTGCCTTAGGTCGCACGTCTCCAAAGTTGTCGTTTTCATCACAAACACTTAAAAACGAGGTAAGCACATGACAAATCTTTTGCGAATCGACTTCGGGTGAGACTGATCGACTTTACTAATGACGAGTCGAGTCGACCAGTGCGAATCGTTTCTTTTCGTCAACATTGAATTTAACGCTAAAGTATCAATTGTCTTCATTTGCGAATCGACTTTCGGTGAGACGGATCGACATATCAAACTCTTTCCCCAGCGCGACGAACATTTGTTTTTCTCGGTTCCAGGTGTACGCGACCACTAAGCCTTCGTGATGCATAAACATGCTCTCTGTTGCGAATTTTCAAAATGGCGGACAGGCTAAAGAGGGAAATAAAAAAAGCAAAGCGATTTTTCAACAAATACTTGACATAAACCCCCGTTAGAAAGGCGAATCCACAATAGAAAGATACAAAACTGTATGATATTGAGATCAGGGGGGTTGACAAAATCAACAAGAGAGGTTGAAAATTCATGACGTTGGCTATAGCACATGCTTCGATGAATGGACACCCTTGAGGGCCGATAGAGGATCTGGATATTTTCCGTTTGTTCGCAGCGAAAAGCTGTTCATTCCCTCGGAAAACTCTCTAGAGGATAGAAAAGAATCGTTCCATGGCCAACTTGCTCGTGAAATAAAGAAAAAGCTTTGGTCTGGACGGCGAGAGGACCCTGATATAAACATAGACCTTAATGTTGACCAAGATGTTTTCATGGAAGGTGTTGGGAGTGTTTTGCCCGGCGTTCTTCAACGAGGGAAGATAGTTTACCAATCGGAGTCAAATAGGGTGCTTGATTCATATCTGGGGCTGAAGTGGGATGAAAGAATTTTAAATGTAGCTGAAGATTTTGCCTATGTAATTCCAGGAACTATTTAGTATCGGCTGGGACAAAGAAGTCCAATCATTGAATACGAGCTCATCGTTGTAGGTGTTCTTAAACCCTTTCATAACCTGCTGCCTCCAGGAACTGAATCCTGTTTTTCTTCAGAAACAGTTGTTTGAGGGCATCAACCCCTTTGTGAATTGTGGATCTGAAGAAATCTTTAGAAGCTCTATTATTGTATTTTTCCAAGCCTTGCTGTGTGTAATATGCTATGTTCTGATAAAGTGACAGGAACTCAGGAACATGATAACATAGTGCATGCATGTAGGGAGTGACATCTTTTGCTTGGTAAATGTTTGTGTTTCACAGGGAACACGCCATTTTGAAAAAAACTAAACCACGTTTATTTGATTGACAGTTTATACAAACCGGAAACTATGGCGAACACCGGAAGTTCGCGTATCGTGAAACAGTAAACTTTGAGAAAGTGCTCAAACCATGATTTGCTATTTCTTTGCAGTTCAAGAATACCCTCTTCAGATGTAAAATCTAGCCTCAAATCACCAATTATGTCCATAAATTTAGCCCAGATCACTTGTATGTCTTTGTTTTGACAAGCATAGGTCAGAATTTTTATATTCTGAAAGAGTTTCAACTTTTCTGGTTCAGTAAGATCTCTATATTCCAGCTTTTTGCTCTCTTTGTTGATTCTAAAATTAAAAGTGATTCCCATACTTTTGATAAATTCTTCATAACATGCCATGTGTTTATATTTATCTCTTGGGAATCTATCAGAGGTTTTTTTTCTTGTAAACAAGTTAATCAAAACATCTGAAATCCTCAGAAAAAAAATGTAATATATCTATGATGACAAGGTCCATAGGTATAAAATCAAATAATGGTTGTGCCTTACAGTTTAATTTCCTTCCAGTGGAAAACCTTGCTATTTCGGTGACAGTTCTAGCACCAAATTTGGGGTCATTAATTGACCATGTTTTGCTTGTGTCCCACCATTGCTCCCTGGGACACTTGCACCACACACAAGCATAATCCTCATTTGCCCTGCCTAAACCACATACCAGTGCTAAAAATTTCAAATCTCCACCTAAAAAGTATTCAATTTTATAGGTGCAATTATTTGCACTTATCTCCTTTAAGTTTGACATTTCCATTTGAAGGTCTGCTAGGCTGTCTCTCAGATTATGATATGTCTCTGTAGTTTTTATAACAGCAAGTACATAATTTCCCTTCTCAGCCATTGCCACATCCTTTTCATTGAGAATAGTAAATGTGAAGTTGACAACTGTAAGCCGCTTTCCAATATTTGTACCATCACCGCTAAGCTTGATCTTAATAGTTTCTCCATCATTGATTTCTCCATTCTTCTGAAGCCTAACAATGTGCTCTTGCAAACTTTCTGCAAATCCTAACTGAACACCTTCAGCATCTCCTGGTGTTGGTTTCAAGTTCCATTTACTGTTTAGCTCATTAATTCGCTTCTTGATGGAATATGTATTGGGGAGACCATTAGCCTTAGTGGCAATTTCATGCCAGGCCTCATTTGAAATATTGAATTTATCTTTGAGGTAGAGCCACATATTTATGTTATCAATGTCATAATTATCAAGGGCCTTTGGGTCAGACTCTGTAAATGGTAGCTCTCCCTCTCCAACAAGATTGAAAGTTTCATATTGATTAGTCTCAGTGTTGAGGACTTCAATTTTGGTTGCAACAAAATTGTACAGCCCAAGAAAAGAGAGTGTAGTTTGGCACTCGTCCTTCAGTTGGTTTTTAATTCTCTTTTGATGGTGCTTAGAATAGTCATAAAACTTCTTCTTAGCAGGGCCTCTACCTTTTTTCCCATTTTCAATCACTTTTTTGGCCAATTGAATAAATTTTTTTCTTGTAGAAGGCCCCTTTCTTCTCAGCTTTCTCGAGAGCTTCTCGGGCTTTTTCATCCACTCGCAATCGCTTTGCCTTCTCCTGTACCAACGATTCTTCTAATTTTCTTTTTTCTCCCCTTAACTGGCTGTTCTCATCTTTAAGCTGATGCACATCAACCTCGTTGTAATACACCTTAAATCGATACCGAGGGCCCGCTTCCAAATTGCTAAGAAGTGCATTTAATTGCCTTCCGCCAAGATTACTAGCTTTCTTGACAGCTTTCTGAAGGCTGAATATTTTCTTTCTGAAGACTTCTTAAATGCGGCTATTGATTATTACACCTCGTATACCAGATTGCTCAAACACTTTGTTTACGATTGTTGAAAGGACCGACTCATGGTTTTCTCCGTCTTCGTCTTTACATTGCTTTGAAATAGTATAGATTAGTAAACTGAAACGAAAAATTAATCGGGGAAGTTTACGAAAAATACAGCCAACAAGCTTAGAAAAGGCATTTATTTAGACTTCATACTGCGACAAACTTCACAAATCTTACTTGTTTATCTCGTAAGTAAACGATGGCAGATTAATTCCCGAAGCGCTCTCTGATTTTCCAGATCCCTCTCCTACTGCTTTCACGCTTACAAAACAGGAAAAAATCAAAAGGAGGAAGATACAGCTGTTTTGAAACGCCATTTGACGAGGGTAAATCTGCTTTTTGTTCGACACTTTACATATCAAAACAAAGGAAATTTGTTACTCTTTTTTATTCTGGCGGTACATTTTTAATTTGCGCCTGCGTAAAAGAGGTATCGTTTGAAACCTTTCGCTTGGTTGTGTTTTGATCAAAAACGCCTTGTTAATTTCACGCAACCGCTCGGAGAAAAGGTAAAAATGACGGGGGTAAATCTGCTTTTCGTTCGACACTTTACATATCAAAACAAAGGAAATTTGTTACTCTTTTTGATTCTGGCGGTACATTTTTAATTTGCGCCTGCGTAAAAGAGATATCGTTTGAGACCCTTCGCTTGGTTGTGTTTTGATCAAAAACGCCTTGTTAATTTCACGCAACCGCTCGGAGAAAAGGTAAAAATGACGGGGGAAAAACTTTACCTTCAAGTTAGAAAATTAGCGAAATAGAAAGCCACAATATTATAGTTTAAAATTTCAGAGGTATATTGAGTGCTTTTTCCGTAGAGAATTCGCACGATGGTAAAATATTCGAAAATTACACTCGATTTGAGTGGGGCGTTGAACTGGGCGTGGTCGCTATATTCATGTTAAGACTATTTGTACCCCATGAGTTTGATATGTTTACGTGAGACGGATCGGATGGGAGGCGAACCAGCAAAAGAATCGGCACCGTGATGGCAGTTTTTAACATCTTGTGTGAGAACAAAGCAACGTATGAATACCAGTTTACCCTGGCATTGTACAATGGTAAGTGCATAGATCTTAATGTCTACACTGTTTCGTTTTTCATAAAACTATAATAAAATGAAAAATGATATATTACATGTACATATTAGATGGAACTGCTCCGAGCATCCTTTTTGGGCCGTGTGTGAAGTCTTAAAATAACTGTGACTTTTTTTTTAACTGGTATTCCGCAGCATAAAAGGGCAGAAAAACACCGAAGCTCCTTTCTTCATAATTTTTCATGCTAAACTTGCCATTTTAAATCAAAACTAAAAGGGTTACATTTGCGTTAACATGGGCCAACAAGTACTGTAAAAATTGTTCATCTTTACTAAACCTACTCAGGGATATTTGAGAAAACAATGTTTTTTGCTGGTCAAAATCTCACCTCTCCCAAAAGTAGAGGGCTGTGTAATGCCCCCACTACTTAACATTCCTTTTGAGTTTGTGGTTGTGGACACCCTGCACCTTTTTTAAAGAATCATGGGAATGCTGTTTCATCAGGTGAGCCCGCATTACGTATCATATAAAAAAAATGCCACTTCCATATGCAAACCCCTTTTTAAATACTAAATGAGAAAACAAAATACTCAATATTAACTTTATGTACTTTATTATATTCATATTTATAGGTTGTTGAGGTAGTTGTCAACAATGATTGCCACAATGTCCTGACGAAATGGATTCCATTAATGTTGAATTCAAATTTTATGAAGAATTTAATAAACTAGCTGAAAAAACAGAAACAAAATGGACAAATCTCAATGGTACTTAAATAAGTTATTCAATAATTATGTCTATATGTGTTTTTATAGCTAGCATTGCTGCACAATCAAAGTTAGTTTACATCGTTAATTATGATCCACTTAACATTATGTATCAAAGAGAGCCTTGTGTGCAGCTAGTAAAGCCCTGCTTTTTATTGGTACCATATTACCTGCCAAAAATTTTGGATGATAGGGTACAGTAAAAGGATGCTCGTATGGCAAAACCAACCTGATGCGATAAGGAAGGGCTTGGAGATGGCAGGAATAGTGAATGCTGACACTAAATAATGACTAATGAAATTGAGATACCTAAGTGTTTGACAGGATTTGTGTTAATTCCTTGTTTTTTTCTTTTGTTTTTTTTTATCTGTAGACCGAAAATTTGTTTTGGCATTGTAACAGTTATAGCGAAGTGTGGGAAACTTTTGTCCGAAATTTGTCCGAAACGAGAAAAAGTGTACGAGTATTAACCGTCCAAAAATATAAGACAACCTACCGTTAGAATTTTTTGCAAGTAATGTAGTAGTTTCTGTTAACATCTTAATTAGTATTTTTATGTTCTTTGTTTAACAGGAAAAGAATTGCAAAAGGTACTGGAGAAATTAAATATAAAGAAAATTATGGAAGCTGTTGGACATGATGATTCAGAGGGAATAGATGATCTGTGGAGTGTAAGTTGCAAACACAATGTTTATTTACATTTCGTTGTAGCTTTCTTCTGTCAAGTGGGAACCCCTAATTAACTGCTGACATTATTTAATATTTGCTGTTAATCTGTATTTGTTTCTTGTTGTAGGGTTTTAAGACTTTGATGCGGGCACTACAGGTTCAAAAGAATGATCCAGAGTACCTCAAGCCTCAGAGCTTCAAGACACATGTGCGGGAGTGAGGAAAGCTCTTTCTGGAAATGTTCTATGATGACGACATCACCCCCTACATTCACAGTACGTCAACAAAATTTAACTTTTAACAAATATCTTCCTTGATGGAAGTAATGATGATGATATTAAATGATAATTTCACAATGCATCTAGTTTTTATTAGTAGCGGATATCTAAAGGCCTGAAAGTGATTGTACTTATATAAGCAGGAAGCTTTTATTAGTAACTTTGTGGTATAAAAATAAATAAATTTAATATTATTTTCTTTTTTTAGCATTTGTATACCATGTACCTCAGTTTTTGGAAAAGTATGGCACTTTAATGCAGTTTAATTGCCAGCCGGTGGAGAAAAAAAACCACTAGCAATCCCAGGCATTCCACCGTGGATCCCAGAAAGGGGAAAAAATTCAAAATACACTGTTCAGGTAGGCACCACTATTAAAAACATAAAATTATTGATATACATAAACAAATATAATTAATTGAAGCAGCATCTGTTGCTAAAAAGCAGTTAACCTTATCTATCCATATCAAAATTCTTCATTTTTAAACAAATAAACTTTGACATTTTTTTCCCCATCAAAGAGGTATTGGATGTCCTCCTAGCCGAAAAATACTATCTATTTATACCTAACTTTAAAATTGTACATGACTCAGTCTGATTACCCTCACAAATTACTAGGGATAAATAACTTGATAAGCTGCTGCATTTTTTATTAAAAATAATTATCTTTTCTGATAGGTAATGGAACAAGAAAACAGGCTGATGTTTGCCAGGTGCAACAACCTTAAAAGAAAACGGAGAAGCTATGTAAAGTCTAAACTACCAGCCAATCCAGAAAGCTCAGATGAGGAAGAAGCCCCCGACAGCCAGATAGGAAGCGTTCACGTTTACAATCACCACGAAGAACAAGAGGGCTGAAGTTTTCCTGACAGAACTTTTCAAAACACAAATTTGTAAAAGTAATTACCACACAATGCTTATTTAATCCCTGTTATATTATCTTTGTTAGTAATTCAAATTAAATAATATTCCACAAGAAATATTGAGTTGATTATCCGATATTTGTGGTTCCAGAAAATATCCATACCCCAGGAAGGGGGGGGGGGAGGAAGGGTTAAAACAAAAAAAACCTTCCATGGGGAGGTATGGATGTTTTCTAGCGCCGCTTACCCGATGTGGCACTTATTCAAGGAATTCCGCATAACTTAAATGAGCTGAATGGTGATAATGGAAAGACGCTTCTATTACTATAACTTTTTGTACAGATAGAAGATATACCGTTAAATTGAAAGACAAGATTTCTTTGTAGCTTCCAATTTTTAAATAAACGCTGCCTTCGATTAAGCACTGCACTCGAGGTGCAAAAAATTTAATAAGCGCTGTGGCGATTATTCGAGTAAATACGGTACATTTGTTCAGGCTGCAATAATTAACTAAAAAAATTTTTTACAACAAGTTTGATTTTTTTGCGGCACACAGGACATCTTTTTTTTTCAGTTTTTAACCTTGAAGCACATTCAAGGCAACAAACTTGATGATGTCCTGTGTCATCATGAATAATGCTCGCATTGCGTGGTCTGGTAACGCAGACCACGCACAGATCCGTAGCAACAGTGGCACCTCCTTCTCCCATGTCCTCCTCCTGGTCCTGCTCCTCTTCCTCCTCCTCCTCCTCCTCCTCCTCCTCATCATCATCATCCTCTTCATCTCCCTCATCCTCTTCATCTCCCTCATCCTCTTCATCTCCCTCATCCTCTTCATCTTCCTCATACTCTTGGTCCTCCTCATCATCTTCCGTTACAAATTCCCACTGCTCCCATTCTTCCCCCCACTCCTCTTCACTCCAGTACTCAATCCCTCCCTCTTCCTCCTCATTCACTTCCTCTCTTCTCACCTCGTCTTGGCCACTGGGCAACACTTCTGTAAATTTAAAAAAAATACCTGTCACCTATCAACAATATGAAAATTTTGTGGATTAATTGCCTTGATCCTGAACTTTATTATTAACTATAATTTATTTAACTTGTCCTCTTGCCAATCAACAACAGTTCTGTTTTCGTATATCGTTTTCGTCGATACAGACGCAATTAGTTAAATAATTATTAAGCCATGCACGAAGTAAATTTAAACTTAAATTTAAGTCATTTTTTAAAGAAGCATAGCGTATAAAGCTATAAAACTGAGATGATACCAACCAGCCGCCCATTTTTATCGCTTAATTACAAAATGCACCAAGGCTGACTAAGATTGAATGAATGGTTTACTTGTATCCTTGTTTCTCTGTTGGAGCTTTCAGTTTTTTACTGGTTTATTAAGGTGCTACAAGGGAACACCTTTTTTAATATAACCAGAATTTGTGGCATTGAAGTCGATAGTGAGTTCCTCATTGACAACGCAATAATGTCGGTTGGTATTTTGTTCGCTTTTTATTTTGGCTTGCTGTATGGAGCCTTCCAAACAGAAGTCCCAACAAAAAAAATGTGCCAGAGTGTGCTGCCGGCCAACTACGCAACACCCGTCATTGACCAAGCGAAAATGAAACTCTATAAATTTAAACCGCTAATCGCCATAAACTGCTCAACCCTGACGCTACTGTTTATATTCCTATCTCATCTTCCATACTGCGTCAGCAAATCTGCCGCTCAAGTCCTTTTACCTTGCCTTTCTGTCTGCGTTTGCTGTTTCTGCGCACTTCAAGCGGAAAAAGTGAAATCAGTCAAACGTAAAAAGGTGCGAAAATAACACCTTTTTGTTTTCTTGGCTTGCATACTCTTTTATACTCATCGCGCCAGTGGTTGAACATTGACAACGCGAGAAAAAATTTTCAGCAGAATACAATTTAGACTTCTGCGATCAGTCCTCAAGGCCTGCCTGCGTAAACGGGCCTTAAGGAAAACAAATATTGAGCGAACACAGCTTAACTGCGTCCTGTCCTGGCTTATAAGCTCTAGACTGCATTTTCAATCACTCCAAGCTACTCGCGGCCCCTTGCCATGAAAACATGAACTGAAAACAAACTATTATGTCACAAGCGGCTGAATTCCAATTTATTTTTGCCCCCGCAGGGTTTTTGGCCCCAGAGGGCCAAAAACCCGAGGAGGCACCTTAGGACTCTCCGCGTAATATAGAGGAAGACTGGAGAAGAGGGAATGTGGGTATTTTCGGTAGATCATAACCAGAAAAAATCTCGATTTGATCGCTTGCACGGCCGCAAGGTATCAACGTTTTTCCCGCAAATGGTCATGGGCTGCCAGTAAAAAGACACGCGCGCGAGGACTTTTAGGATCGGCGTCTTTGACACGAGATTTGTCCTAGTATAGAGGAAGACTGGAGAAGAGAGAATGTAGGTGTTTTCGGTTGATCATAACCAAAAAAAATCCCGATTTGATCGCTTGCACGGCCGCAAGGTATCAACGTTTTTCCCGCAAATGGTCATAACTAAACAACTGTAAACAACAAGCCCAACTCAAAAAAAAAGAAAAGAAAATGGTACTGTAGGGCGGGGGCAGCTCTAGTGAGAACTATAACTAGTATACTGACGGCTTATCTTGCTTCTGAAGAAGTCAGAGGAAGTTACTTCAAGAGAAAATACATTAACGGTCCGCTCGTTTCAAACACTGTATGACAATCGTTACCCTGGACAATTACTAACTAACCCCCTGTTAGTCTGTTCAAATTTTCCCAAGTAGACTACCGCTGGGGAAAAATGTCATCGCCGACAATTTGCCGAATGAATCCGAATCAAGCCGAGTAAAAGCTCGTGATACTAAATAGAAAAGTCCCTAAGGATGGATAACAAAAGGCCCATTGTATTAAAAAATCCCAACCATAACAATAGGCAAAGTTTGATATGATGTCAGCCAACTACCATATGGAGTAAATATATTAACCCTTTACACCCTAACATCAGTATGCATATTCTCCATAGTTCTCTGAACATTTCCTGAGGTGCCGACAAGGAGAATTTGTCTGACAATCAAGAGCTTCTTGAGTTGTTGATCAGTACCTTAATGTTTGATTTAGGGGTGATATGGTAAGGAGAAATTTGATGCCAGTCACTCTTAGGGGTTTAAAAGGTTAACCGCTACGATATATTTTTAAAACTCAATGTATGGTCAAGAGGATAACAAATCAATCATTTTGGAGTAAAAAGTAATTCCTTTTCACGAGAGCGACTTGATTTACCCGTTTTCATTTTTAGGCAGTGAAATCTCACGGAAGATAGTTATCTCTTAGATTCTACCTTATCAGCTGGTTTATACAACAGTATATTTCAAATAAATTTTTTCTTTTTTGAAAAAACCTCTTGACCAGGCATTAGAGTTTTAAAGATAAGGCTTCCAAACTGACACCAACCTCAGGAGATGGGAAAAGTAGTGAATACATATCTCATAAGATGGCACTGTACTGGTGTTTAACCTCAGACATGATAAAATGCTTAATTGTAGGGCTAAAATTTTAATGAAATTAGTCTAGATCATTCTTTGAAATTATATTTTCCTGTCTTGTCTGTTGGTAATGTTAAAGTCGTAAAGACGTTCATAAGGGCTAGTAGGTATTGTCATCTGTTAAGAAACGTCTGTTCTAAGTTTTACCCTAACACTCCCAAGATCTCCATACTGTCTGTCAGACAATTCGTGTGATCTTAGTTCGGAGAACTTGGCAACGATGGATCAACTAATAATCTCCTTTTTTACATTTTTCTTTATCCTCATCACTTGTCTGCTTGATATGACATCGATTATCGAAAGAGAGAATTTCTGTTGTGGTCATTCTTGGGAGTAAAAGGGTTAATAAACCAGCCTTACAACGTTATTCGTGGAAAATAGTCAGTGCAGTACGCTACACTTTAAAGCTTGGTCCCAGTCAATGTTATTTTTAGTAAGTCCATGGAGGTCAATGTTAGATATAAACAAAATTTGTAAGATCAATTCCATTGGTATCAAGATCTGAACCCTGGAATTCAATTTGTTCTCGTTTCTGACGTCTTTTGTTACAGTGCCACCTTAACAATTATCACCCTTTTGCGACATCAACTGAATATGGCTGTGGTACAAACTGTTATGCAAACATGACATGAGCCATGAAATCAATAAATTTTGTTTACTTTTCTGTAGCTAAAGTCAATTTCTACCACAAGGTTGACTTTGTTAATGTGCTCTGACGAAATGTTCTGAGGTTGGTTGAAGCTTCCAGTAGCTAGCAATCGAAATAGATCTTAAAATCGCTCAAAGTTTGAAAAAAATCTGTACCAAGCAATAAACTACTTCAGAAATGATGGCGAGTCGTTAACGAGCAATAGGTTCTTTTCCCAAGTTCAGTGTCCCAGATAACTCAAAACAGGCAATTGGTTAGAACTGAAGTGTTCTGACGATAAAGGTTCAGAGGTGTGACTATTATTAGAATATCAAAGTTCTTATCTTTGTGGTACTCTTTTTAAGCTTAGTGATCCTAGTGTCTCCTCTTTGCCACATAGATTCATTGTCCTTTCCTACCGCTCACCAAATGGACATTCTCTCCTTCCCTCATTTTCTGACAGCATTCCTCTTCCTGAAAAAACTAAAATTAGTAAAGCGGTTGGATGTTGTTTGCTGCCTTTAATCTATACGAACTCTAGATTAATTAAAGGGGGTTAGTTTCTAAATAAACAGTGGTGCTGTGTTGGTGGGAGAATATAACAGGGTAAGTTAGTATTATAAACTCGTAAATTGGCCACCGTAAACAGTTTCAAAGGTGACGTCTCGAGCGTTAGCCCTTCGTCAGAGCGAAAGATTAGATTACATAATTCTATTCAGAACAACACGCAGTTCTGAGAGTTTGAAATTGATATTTAGAAGTGTTAGAGACAGGTCTTGGTCTCTGATAATTATTGAAAAATTTACATGTAAGCGTTCAATTCAAGTACAAAGTGAGGTCCTAAATAATGAAAGTCCGACCGAAAGATAGAAATTCCTCTCACTTTCTTACGACCATAAGTTCGCTTCTGTAGAGGCTGACTCTCTCACTCAAAATAAACTTCGAGTCCATCCTCTCAGCTTAGCCAACAGACACGTGTTGACTAGTTTCCTTAATATGATTTAAGTCGTTCATCTTTCTCAGAAGGAATTCAACGACAATATTTTCCAAAGGAATGCTCACCTTCTGTTATAATAACTTAGGACTACCTCGGTTGAACTTCGTTGCTGGTTAAGCGCCTTCAACCTTCGCCCAGTGTGTAACTTTACTGTCCCAAAAACGACACGTATTCATTTTCTTGTCTACAGCGTGGTTTGCTGAAAATTCTGCAGTTTCTAATGAATATTGATTAACAATCCCAGCGAACAATACGTCACAGATTGAGCCCGGGATTTTATTATGCACGCCCAGCAAGTGAATCGCTATTCAACTGCAACAGGGAAGAAAGGGAATGTGTGCGGACGAAAGCGCACGTGATAAAAGGAAACCATGACAGGAAAAAAATTTGACCACAACGTTTGGATCTTCTCGAAAGAGTTCGATAACATTAAAATTTTGGAGTTTATTGAAAGAAAAATGTTGTGATGCAGTTCTCGCGACTTTGTATCAATAAGCGAGTAAAACTTTAAGGGCCGGTAATTTAAACAAAGTTTAAGCCGTTGTTTAACAAAACTGCGTTCTAAGCCATCTCCAATTTAGCCGAACCTTTTATTTGAACATATATCTGATAGAGGGTCATTTATTTGATTAATTCAACCCTCGTACCAGAACCACTAAGGCCACTTCTTGCGTAAAACTGCGGTTTGGGTAACACCTTGTGTAAACAACCGGCCCTAAATGAAGAACACACGTTATTACTGTTTCATAGAGGGGCTGAATTAGAGAAAATGCAAAAAGGAAGACGCAGCTCTGTTACTTTCCCTTTAAGGGTAAAGCTTCATAAAATTAACGCCTTTTACTCTTCCTATGAAAGAAAAGAAAGGTTTAATGTTAAGGATAGCGAAGTGAACCTAGCGCACTGTTAGTGCACTAGGAGGGGAACGAGCAAAAGCAAAGAGAAAGTGCAGTTATTTATTGAAAGAAAATAGAAACAAATAGAAATCGCTTCTATTCTGTTATTTTCCTTTCCAGGTAGATCCGCGCGTAACGAGTACCAGGGTTAGAAATTACTGATCACACGACCAGCCGTGATGAGCGTCGAGATACAGCTTTCCGTGGAAGAAGATTGATAACGGGATGAAAAATAATGGGTTATAAAAAATTAAAGGAACTTGAACAGCTTAAAATAGCTTCAGAGCGAGTGCCACGTGAAATATTTCCCTAAAGTCCCATAAATACTATTCTAAAACAAAGCCGTAGCCTTTGTTTTTCTTTACCCAAGAACTGTGCGTAAAATGAGGTACAGGGCTGTGCAGTAATCTTACCGAGCCTAGCAAATATGAGTTAAGTGGGTGTGTCCAGTTAAATGATGATTAGGGCCAGGCAATGTCTGATCTTGGTGTTTATGTTAACATTTAAGGAAGCATTTGGAAACAAAAGTTGTGACTAATTGGTAGGGGGAAAGTCTCCAAGTGGTTGCAAACCACCCCACTCCTTCTTGAAAAAGATATTGATAAATTTGAAACATAGACAGCCTGCCAGGCCCCTCCCTTCAGTCCCCAAGAAATTGCCAAAAGTATGCTTCTCTGAGACTACTATTTTCTCGCAAATACACCCTCTCCCCTCCCCTGCAAACCCAAGGAAATTTCCAATCAATGAAACAACAACAAAAATAAAACTTGGTGGAAAACATGTCATCCAACTCAGCCTTCATTCTTTCCATTGAAAACAGATCAAATTTGCAAACATTTATTCAAAATATATATATATATTTTTTTACAATCAATTAAAAATGCAGTTACCAATAATCTTTTTGGGAAAGAAAACTCCAAATTCAAATTCTTCTTTGTTTATGAAGGAACTTTATGAATGGCAACTGTGACATCTCCTTCTGATCTCACAAGAAGATTACTGAAAAAAAGAGGGAATGAAAATGCAAAATTCTCTTGACTGGTGCCCATACTTTCTCTTGTGGTAACAGTTGTAAACATTTGTTGGAAGTGAGGACAATCAATTTTTGTTGATCAGTCCTTTCATTCTTGAGACATTAATTTGTGACTGACTCAGTTCATATTGTGAGGAGAATTCAATGCTGATCACTCCTTAGGCTTTAGGGGGTTAAACATTGTAAGCATCAATCCCAATATATTGATGGAGTGACTGTTGCATAGTTTCTCCTCGCAACATCTATATACTGTTTCTTGCAGACAGGTAATAAAAAGGAAATACGAAGGGATATTGTATTCTTTTGATTTGACATCAAATTCTCAGGACTAACATTGCAAGGAATGTACAGCAGAGGGCAAGGAGAATTAGTGAAGTTCTTTGTTTAACCCAGAATTTCTCCTTACAATATCAAGCAGACAAGTGATGAGAATAAACAAAAATATCAATTAGGAAATTATAAATTGATCCAATACCAAATTCTTTAAACTAAAATCACAAGAACTGTAAGGCAGACAGTTAGGAGAATTGCTAATGAGATCTTGGGAGTTAAGGGTTAAAAGCAATCATAGGAGAGGAAGATGCTACGGATAGTGCAAAAAACCTACCAGGGGGTTTTAGTGTATTCTCAAGTGTTAATAATGTTTTAGCATGTAAGGTCTAAATCAAATGGTGCCCATCTCTATCTGTTTTTTTTTCTTGTGTTCCATGAAGGTACATCTACCTTCCTAGCAGTGCTCTCTGTGAACCTCCTTTCATACATGAAAGGAAAAAGAAACTCGTGCATGAAATTGTTACACTATGTAATTGTCATCTTCGCACTCACACAGCACACACAACTATGTAATCAACATAAGCACGAGCACTGCACTCTGTATAAATTTTAACGACTTTGTAATGAATAAAAGTTGAAAGTTTTGACATGGAACCGAGCGAACAAGAAATATGGCTCAACAGCCACACCAAAATTAAATTCATAGCTAGTGCTGTTTTCTGCGATACATTCACCCTTTCACTCCAAAGATCTTATTTACTGTGTGCTGTTCAATTCTTCTGATGCAAGTTCAGAGAAATTAATATTGGATCAACTTCTAATCCCAATGTTCTCATCTCTTGCCTGCTTGATAATGTAATGATATTGTAAGGAGTAATTCTGTCTTGGTCACTGATGGGAGTTTAGGGTTAATACCCTCTGAGTGTTTGATCAATCAATGGTGTATAACTGTAATATCTTGGATAAAGGGGCTAAATTTCCCACGATAGAATTGTGCTGCATCGTTCATGATGTAAAATATCCCTACCACTCTAAAGAGTTCCTAAAAATGAGATTTGTTGCATTATCCATTTTTCCTTTCCTCTGAAAAAAGGCTAATACTGAAATAGCAAGCTTCAGAAACTCTTTAAGATGGCAAATTTACATTATCAACCCAGTTGATTAAAAACCAAATTATTTTCTAACATCTCAGACTTGCACTAATATCATTTCTTCCCAGTTAATATGCACTAAACAACTACATTGTGCAGGAATGCTACTTACCATGCATCTGACTCTAAACAGATGACTGGTGTCGTGTTGGGATCTAATTTCTTTGCATCTTCTGCCAAAGAGGAAATGAGTCCTGCATGAATGGGATTTGCAGTACCTTTAGCTGTTAAAAGAAATAATTCAAAAATAGTGTTAGAAATTTTGAACTTTATGTATCATTTACTCTGTAAACTAAACATTTTGTGGTTATCTTTTGTGAAGGTTTTGCAGGGCAAGCTTTATGCACTTACCGGAAGTCTTGCCATATAGACACAACTGTTAGAGCATGGAAGTTTATTGTTGTGGAATCAAGTCCAGTAAGAGAAGTAGTGGACTTCTTCCTTGCATAATTGACATTTAAAATGATTTCATTAGTGTAGGTAATAACATGACTTCACATGCTATTTCGTGTTAAAAACCATTACTAAATTTTTTAACAAGGTAAAATTGCTCATGCCCGCAGGACGAGTGCAATTTACAGTCTTGAAAAAAGTTACAAGTGGGGTGGGGGTAGAGAGTGGAGGAAGATTTCTTCAAAACATTTCTCTCTTACCACTAAGATTATTGTCAAGAGGCACTTTCTTGTTAAATGAATAAATTATTTTTTTAATAGCTTTCAAAAATGGGTAGATGTTATTAACTTCTCCTTCTTTCTACAATAGCCTCTCTCCTCTATCCCCTTGATCTACACTGTATCTGTAGAGAGTCAAACTTCTTCATAATGGTCACCAATGGCACAGAGGAAAGTGACAATTAATCACAAAGGAATAAAACGCTTAAAGTAAGTATTATTGGGCGTAATGTAGCTTATCCTTTTGACAGAAATTGTTCAAGTTTCAATACGAAAATAAACTTCACAAACCTGATAAAGCAAGTCCTTGTTGATCGCTACATAATACTCCAATAACGCCATGTTCAGACATTCTGGTGGAAAAAAACAGACGGAGTTAATACACAAATTACGATTATCTTTGTATAGTGTGAGAGAAAACTACAATAGGGAACTCACATGTCATCTAAATGTGAATCTAAGGACTTCTCCATCGTCAAATCTGTAAGGCAATTTCGTTCAAATTAATCGTGTGATGTATGTGACATCTGCTTTACATGAAAACTTTATTGAAGCATGCCACCGCTGACCATTTTACGCTCGTTCCACTCTCACTCGGGCTACTTACTTACGCCTAATCATCCTCAAAATTCGCGATAACACTTCGCGCCAGAAAAAAAAAAAAAAATTATATACTTATATGAGGTCTGTATTTTGATTTTTTTCGCTGTTCAATGCTCGATACGTAGAAGTAGAGCGCGATATATATTGAGATAGGGAAAAAATAAAGAGACTATACTTGTATTTTCATCCATACAAGCCTGTTTCATGATTACTTACTCATCAGGGGATTTTGTGTTTGTCGATGAGAGCACCTATCAGCCCTTCACAAAGCCTAACACCACACTAGATAACGTCCACCGCGAGAGCAACTACCCACCAACCACCACAAAGAACATACTCGTCGGTATCAACAGAAGACTGTCATCCCTTTCATCCTACAAAGCATCCTTCGACCAAGCTGCCCCTCCATATCAAAAAGCGCTCGACGAATGCGGATACCGGTACACTCTACACTACGAACCACCTACAACTAACAAACGAAAAAACAGAAGACAACGGAACAACATACTCTGGTACAACCCCCATTCTTATGCCCCCGCTCGCTGGTTCAAACAAATCAAGAGGACTGTATCTTTCGATGTAACAACACGATTTAATCCAAACCAACAATCTATTGCGATATAAAATTCTCACATATTAAACGGTCGTAACACAACGATCAACGATTAACTAACACATTCTAAGTATACAGAGGTTTTTTTGTACTATCCTTGCGTAAGGCAGTATTTTTACACTAATCACATGTACAGTAAAAGTTCCCATTACAATGTATCTAAATTAAGTGACTATTACAAAATCGCACGTTCTTTCACCGTATTTAGCCCAAGAAAATGCACGCAGCTACATCATTTTATATCGTTAATATACTCAGACCTTGTCTACATTATTGTGAAATCTAATGTCACGAAATCTAACTTCTTTGCGTTACCAATGTCAATTTCTAATTAATATTTAATCACAAAATAATTAAGTTAAGCATCACCTATTTCTTTCTCGACACATCAGCTCCAATCGAGCACAGATTCCTTGCCTTAGTAGACAAGCACTTCCCGAAATAACACAAACTTAGAAAAATCTTTAATCGTAATTCAATCAAGATCAGTTACAGCTGCATGAATAACACTAAACAGATCATCGACAACCACAACAAACACATTTCAAATTCATCCAAACGCATCAATGAAACCGCAGATAACAGCAACACAAAAGACACCAAAACTTGCAACTACCGACAGAAGAACTCATGCCCACTTGACGGAAACTGCCTCCAATCATCACTAATCTACCAACCGTCACACGTAAGGATAACAGCACTACTGAAACATACATCGGACTTACAGAAAACCACTTCAAGTCTAGCTACAGAAACAACACCGCATCATTACAACACACAAAACACAGAAACTCTACCGAACTCAACAAACATATCTGGATCCTTAAATAAAATGACGTTGACCACTTCATTCATGGCGCATCCTTTCATCAAGATCACCCTACAGCAGCGCAAGCAAAAGATGCAACCTCTGCCTCAAATAAAAACTACTTATGCCGCCATAGAAACAAAATGTTACTGCGTAATAATTGAACAAAGCATAGAAATTTTACCGCCACGCTTATCATGCAAATTGGTATAGTATATTAACTGTCATGATAATCTTGTAGGCGTATCGCGTGACACCTTATTTTTTGGTTTAATAATTAAGCTAGGAGTTTTTATGATAGTTAGGTTACTTAAGATTTAGATGTACAATTGAACGTAGCACGGTAATGGCAGACTTGTAGTAAGAATATTCGTGATATGGAAAATCAATGATGGTCAGAAATAATTAGATATAAGGAATTGCCTAGGGAAATTGTGCGTGCACGTTTGGGTTGGAACATCCTGGGACGTTGCGTGATGTGTTATTCGTGCAGCAAATAGTGCGTGCGTGCGGGTGTAAATTACAGAAGTATTGATCGGCGTTTAATGGGAAACAGCTGTTAAAATCAAGTTGACAGGAAATAACTTTGGATTTTAGTAAATCACGAATAAGTAATTTCAATCCTGGTTTTCGCAGTTTAGGCGTGTATTTCCGTTGTCGTAGCAGATAAATAGAATCGCTATCTTGTAACAGAGAACTTGAGACTTGAAATCTTTTGATTGTAGAAAGTTCGGATATTGTATGGATCGTAAATAAAAGCAAGAAATCAGAAAGATACAGTCCTATTGATTATCGAACCAGCGCTCCACAGAGATTTTCCTTAACGCTGTAGAGAACTCTGCAACATTAATGATAGTTACGAATGTTATTGACAATGAGACAATGAAATCACTTGATGAGTGAGCAAACATGACACGAAAGTATTGTTTCTTTGTTTTTTCCCCTATCTCAAATATATATGTATATATTTGTTTAAAATATATTCTTATCTTATCAAAAAGGTTTTGACAGAATAGATTGAAGGGACAATTTTTCATAGTAGAGTACAATTGCTGCGGTAAAAATTTCAAAAAAAGGTGTAGTTCTCCTCTGATGTGAAAGATACATTAATCGTGCATCACTTTCTTGATGAGAACGAAAAAGGGATGTAAATATATTTTCAAATTGGAGCGTTTTTTTTTTAACGGGTGTACATGCGAAAAAAAATTAAGAATTATAGCCCTTTTCCCTTCATGATATTATTACTTTTTCAACTTTAAAATTACTGACAACTGATAGTGTTCTTTTTATGAGGTGTAATCGTTTTTCCCCACACGATGTAGTCATTTCCAATGTAGATAGTGACGTTTCGCCTTCATTTTACTAGTCTACAGTTATATTGCTGGTGTTTTATACTCAATGCTATTCTTCTAAGTACAGCCAAGAGATGCTTTTAAGGGTCTTTGAAATCAGCTTAAGAAGAACATAATCTCCAGGATTCCATGGTAGTGGAGCAAAGTTTCAATCTACGAGATTGAAATCAGTATGTAAAAGAGAATAAAGCTGACAGTATTAATCATGATATCAGATTTCAACATGACAAGCTATAAAAATGAGCAAAGAGAGGTTAAATCTGTTTCGTAATAAGAACATAAAATAATCAAACTTTTTTTGTGAAAATGAACTCAACAGTCTTTACAACCCCGCGCGAAAAATGACGCGCGCGGCCAAAGACAAATGCACGACGCGAGAACTTTTTCATAATGATGGCTCAAACTGAGCTGCTGATGGCTTTTAAGACCCCGAGAGACCTTTGCCGCTATTGAACGTGGCTTTGTTCTCGATCCCTTTCAATTATATGAACAAACACAAAGACTAAACGCTTGTCGTCACAAAACGTGGAACTTTTCCCAGAGGACACTAAAGTAGTTTTACAAAGAATGCAAATGTTAATTAATTCTTGATAATCGTAATCGAGCATCCGTGGATGTTCATGCAAATAGCGATTATTTGATAAGATAACGTGCAAAACGCCAGCAAACGTGCTTAGACCAGTCCAGAAACCGTTAAAAGAAATTAAGGGATTGCCCAATAACCTTCTCAGTTGGTGAGTATTCTCTAAACTGGTCTTTAAAATTCCAATCGCAGAGCCGCACGGTTACATTCAGTTTATAATTGGCTGTTCAACTTTTGATATTAGCTCTGACGAAGGCTAACACTCGTTACCTAGCTTATCTGATAAAGCCAAATCAACTCTTTCTCCACCAGTCATGCTTTGTTGATTCAAAACTTTCCATTCCTGTGACCTCACGTTTTGTAAGTTTGTAATCATTCAAACTGTAAGTTCGTAAACTTTTGTAAATTTCTAATCCTTCAAACTGAACTGAACCGCCATTTTGAAATGTGGGCCATTCAATCTCTTTAGTTAATTTGTATAGCTTTTGGACGAGAACATTTTGAAATCTTAACTTAATTGCGTAAAATCGCAAACTGAAAACAGTAATTCCAATTTTTAATATACCAATGTGTTTTGTCTTGTGTCCTATCAGTAAAAGCCTGTTATGCTTTGTTAATTGTCCGTTTCTAGGACCCTATGTTTGCGATCAAAACCGAGCTATAATTTCGAATTTAGTATAACACAATCCCTATGGTATATTTGTGTAGCTTTTAGACAATAACGTTATCGGATATCGTCCAGCTAAAAAGTCCACGTGTCTCTTTTGATTACGCTACTTTAGCGAAAGGTAAACTTTAGGTAAACTCGAAAAATTAAATTAGCAATCTTAAATTTCGGTTACCCAATGTCATCGTCTGTACTAAAGACGAAATTAAATGTCTTTTTTTGGCCCAACCATCTGATAAAATGCACTTTCCTTCTCTCCCAACAATTCTTCGTTGTATAGTAAACTCTGTCAGTAATTTAAATGCGTTGTCTTTTCCAGAGTCTTTTCCAAAGAAATATGAAAGCAACGAGAACACTGTGGATGGATTCAAAGATAAATTTGTGGGTTTTGCTACTACTAGCCTCCGTGAGATCGTAAGTTACATTGCTTTTTCATTCACAGTCAGACCTAAACACGTTTGAGCCCGGCTCAATTTGCGGCTACCACCAGCCGCTTCGTATACATATCACGCCGATTTACTGTTTTAACGGCGGTGCATTTGAACCCCTCTGAGCCGCAGTTTGTGTTTAAAGAGAGTTACTAGCTTGTCTTTAATACGCAGCGTTTGCGTTAGAAGCGGAAACACTTCTATAGCACCACGCCGGCTACTTTGCGGCTTATGTAAAATACCCCAACTCGCACCAAGCAAGTGATGGTATCATTGCGCGCTCTTCTGCAGACCGAAGATTAACATGTAGTCGAATCACAAAATGTAAGATAGAGAAATTCCAATCACCAAAACGATTCCTATCAAATATGTTGAAAATTCTCTGAAACGTTTAGTTATTTCAGGAAGCCAATATTTCTGGTTTTTGTTTCATTAATAAAAACTCTCTCTTATACCATTACAATACCAGTATACACAATAAGGATTTAGCTGCACTGTTGACACAATGACATGCTGGAAAAGCTCACCCTACAATATAAAATTTGACTTGATTTATTGCAGAATCCATTGTGGAGACGATGTAGTGACCAGCTTTTTCAGTGATTACGATAACGCTGTGCGACCTGGCTTTGGTAAGATAATGCTATCACTAAACCAGTCAATATTTATCACCTGTGAGGGAGGGGGGCGGGGGGAGGGCAGTTTTGAAGGATTCTTGTGGATCACATTGTTTTCAGGGGGACGAAGGAGGGATCTGTCAGAATATAAAGTGGACTATTGAGATTTTGTCTGCCAGTGAGGGTGAACACTAGAATATTACAGAACCTAGGGGAGAGGGGTCAGGTAAATTTCGTTGAGACAAAAAAAAAATCCTCCGACCCCATCCAGGTAATAAAAAATGACTCATCTCAAGTCACTAGTTATGATAAAGAGTATACACTACGGGCTATGAAGAGCACGCGGGAAAGAAACTCTGGAAATGATAAAAAAATTAAACTTTTAGGATAATAGTTTTGATCTTTTTGTGGCAGCAGAACAAGCCAAGGCAACCACTGTCGATGCCGATATATACGTGGAATCCTTTGGAAACATAGAAGAAGCAAACATGGTACGGAAACGACTCTGTCTATATATTTATTTGCTTGTTTTTCTTGAAATTGTTTTTAGTAAATTTCCTTTTTTCTCATTTCTCACTGGCTTTGTGCGCTCATTTGACGAAATCTCCGAGGAAGTCATCTTGTTTACGTATTTTTACGTATTTTGTTTGTTTTTTTGATTGTTTCCCTTGTTATTAGCTTTTAAGAGACCAGTCATTCGTAGCCGGGGGTGGGAACGGGGAGAGGGGTATGCAGGAGGATTTTGAGGAGGAATTACATGGTTTTGAAGGAGAACAGAGAGGACCAGTCGTCGCCAACCGATTACCAAGGGAGGACTAGAAAAAACTGACTGCCAATGAGGGGGTGGGGGGGGAATGGGGAGGGGGGAATGGGGAGAGGGGTGTGTTGGAGGATTTTGAGGAGGAATTACATGGTTTTCAAGGAGAACAGAGAGGATCAGTCGTCGCTGACAGATTATAAAGGGAGGACTATAGAAAATTGACTGCCAATGAGGGGGAGGGGGGGAATTATTCGAGTAATAAAGAACCATAGAGCTGAGGATCAGGTCAATATTATTGTGACACAACCAAAATCCTCGGATAATGCGGATAATGCTATCCAACGGATAAATTGCTATCTGGCGTATAAGTGATAGCAAAACGTATGGCGTTATCCACCGGATAGAGTTTTATCCAGTGGATAGCGTTATCTAGCCTTCGAACAACCTGGACCAGTCCGTTACAACCTTGGGTATACTTTTAAGTAATCTTATCTTCACTGCCCTTATCCTTTAAAATTTATGTAACAACTTAAAATTAAAAAAAATTAATGAGAAATTATACCGATAGCAGCATATCTAGCACCGGAATCTATTTTGCATAAATAATTTAAATCTTGTTTTGCTGTGATGACCTCTGATGTTACCAACAGGAATACAGGGTGTATACATACTTCCGACAAAAATGGACGGATGGACGTCTGGCGGGAAAACTCAACCGCACATTTACCATAAAAGGGGGTGATATAGAGAACATTTGGGTTCCAGATCCCTACTGTTACAATGCACGTGAGTCGAACATGATGATGCCAGATGAAGAAACACACAGCAGTGTCACTATTCAGCCAAGCGGGGATGTGTTGTACAGCAAAGGGTGGGTACATACGCTTATTAACCCTTCCACTTACAAGATCTCATTAGTATTTCTCCTTACTGTCTGTCATACAACTCTTATGATGCTAGTTGGTAGAATCTGGTATTAGATCAACTACTTATCCTCTTGTTGATGTTTGTCTTTATCCTCATCGCTTATCTGCTTGATATTGCATCGATATTGTAAGGAGAAACTCTGTCTTGGTCACTCAAGGGAGTAAAAAGGGTTTTAATAGAATTAAAAATTGTATCCCGCAGTTGCGTTTACCGCTAAAAAGTAGTTCTTAGGACTTAATCGCATCAGAACGCTTTCTTTTAAAATTTCTTCTAGAAAACGCTGAATTTAAGTCACATTTTTCAAAGTCAGAATTCAGAAAACGATAGCTCTGTTGATGCGTTTCTGGACTCTGATAAACTGGCAATCAATCAGCTCATTTCATCATGTAAATTTAACAAATTAAATTGACCACAATTTTCCATTTTGTATAACCCTACTGATAGTAGAAATGACGTTAACAATGTTCAAAACTAAAGGGAAACCATGAGGTGCAGCCGAGTGGTTTCTATGCAAAGTTTTGTCATTGAACTAGTGACATGCGCGCACAGATAATTTTCAAATTTGTAAGTTCGCAACATAGACGCTGTATCTTATTAGCTTGTCGACTTCCTTACAGGGTAACCATACTCGCTTCATGCAACATGGATCTACGTACTTTTCCACATGATACACAGAATTGTTTTCTCACGTTTGGAAGTTGTAAGTAAAGAAAAAATATTTTTTTTAAACGACCGGATAAATATTTAGAGATTGCCGCTGATGCTATAGCTGATACCAATATTTTGTGTACAGGCAAATACGTAGATTGAAAAATTTTTAGCTGTCTTCAAAATTATCACATAATTCTACATAAACAGTTGTATTGATTTTCAAGAAAGAACATTAATAATAGCGCCTGACTCTAACCCAATTTTAAGGCAGACAATTAACATATAGCTTCTCGTAAACGGCATGGAAAGAAGTGAAACATATTTATGAAAAAACGACATCTCTCCTTGTCAAGTTCCGCGATTTCCTCTCTTCCTAACCTTTTAAATCACAGGGACTTGTAACAAAGAAACGTGCGCTACACGCAGATATAGTTTTATGATCATATTTCATTCTCACTGTCGTATAGATAGTTACACCACTGAGGACATCGTGTTTGAATGGAACACAACTGAAGTAGCTGTGGGAACAAAGGCGATGGCTCAGTTCGTATATGAAGGCAGCAAGTTATCGTCTGACATAAATGTCTTTTCCATAGGTTAGTTATTCATAGGCAATGGACCGCATTTTCTATCAATCGCGAGACGAAGGTTGAATGGTTGGAGAATTTGAATGCGTCACGATGAAATTTACCTGATCTCCCCATGAGGATCTGCGATATTCTTTTGATATCCCCCCCTCCCCCGTCATTGCCAGCTAAGCAGTAGATTTCCGATAGTCTCACTATACTCTGTTGGCGAACACCGATACCCCCTTCGTACCCCTCGTTCACCATTTAATCCCTCCTCAATCCACCGACCACCCCGGCGATAAATAACATATGGTACTTAAGTGAAACCACGCTTCTCCAACAGAGTATAAAGGGAGGATTATGGAAAATTGACTGCGAATAACCCGCCAATAAGGGGGAATATAAGACTATTACAGAGCCATGTGGGAAGGGGGGGGGATAATGACCGTTCCCTGAGCGATCAATGCGCGCGATGCAATGGTAAATAAAACAGAATCACTGGCGCTGTCATCGATGTAAATTTATATTTTATTGTTCAGGAAATTATTCCACTATCACCGTGACTTTCTCCTTCAAAAGAAGAATTGGCTACTACATCATCCAAGTCTACTTTCCAGACATTTTCGTCGTAGCACTAAGCTGGATTGTTTTCTGGATGGATAAGGATGATATGGGCAACAGAATGGCCTTGGGAATCACTACCATATTGACCATTATGTTCCTCCTCGGATCCTTGAACGGGACCTTGCCTAAAGTGAGCTACCCCAAGGCTTTGGACTGGTATCTGTTGATATCGTTCACATTCGTGTTTTTTGCGATGGTGGAATGTATGATCGTGTTTGTACTGACTCTGAGCGCCAGTGAAGACAAAGAAAAGATTAAGTGTAAGGTATGTGTTTTACAGCTAGTCGACGTGCGGCCCAGCCTGGGTTCTCATATGGGATATTTAAATTTCGAACATGCGCATTCGTTATCGAATGGATCTATGAGACTTCCAAGTTTAAACCACCCTCTTTCAGATTGTCATTTTATGAAATAAACATTGCATTTTACCAGCATCTGGTTGAGAAAACGCTGGAACATCTGTTGTAAAGTTCTCTCGACCCCATTGTGTAAGGAATTTCGAATACAGATTTGCTTTTATTTGGATATTACATGGTTAATCACGGTTCAAAGGGGGGCTGGGGGGGGGGTGGAGAGGGAGATTAGTACCGCCTTCCTGATGATTTCTGAAGAATTTAAGCCATCTTATAACCCAGAGGTCACATCCAGCCGGAGCAACTGCCACTTTTCACGGCACATTCCTATTTATTCTGTACAGGATGCTGGTAGCTCACAGGTTAACCGTAGAATTTAGATGGGAACCTACACCATATTGTTGTATTCTTTGAAAGCATGAAGTACTGAGGAAGTAGTCTGAAGTGTGAGCCTCTCGTCACTAAAGTCTCTAGGACACAAGAACTTCATCACGAAAACTAATTAAAATCCAAAGATTTCACCGGGTAGCAAGTTCTTTAGACCAATGATGAATATTCACGTTTCCCTATGATAAATACCGACATTAAATAGGGCTGCTTCCTCTCAAGATCAATTATAATTTGAAAGCAATTGTCAAGAAAACGAAAGTGTACAGCACTGTGCATCAGTATTGTGCACGAGTATTGTGCAGTTTTCCAAATCCTCTCTCCACGTCTTTTCTCTTGCCTTCCTTTAGGTTAAAGAAAAGCCTTTGGGGAGAATGATTTCTCAATCCATTAAATCAGCCATTGGTGCAAACAAGGGTGCCGACTCTTCTGTAGCCAACAACCATATCACTTACAACAAAGGTTTCGGAGACGATGATCTCGAGATGGTTGACCACGCGAGCAAATCCGATAAATCTGTTGTGGATGACTCATCTCTTGCAGATCTCATCGGCAAGAGCAAAAAGGAGACAGCAGCAGAATTTGTTGACAAAGTATCCCGATATCTCTTTCCACTTTTGTTTATTGCATTCAATGTTGCATATTGGGTTTTCTTTACCATTTTTGTTTGAGACTGATTAGCTGAAGACAGCTTTTGAAACTGAAAGAGCATACACAAAAAAAATTTGCCAAGGGAACTCTTTGAAGTCGAATCCGCTTAACAATTTCCTTTGTACTTGTTAACTGACTGATTTGATTATATAGCTGCAGTCAGCATAGAGCAAGTTTTCCATCGCGCCCTTCACTTATAAAAATGAAAAGCAACGGAAAGATATATTACAACGGAAAACTTAGTAAGTCGAGTTTCCCTCAAAAAGACAAAACCTTGGCAAGTGTTCTTAGCGAGATATCTATACTAGCAAAAACCTGGCATGCCAGTTTTGGAAGAGGTCACTTATAACAAGAAGAAGCAGAGCAACATTTTTTATGTACACTGAAAAGCAAAACTTGTGAGAAATAGCTGGTGAGGATATGTCAAGTGTGGCGGATATTTGCATCGTACTTATCTTATTTATGTTAGTATAAATAAAAAATAAGCTTCAAAGCGAAACAAAAAACCACGGACCATGATTGCACCGAGTGTTGCACAACAGTAATGTGCATTGTCGTGCCACTAATCCTGATCGACATGAAGTTTTAATTCTGACCAATTAACATTTTTGGGTTTAAATTGACGTGACAGAATAAAATAGCTGAAGTATTTGAAACATATGTCGGGTCATGCCAAGTAATTCTTAAAGAAAATGCATAATAACGTGATTGTTGTATTATTCGTAATCTTTCTGCAGCTCTTTTTAGAGAAATCACATAATCCTATTGCGTGAATTTTTCATTCTTGAAATAAGATATGTCTTTAGAGTTTCTTTCGCTTTCAGTCGTTCCAAGGCCCGGTCCAAAGTAAAGAAAAATTTTATTTGAAAACGACATGTTTTTGTTGCGAGCTTGCCCATCATAGAAGCCAAAGGAAACGTTTAATGCGAGTCACATTAGTCAAATTACCTAAGCAAAAAATACGTTATTGCAAAGTAATATAGCTTGCTTCTGATCTCTTTTAAAGAACACGGTTTCAACCAATCATAGCTCGCGTTTCATCGAGTGAATGGGAAGGTAATAGGGATGAAAATCGCTTTTCGCTGAGAGAAAAAGACGAACTAAATGCATGCGGAGGATTGTTTCTACAGCTCATTGAGTGGGCTGAGATCGAGTTCCTGTCACTTAGCCATGTAGGAGTTCCTGTGTAGCCACAAGGTCATATTCTCCAATATTTCATGACGATTTCCTGTTATTTTCCATGCCAAAAATACTTGTCTGATAATCGGTACTCGGAAAGTCGGCCCACTTTTTACGATATCTACCTCAAGGGAAGTCAAATAATCACAATGATCCTCACTTATCTTCTTCTCCTTTCATAATACTGCCTTCTGCTTCGCAGTACCGTAATTATTCACTCTGGGTGCTTGTCATGCATATCACTCAGACAGCACTCATATGAAGAGCAAGCTATGCAATGTGTTCGAAAACTGAAAAATATTTCCGAAATATGATGAAAAACATCCAGACGATCAGAAATCATGCAAACAAACAACTGACCGCCGTAGGCCAGGGTGGGGAAGGGAATCCGATTTAAAATGTTTATGGAGACTACGAAATAACCCACAATAAAAAGCACGTAGAAAGCAATCGCCCACCTTGATCTAATTACATTTCTTCACCACACTTTCTACTTAATGACAAAATCATAAACATTTTAACCGCACCTGATGCACGAAAAGCCTAATTATTAAGGGGTGAATCAGAGTCACTCTTGTTCACCCCGGATAATTGGCTTTTCTTTTCGGGATAATGTCTCTTCAAATAGGAAATATTGACTGCGCTGTTGCATTAAAGAAGAAGCTCAAGATTCCTCAATTATTATGCGATTATTACAGTCTAACCTGCGTTAAGTGGTCACTCACGGGGAATGGCGCTTGACACTGGCTCTACAGAAAAGGGGTATTACAAAAAGCGGTACAGGGCGCCATTTTATGCCATAATAGAACCGTAAATGTATAGAATCTTTCTCAAAAATAGTGACCATTCAATACAAGAGGAAGACAATACAAAAAGGCCCTCTTCAGACTTTCTAAAGGGACACCGCGACTGCGTAATAGGGGTAACCGTTTAATAGAATTACAGTGATTCAGGGTAAACCATTTCTGGGTTTCGGCAACCGACCACTTTAGACAGGGTGACTGCTAGCATTGAGCAATAAACATGATTAAACCTTTTGTTATAAATATTTTGGACTTGTGATTAAAATTTATTTTATAAACAGGTTTTTCTTTACTTCTGCATTCTTCAGACTCTCTTCTACTCTTCTAGCATTCACATTAAAGTTTTTTGCATTTTATGTCTCTTTGCACTTTTTCATGTTCAGTTAGTCAACCCCCTAAACTTCCAAGATATGATTGTCTGTTAACTATCCCCTGTAATTGCCACACATTTTCTTGTAAACTAATAACGAATATTTTGTGTTAGATCAAGATAACAACTTCTGCCTGATACGTTTGAGTATCCTCAATGCCTGTTTGCAGGATAATGTATGGATATTATGGGTAGAAGTTACATGTTAATCACTTGGAGCTGAAAGGTTAAAGTACGTTTAAGCTTGCGTGTAGCTGTCTGCTTATATGCCCTAATCACAATATACTAGTTATAGTTCTCACTAGAGCTGCCCCCGCCCTACAGTACCATTTTTTTTTTTTTTTTTTTTTTGAGTTGGGCTTGTTGTTTACAGTTGTGTAGTTATGACCATTTGCGGGAAAAACGTTGATACCTTGCGGCCGTGCAAGCGATCAAATCGAGATTTTTTTTGGTTACGATCAACCGAAAACACCTACATTCTCTCTTCTCCAGTCTTCCTCTATACTAGGACAAATCTCGTGTCAAAGACGCCGATCCTAAAAGTCCTCGCGCGCGTGTCTTTTTACTGGCAGCCCATGACCATTTGCGGGAAAAACGTTGATACCTTGCGGCCGTGCAAGCGATCAAATCGAGATTTTTTCTGGTTATGATCTACCGAAAATACCCACATTCCCTCTTCTCCAGTCTTCCTCTATATTACGCGGGGAGTCCTAAGGTGCCTCCTCGGGTTTTTGGCCCTCTGGGGCCAAAAACCCTGCGGGGGCAAAAATTGATTGAATTCTAAACCTGACATGATCATTATCTATTTGGATAATGGATTTATATTAAATGTCTACTTATCAGCTTCATTGTTTACCCTAAACGCCTCGAGCAGCAACCTGAAATCATTTCAACTCTAAACGCCATGGACCCCAAAGATATGACGATAAACTGAGCATTCACGTATGTCAATGTTGTCTTTCAGTGCTTTGACTAGTCTTGATCAAAGTTAAACGATAAAACCTCACCAAAGGCTAAAAACATATGCCTTTTTTTCCTCACCTAAAAAAACAGAAAGGAGTAGTGATAACTGTGGTTTGTGGTGAGCAAAGTCTGTTTCAAATTTAGAAACCTAATTTGAAAGCATGACACATGAGTGTTTCTTCAAAGTAAACTATTTAACCATGATAAATGACGCACATCCAAACTAGAACTAAATGCAAAATTGCGCCTTGCGTGATTCATTAGGACGCACCATAAAACTCAACTACGACCGCGGCAAATACAGCAAAGTTTTTCGTAATTATTTTGTCAGCGCAATTACGTTTTTGCCGTCAGATTTCAGACAGACACCACATCCTCGACTTGAGTGCAATGCGGTGTCTTCGGGTATTAAATTCACAGGAAATTGGGCATTTATTTTCAATTTAGGTGAAAATATGTATAAAATCAGATGACGTAATTTGGGAATTTATTTTGGCGAAAAATGAAAATCTAATCCTTACTTAAAATTAATAAATAATAAACATAGTCGGAGTTCGGAGCTTTTAAACTTATATCTTCAACATTTCCTCACGTCTGCAAAGGCAAAATGAAATAATCTTTCGTTTGTTAACTAAATTTTTTTTAACACCTGACCTTCGCTTGTCAGCAGCAGCAAAAAGTCAAACGTAATAATAGAATCCGTTGTTTATGTTAGTATTTAAAGCAAAAATGTCCCTGAAGCAATTTGTAGTGTCAGTATATGTTTACATAAGAGGATTAAAACCTTTTTAAAGATGCTTAACTACTCGAAATGATTTTGAAGGTGTTTCGTGTCGGATTAATGCAGGGTTACTTTACGCACCGCAAGGAAATTCAACGCCAACCGCTGGATTGACAAGATAATACAGCTAAAACCAGACCTGGAATTTTAAACAGTGCCTTCAGAGAAAATTAAAACCGGGGATGCTAATATTGTCGCAAATAACCACGCACATGCAACTGAAAGATTTGACGCCTTTAACTGATCAGATCGAGCGGTTGGGAAGCCGTGAACTCGAGATATAGATTGGTAGGTAACGAATGAGACTCACAGTCAGTGTTTTGTCCTCCAAAACCTGTTCAACTTTCGGAATGAGAGGTTTCTAAATGTAATGAGTTCATCTGGAAAGGCTTTGTGTATAATTTAGAATCATATGGGGATAAATTTCGTGAGCAGAACGAAACACATAGCTGTCACCATTTTCTTTTAAAGGAATTCCATTTCGCCCAGAGTTCTTATGTAATAACTTTGGGAAAATATTTTCTAGAATTGCAGTGATCTGGTTTATCATTTAAAAACAGGAAGAAGTCTTGCTGCTCTTGCTTGTAAACTGATATATTCTTCCGAATTAATGGTCAATTAGTATTTTCAGTAGGACCCAATTTGCTTTAGATTTAACTCGAATGATATATTCTCCGAGATAAAGACTTTTCAGATCTCACTCTGTATATACTCCTTGTACTCTTTTTCCAGCATCAACTCAGTTGTCGAGAGCTCTGATTGATCTAAGCGAACTTTGAAATGCTGAAATCGGCAAAGGAAAGTGTAAGACTGCTTTCAAAATAAATTAATATACAGAAGTTTTGGTTACCGAAGCATCCTTTTTTTTTTTTTTTTTTTTAATATGCGCGTTCTAGTTTGTTTTGCTTTTAATTTTTTGGTCGATCTACAACTGGCGTAAATTAAAATTTTCTCCGTAGTCAACTTGTATCGGCTAGAATTTATAAGGAATTTTCAAATGAAAGCTTAAGTTTTCCAGCTTTACCGCTTTTATCTTTTAAGAAATGATCCGTTTTAGTAAATTACTTTGTACAGCCATATTTTACATGTATGCAATCGGAAAGAATTTTTTAAATTTCTTCCCTAATTAGCTAAGAGCATTTATTCTCAAAAAATGACGATTATAGATGCATAAATCTTTGTTTGCTCGTGTTGCTATACGGCCAAAAATTTAATCTTTTTCTTAGGAAATTTAATTAAAAGTCAAAAAAGAATCATGCATTTATCACGTTTGTTTTTGTTTAATTTTTACACCTAAAGAAAGACGTGGGATTTTTTATTTAAATTCGTGAACACTGAAATGACAGAATGCCCCAGATACTCGAAAAACGTTTTATTTTTGTCTAATTCGATCGAAAAATGATGAAATAATTTCGGGTTCATCATTCTAAATGAAATATCAACTAGGGTTCAATAGTATTCTTAGGTGAAAAAAAAAAATGCAAAAATCGTACGTCTGAGCTAAAAAATTGTGCTGAATCGAGGGAGCTTTAGATCACAGTCTCCGTAGAATTATACATCACCAATTTAAAAAGTCTAATTTTCTTCATCAATTCGACTGTTATTTTCGTTTGTTACGTAACAACAAAGGATTCGAAACGTCAAGTGCAGCTCCATCCATCACCAAATTACGATTATTAAAATTCCAAACATTTATGCCTATTTCCTTGCTGCGTGAAATGAAAACAATGGTCAGCTTCTTGTGTCTGGGGTTTTTGTTATTTTCATGGAAACAAAAAAACAGATAAGATCTGATTATCTATCCAATTCAGACCTTGTTTCATGCGAGGTGTTTACAAAGATTCTGCTGTTAAAAACGTAAGCTATTAAATGATTTTGACTCTCTATAACTGAAAAGTTCTCGGAATCTCCTATTCCACTCTGACAAATACAAGTATTCTTTTCTTTCTTTTGTCGACCATAAGCTAACGTCGAATACAAAGGCAAAGGTACGTAACAGTTAAAAGGAGACAAATAACGCACAGTTCTGAACAATGTTATCATGCTTTCCTTTAATTAAAAGAAGCGTTGTCAGCGAGTTCTTGTGTCGTCTTTTTTCATGATTTCATAGCACAATAGTAGATTATTTTCGTACAAAGTTTTGGACTGGAATTGGAGTGAAATATGGGTAGCGAGGAAGGATCTGAAATATACGTCAACATCAAGATCTCGGAAGAAACTAAAGAAGATCCTTGCACAAATTACTGACGTTGTTTTGATCCAAGTTTTCTCCGGCCCTGGTCATATATAGTCGAGTACAGTTGATGGTACAAAAAAAGTGTGGCTTCTTCAAATGTTTCGAATTTATTTGTTCTCATTTGCGGTATTTTGGATAAACATGTTGTTTGTCAGGGAAGCCACGCATTCCTTAGGAGCTGATATCAGCAAGGCGGACGCAATTATGTCGAATACCAACAAATTTGAAAGGAAAAAACATCAATCCAACAGTCAAGCAAACTTCTGGATAGCTTGAGTCTAACAAAAGAAAAAAAACACAAATCACGTATTTGCATACTTATGCTTGAGGACTAAAGTCTAATCAATACGTTAATGTCATTATAACTGACCTTTCTCAGTTTTGTATTTAGCAATGATGAAAGCATTCCACACGAAGAGTCGTTACTCAAGTACAAGGGCGCTGTTGATTCTTCTTCTCACAAACTCTGGAAGGTAAGCGATGATTCCTCATAGTTACGGAGATATATTGGACAAATTTTGTTTTCGCGTGCGACAATTATTATTAGATGAGGACTAATCAGTCATGGCGTAAACCGCATTGCGGGAGTATACAATATTTATACACAAAGATAATTTTTACAGCGAAAGACGCTCGCAAGTTTAAATTTTCAAGGCGGGTTTTAGAAATTGACGCTATGGTGGCTAAGGAAAGAAGTTAAAAAGCATTTTCAGCCGCCCCCATTTCAACTCCGCGGAACAGTCATTTTCCGACAGTAAGATGGCTTAATAGAATAATATGCACTAATCTATTGCACGACCTTGTATCTCGACACCATTATTTCTATTATAGTTCTTATCAATATTATTATCATTAACATTATCTCTAATATTATCATTATTACTATACATAATCAACTTTTACAGGGTCTTTTGTGGAAGTGATCTGCTGACCAAGTTTTTTACCGGGTACGACAAAGCAATCAGACCTTACTTCGGTAAGATGCTATTCATGGACATTTTTTCTTTCTAATATCAAACAGTAAGATGACAGACTGAAGAGCAATAATTCTGTAGGGACTCCTTGATATGTCCCTTTACCGACACAGGGTTCAGACATCAATCCTTAAAAATTCAAAATGTCCAGCGATGACAAAGCTAAAGGTGTAACGCGCATATTAAGCTAACGTGTCCTTTCTGCTCAGGCAAAGGGTCATTACATTTTTGAAAGTTTTTTTCATCTTGTTCTGCTCAAAAAAATATCAGACAGAATTAAATTTCAAAGACTCTGCTTACAATCAACTTTACAATCTCTTAATAAAAACATCACAAGAGAGGATGTGCTCGTCCGGATTGCGAAATGTTGATAAGGTTCTAAAAAAAGAAATGTCGCATGTGTTCTTAATTACATATTCATTAGATTCGTTTTAACTTTTTTTCCTTAAGATCACGATTAATTCCGGCGTATCTTGAAGTGCTAGTTCAAAACCTTATTGATCTCAAATCGGTAATATCATTGGGTAGGGGGGGCGAAAAGGGGGGGGGAGGGGAGGTTGCGTGCATTAAGAACCATTTCACTATTTAACTGTACTGTCATCTACAATCGTTCTTGATGTGATCTCTCACGACCGGATTCGATTCATAAAATGCTTTCAGATAAAGGGACACCTTTAACTGTCTCGGTTGACTTGTATGTGGAAGCTTTTGGAAACATCAAAGAGGCCAACATGGTAAGTAAACAGAACAAGTCGGTCATTGTAGTTGACCCTTTAAGTCCCAGAAGTGATCAACATGAAACTTAGATTATCTAGCAAATAGCTAATGAGAATATTCAAACTCAGGTCGAAGTTGATCTAACACCAAATTCTCATACCTAATTTAAGATATGTCCAGCAGCTAGACGGGAGAATTACTCATCAGATCTTGGGGATTAAAGGGTTAAATCAGAGACTACGTAGACCAAAATTGGTTGATAATACAGAAGAACTCTACAGGATTTGAGAGGATAATATGGTTTTCAGGGAGGGAGTGGACGTTAAACTCTAGCAGAATTAAAAGGAGTGACTAAAGAAAATTGACTGCCAAAGAGGGGAATCATTTGAATACTACAGAGCCGTAGGGGAAGGGGAGGGGGGTTAGGTAAATTTTATTGTGGTACAACGAAAATACTCCGATCCCCCTCCCTCTACTCTCCCGATAAAGAATGACCGGTCCCTTAGAAAGAAATTTGATACCTTGATAAACTGTTTCTTTTACTTATCGCAGTTTTCATGATTTCTTTTCACGAACAGGAATATTTGATATACGGCTATTTTCGCCAAAGATGGAAAGACTTACGCCTAGCTGGAAGGCTTAATTACACCCTAACCATAAACGGAGCTGACATTGACAGAATTTGGGTACCAGATCCCTATTGTTACAACGCCCGCGAGTCAAATATGATGATGTTAGATACGCAGCTGCATAGCAGGATATCTGTTGAACCCAACGGTGACGTGTTGTATAGCAAAGGGTAAGTAAATGTGAGATAATCCTTTACTTCCCTCAAATAGTCAGCACGATTGATAAGTCAGTAAGCAAGATAGTGAGGGAGCAAGTGAGTGAGTGAGTCGGTAAGTATCAGCCATGTAGTTTTGTCGATCCGCTAGTCAATCATTTGTAAAATGGTCAGTCTCTGAGTCGATCGAACGGTCAGTCATTAGGTCAGTAGCTCAGTCATACAGTCACTTAGCCCGCTCGCCATTCAGTCGGTCAGCCAGTCAGTTAGTCAGTCGTTCAGTCAGTCAGTCGTTAGCCAATCAGCCAGTTAGTCAGTCACACAGTAAGTTAGTCGCTCATTCAGTTAGTCACTTTGCCAGTCAGCCAGTCAGTCAGTAATTCAGTTCTTTAGGTCAGCCAATCTGTCAGTGGCAAAGTCAGTCAGTCAGACAGTTACTTAGCCATTAGGGTCATGTTTACAGCACCCTAGCTTGATTCTTTTCACTTATATTTTTTTATTCAGAGTGACGCTATTAGCCTCTTGCGACATGAATCTGCGGAATTTTCCTCTGGACTCTCAAAGCTGCTGTCTGAAATTCGGAAGCTGTAAGTAAATCTTAAACTTTCGGCTGTGAACGTAAAGAATGTTTAATACTTAAAATCTTAGTCAACTCCCCAGATCTGAAAAGTAATTCTCCCTTCCAGCTGCTTTATATGTCCTTTTAAATTAAAGGAGGAGAATTTGGTTTTATATCAAAAATGAACACTTAGGCTGATCAGCTTGTGTATTCTCATCACCTGTTTCGTTTAAAATGTTTTAAAGCTATGAGGAGAAGTTGTAGGTTGGTCAATTCTAAGAGTTAAACGGCTAATAGTGGAATACCCTGCATGTATTTTGTCCTGCAGATGGATACAGCACAGATCATATTAATTTTGAATGGGGACCTGCAGGCGTTTCTGTTGGAAATAACGAAATGGCCCAGTTTGAGTACATAGGCAACAAACTTTCCTCGGGCATAGACGAGTATAGCGTTGGTAAGAATCATTTCAAACGCTGGATTTTTCAATTCTATTAGCGTAACGACATCTTTGTTACCAAAAAATTGCTTCCTTTTTCATCAATTAATCAATACTGCGTCAGTTGATCGATACAGAAAAGAGATGATCGAGTCAGAAAAACTGAATATCACATATATTGCGAAGTATGAAAAAGACTTTGCTTTGTAATTTCACGAATGGGTGATTTTTTTTTTTGTGGGGGAATAGCGGGAAGAAACTTTTGCGAATTTCTGTTCTGACAGCAGAATTATTAACCTGGAAAGTAACGTATCGTCAAGTATTTGTTGGTTTATAAAGAATCGGTAAACAAATCAGTTCTATTTTTGAAAGTTAAATTTTGACTTAGAGAAGTTAATTTTTGCGGCGTTTTCTTTCGCATTTTCTTAGATTTTCGTAAGCGTCTTATAGCAGATCGAAAACAGTCCGCTAAAAATTAAATCGTGCGAATTTCCAAGCTAAGTCCAAACTTATTTAACCCTTTTACTTGCACTCTTTTTTAGATCCTCCCTGTTTTAATAAATCTGGGATAAAGAAATGGTTTATCCTAGGTAGCAAAGTTGTTGCCGCGAGAAAACTCGTAAAGCGCAAGAAATGAAAAAATATATATGTATATGAGCTACGTGAAAAAAGGGACTAGAATTGCCATTATCGCGTTGTACTATATAATACTCTATAAAATACAATTTGGTTTTATCAACTGAGTTTATAATGCAAATTGATCATCGTAAAGGGTTTCTAGAGCTGAAATTTCGACCATTAGCCCTTCTTCGGATCGAAAAAAAAATATAAATAAATATTAAATATGAAATAATTGTAATGGACTCACGCTTCAAACTATATGATGTATATGTTAAACAGGGAATTTCTCGACGGTCACAGTCAAGTTTACATTTGAGCGACGAGTTGGTTACTACATAATTCAAGTGTATCTTCCCGACGTTTTGGTTGTGGCGCTGAGCTGGATTGTTTTTTGGATGGACAAGAAAGAAATGGGGGACAGAATGGCTTTAGGAATCACAACCATATTAACTATCATGTTTCTTCTTGGTTCTCTTAATGCGACCATGCCTCGAGTCAGTTACCCAAAAGCTTTGGACTGGTATTTGCTGGTTTCCTTCACGTTTGTGTTTCTGTCGCTAATTGAATGTATGGTCGTGTTTATACTTACCTTGAGGTCTGGCAATGACAAGGATAAATCAAAATATAAGGTAACCGTCCTATCAATTGATCATGAGCACTTGTTTTGACGCGGTGCTATTTGTGGTTGCGTTAAGGTGTGACGTGCTGAAAGCCGAACGAAAAATATTTTTGCGTCAAGCAAAAGTTCATGTAAGGTGATTCTACAAATTAGTTGAAAGGGTTATAGATTGAAGGATACATGGAGGTCTTTTGGTTTAGGAGCAGCCGTTATTCATTGCTTAATTGGGAAGGAATGGGGTAGAGGGTTTTTCTTTGTAGAATCGCATAGTTTTCAGGGAGAACGCAGGTGGGATCAGTCTTCGCCAACAGAGTATAGATGGGAGGGGATGTCCCCCCCCTCCAGGACAAAATAATAACTACTCCCCAATGTGAACCAAGAGAAAAATGTTCACCTCTTCCATTCATTGATATCAAAACTGTTTTTAGGGTTTGAAAACTTTTCTCAGTAACTCAAAAGGCTTCCTTGCTTTTTTTTTTTATTTTGCAGTTGAGTTCAATTCATTTATCAACATTAGATATCAGTGAGCTGAGGCTGCCTCCGCTTGAAAATAGTGTCAACAGAAACAAAAAAGTGAATATCAATGGCGAAGCTCACATGCTGTGTTCTTCAGAAAGGAAGGACGGAATGATTAAAGATGATAGGCTGCCCAGATATAAGATTGACAGCAGTTGCGAGACAACAGCCGCTGATCGCGTTGATCGGGCTTCTCGATTTTTGTTTCCAGTGTTTTTTGTAATTTATAATATCGTTTACTGGGCTGTATACGCCCTTCCTGGAAAGAAACTTGAGTAAGCATCACAGGAAAAAAAGTGAAACGAAACCAGCCATATCAACGAATAAGCAGACGGTTCATGGATAAAATGTGAAATGTGTTGATTTTGTTTCAACTGCCGTATCAATGATTAATTTCGGATTCCTTTACCTGGCTGAGAAGCATGCAGATTGAAATCAATGTGACAAGCACACGTGCTGAAGCATTTAGGTTCTAAAAAAATATTTTATTCGCTGTTAAAGATTTTTTTTGTTAAGAATGCTTTGAAGTAAGTTTCAGGCGCTAGAAGAGAAACTCTACTGATAAACGCGTTGCTAAAAAAGGAAGACAGGTAGCATCAAGTCGACCATACATCACAAGTACTTACATGCAATAAAAAAAACTTGCCCTTAAAGACATATAAATAAGGTGGAAGACAAATTTTACAATGACATCCACAACTAAACGTTTCGAAAAAGAATTAAGGAAAATAAAATGATTAACAAATGCTTACGTATTGCACGATGTTTCAAATCTATTAAAAACTGTCAACTCAAGAATTCTTGAAGATAAAATATTCCCTGAAATACGCTGATAATCCTCTCCTTCTCAAGCTTGTGAGCAGAGTTTCTGGCTAGGAACAAAACAGACAGAGAGAACGTTAACTGAATTACGTGCCCGAGTTTCAAATACTAAAAAAATATATCTTTACTGCTGTTCTTTCGCTTTCAATTTTATCATGAGTCTTTACAGTACTTCCTGCTTTCCATTTAAGGCCATTTTGATATCAGCAGGAGATCAGAGATCATAATGAAGAATTTGCGAAAGCTCCACATGGCGTTAAGAACTTTTTTCAGCCTGCCAGTTATGAAATTCTAATTCACATCACCAAATCCATCACTGTAAACTCATTTGATCACTATTTATGGCTACTTTGGTTCTATCAACTAAGTTTATAATGTAAATTGATCACCGTAAATAGTTTCTCTCATTACGATGGCCAATTTACATCATCAACTCATTTGATTAAACCAAGTTATCTTTTTATACCCCCTATCTAAGCAACACCACGATTTCTTTAGAAACTCATCCTTGAATGTTCGTCGCATCAGTTGTGAAACCAATAATTTTTTCTCTTTTTCTCCTTGTTCATCGTTGATATCATCTGCTTTATTATTCTTTGTAGCTTTATTTATCTGCGCATTATAATTCTCAGCGTGAAGCGATTTATGCGTCTGTTTAAGTCAACGGTCTGCTAAGCAAATATAAAAGCAGGCCCCACAGTGCAAGTAGCTATCAAATGGATGTTATTGTTTATAAAAAGGAGGAATAATGCGTGATTGAAAATGCAAATTACATCAAAATGCAAACTACCAGTCGAATGAATGCAACGGAATGATGTTTACTTAAATTAAATGTGCTCGTGGAAGTTGTGTGGCAATCGAGTTCAAAGAGAAGTAGATTTACATTAGCTTAAGAAATTCTGGTAAGTATTCTTCTTCTACAGCCTTCTTTCATTTTAAGGAAGCTAAGGAACTTTTTCAAAAGTTAGCTCTTCATTCGTACGCGCTCATTAAGTGGGCAGCACAACGGGCGTGATAGTTACGTAGGCATTTCATAAAACCTCTTTCATCAAGGGAACGTGAACTCTTGATTTCTCTTTGAGAGAACAAAACGAATCATTGTGTAGAGATTTCAACTGACTCATAGCAAGTTTCATAAAATGACAAAATGATACAAAAAACTCGAGATCTGTTTGTGGTAGCTTTCTAACGTAATTACCGTTTGTCTTCTGTATCGTCAATTTGCATGTAGAAACACGCATCCGTCTCACTAAATACGACTTCGCTACACACCTCCCTACATATCGAGCCCTTTCAATGACACGCCGAATAGAAAGCGAAGGAAAAGGAAGCGAAGCAATATCATCGCGTCGCTTCCTTTTCGTTGTTGGCGGCTATGTTAAACTCTTATTATGCAATGTCAATTTGTGGTATCCTAAGCTCTACAATACGCATATATTGCTCATCGTAATAATTATCATGAAACAGAATTTCGAATCGCATCGTTATACTTAACATTCACAAATCTATCAACTGAACAGTTAAACTGAAAGCTTTTGACTCTAAATGGTGGGTAACGACATAAAAGAGCCATCTCGTCGGTGTCGCGAAACTCGCGCAATTCTGAATTTATGATAAGGAATTGTCAGCCTCCTTATCACGATCAAACAAGCTTGCTTTGTTTGGTTTTTTTTTTTTTTTTTTTTTCTTTCTAGGAAAAAAGGATGACGCAATTTTCTATTAAAACTGTTTTCAAGATTATCTTTTCCATTTTCCTGCTATTGCGATTGTAAGTATTCCTTTACTTTGCATTCTTGACTCTTTTCAGGACACTTTTGTTATCGCCGTCGTCAATCAACTCGTCAATTTAACTATTAGACATCTATTAAGGCACTTCAAATATCCGACATATGATTGCGTCTTTTTCCTTCCTTACAGAGCAAATGGTGATGTTATTTCGACATTTTTCTCTGGCTACGATAAGGCAATAAGACCCAACTTTGGTAAGTAAAGAGTAAGTAGCAATCAGCAATCGACGGGATTTTTTGAGGAGGGGGGTGTGAGGGAAACAAAGAGGAACAAAAAAAAAAAAAGGCGGGGGGGGGCAAGGAGAAGTCAGTGCACTATCCTTTAGTCGCAAAAATGTCGTTCTTTATTTTGGACTGAAACTGTTCAGTTAAACTGTTCAGAATTTCGTTGGCTGTAAATCCAAAAAGAAAAACTTTATAGGTCATAAGATCATTAGAAAGGTTAAGCACTTCCAAGAATTTTTATATAAGTGAGAGAAGATCAAGACAGAGTCTACTTTTGAGGTTTCCGTTTCCAAAACCCGCATACCCACACTCGCAATAAAGAGAGGCAAACCATTCACACAGGTCCAAGAAATAATCTGACGCAGATCGTAGTGCTCAGTGTTCGGCTTATCATTAGACATGGGGGCGATTGCAAATTTTTTGACCTAGAGAACTTGTGAACTTTTGTTTCTTTAGAGGAACAGAAGCCCACGATCGTCTATTGTAACTTGTATGTGGAATCTTTTGGAAACATTGAGGAGGCTAACATGGTATGACTAAAGAAATAAAGATCAGATACTTGATAGATGATGACAATCTTCTTGGCAAAAAGTGGAATGAATTGTTATTGCGCTTCAAGCCAAATTGAAATGAATATTTGAATTTTCATTAGTGGTTTCCTCAGGGCTTGTAACTAGAAATCAGAATCAAAACCATCTAATAAACAAGGTTAAGAATTGAGGATGCGATCGAAATCTGAAGTATTAATTACTCTTTTAAAATCCTGGCCTGTGTGACAATGCACGAAAATTGTTCGCAACTGGATACCCAAGCCGGTTTATAAAGCCAGCAGTTTCACTTTTTTTTTATCTCTGTTTCATTTTTTTATCTCTGCGATGTAAATGATAAGATATAAACGGACTTCAGGGGGGGCAATTTCGCTTAAAAAAAATACAAGTATAACTCAGAAATTTGACTATAGCAGACTTCAGGTGCAGAGTAAGGAAGGCTTTGCTTTTCATTCGATAGGAATACAAGGTGTACACCTATTTTCGGCAGCGTTGGACGGACTTCCGCCTAGCTGGAAAGCTTAACTACACCCTTACCATAAAAGGAGGTGATATCGAAAATATCTGGGTCCCAGATCCCTACTGTTACAATGCACGCGAGTCGAACATGATGATGCCTGACGAAGAGACACACAGCAATCTTAAAATTAAACCAAACGGAGAAATAATATACAGCAGAGGGTAATTAATTGACACTAAAATGAAACTCGGAGGACTACAAGTAATTCAGGATGATAAATGGCCATAGCATCAGACCCATTCATAGAAAACTGCTCAAATTTGACAGGAAGCAAATGGAACTCTTTATGAACCAGTCATATTTGCTTATTCTTTCTTAGTAATTAAGAAAACAAAGAACCGATAGTTTTTCAATCTATACTATGCACCCTCACGACCACCGAAAAACACATCCAATCAAGCTAGTTTTAAGCCTACATCTACTAGATCTATCTAGTAGATCTCAATCTACTAGATTAAAACTAAGTTTTAATTGAGCGAAATAATTTTTTCGACAAGAACGTGCGCAATTTCAGTCTTGAATGAATTGCTTCAATTTAAAGTTTTACGTTTTACATTGATTAGTGATAAATGCTTTCACATGGCCAGAGGCAGGGAAATATGCATGCACGGCAGATTGTCTGTTTAGCTTGTTTAATTGCGTTTTTACTGCGCATGTCCTCTCTTAACCAACTTTTACGAGTCCTTATTTGCGTCAAAATTATTACATAATCCAGGGTTACTCTTCTCGCCTCGTGTGTTATGGACCTTCGGAATTTCCCAATGGATTCCCAGAGATGTACCTTGAAGTTTGGAAGTTGTAAGTGACGTTAAATAACAAGTTTATCATATCAATGTCAACATCTGAACAACTGCGTACCTACCCCTTCTCTAACACAAAATTAACCATAATTTGTTATCAGTTGACTATTGTTGGGTTTAGGGACGGGTAGGTGAGTAGCTGCTTATATACTGACATTGATCCAATTTTTCATTGCAATTCAAGTCCTCATGAATGTCATATAAATCAAATCTCAACCCAGATGTCCTGGGCAATTCCGTTTATTATTCATTATCACAGAATCTTTATCTAGCTTTTTTATGTTTGTCCTCTGCTATGAAACGTAAAGATGGGTACACTACTGAGGACATCGTCTTTGAGTGGATCGCTGACAAAACAGAGATTGATGTAGGAAACGAAGAAATGGCGCAATTTGATTACAAAGGCTCTGAATTGACATCGGGAACAGACGTGTTTGACACAGGTCAGTCGAGAACAATGCAAGTTAGCATTTTTTTTTTGACAACACGGAGGTCAAATGTCGAGCATGCGCAAATAGACCTCTGTTCGCTTTCGTTTTGGATATATCCTCATTGGTGATCATTTGTTTTAGTCTCATTTCATTAGTCTCTTTATGTTTCATGACCCTAATTTCTACATCATTTACAGGAAATTTCTCAACTTTGACAGTCACGTTTTCATTTAAGCGGCGCATTGGTTATTTCCTCATCCAAGTCTACTTTCCAGACATTTTTGTCGTGACGCTAAGCTGGATTGTCTTTTGGATGGAAAAAGATGATATGGGAAACAGAATGGCCTTGGGAATCACCACTATATTAACCATCATGTTTCTTCTTGGTTCTCTTAACGGGAACTTGCCCAGAGTCAGCTACCCCAAGGCTTTGGACTGGTATCTATTAGTGTCATTTAGCTTTGTGTTCCTGTCGTTGATGGAATGCATGGTCGTGTTTCTTTTTGCATCGAAAGCCAAACAGGATGAGACACAGATTAAATACAAGGTAAGAGAACGATCGTTAATTAGCGGGTATAAGGGGAGACTATAATATAACATTTCTGTCACAATAAAATTTACCTGACCTCCTTTAAGCCTCTGTGTTATTCTTAAGATACTCCCCTTGGCAGTCAATTTCCTAAGTTACTCTTTTGGAGATGACTAATCTCTCCTCATTGAAAGGCATGTGATTCCTCCAAACCTTCCCTTTCCTCTCTCTCCCAGGCGATAAGTAATGAATGATCCCTAATCCAAGTAAATATTTCAATTTCATAGAAGAACGATATTTCTCTAACGAAAAGATTCTCGTCGTCCCTGAGGTCCGTGATTGGTTCAAAGTCTTCTTCAACTAACTCTCCAAATGGAGGAGTGTCAAACATTGGTTCTGGTGACGATCTGGAAATGGTACACAGGGCAACCAAAGATGGTAAGATCGTGGTGGACGATAATTCATCAATACAAAGAGAGAGGAGTACCAAAAGCGAAAGAATGGAAATGATAGCGAGCAAGATCGATAAAGCATCGCGAGTTCTTTTTCCATCAGTTTTTATCCTCTACAATATCTTCTACTGGACATACTACTAACTGGCACAAAATTGATGTATTAATGCCGCTTTTTTTCTGACGATGTTTAATGATAACGGTGATAACTATAATTTAGTAATAATGTCGACAAGAACGAGATTAATAGTTATGATAATCTGCCTGTTTCTGTCAATATTTGATTGTTAACATCATCTGTAAGATCTGCCTCTCAGAGAAAATATCTCAGAGAGGCATGCATTATGGCATTTTTCTTCTCAGAAGTGAGCAGTGTGCGACTGTGCAACGTCCCGTTGTGTAATGCCGAGTACCGTAGTTATTCGGTTATAAGGCGCACCGTTTTTTTCAAGAAATTCCTAATTTCTACTAAAAATTACCTTAAAGTTTGGGTGCGTCTTATAGGCGAATATTTTCCCGAAACAATTTTTTTTTTTATCACAGTTACTGGTACGATTTCAAGCAAATAAAATGACACACACACATTGACTTTTATGAATATGGTGGTTCTGAAAAGACAAGCGAAGTCAAATTTGCATTGATGTGATACGTGCTGGAGAGCACGTGCTTAGTAATTTGATACGTCACAAAACGAAACGAAAATAAACAAACGAAGAGGTAAATACCTTCTTCATCCTTTCAGCCTTTTTAGTGCACTGAGACCTGCATTCTCGGTGGTACATCTTGTTTAATCAAGGCTTTTGTTTGTGTGCGTGGTCGCGTGTGCTACAATTCTGCTTTTGTTGATTAACGGTAAACTAAAATCAATACGCGACTTTTTCGCTTTTTTTTAAGTTTATGAACGAATTTACAATAAACTTGACCGATCTTTACTCCCCAAACAACGGTGCGCCTTATAACCAAGTATTTTAGCGATTTTCTCAGTTTGAAAACATGCAATAATGAAGTTGCCGAATTGGGGGTGCGTCTTATAGCCGAGTGCGCCTTATAACCGAATAACTACGGTAAATGGCAAGTAGTTGAGAAAATTGACAAACTCCCCCAGGAGCCCATGGGCTCCTGACTCCCCTTAGTTAGGTCCAAATTCTCAAGATGCTGAAGTCTTAACCATGGTAACAGACGCTCCTTTTAATTGCCAATAAACGAATTGAAAGAGGAAATCATATAAAAGGCTTTTTACCAGCTTCCCAAAGAATAATCAAACTTAATTTTGTATTAATCTAATGCATTGTTTTTTGAGTTTTGTACATTGTATAATGATTAGGTCTACTACAAGTCGTATTTCTCTGAAGAGGTAAAAAAATTATAATAGTTTATGGGAAGTTATTGTAAGATCGTGATAGCGTTTTACAGGAGATATTTTTAATAGAAACACATGAATCAAAATATGGAAATATACCTGTTACAAGGCAACCAAAAGTGGACTTGGCTACTTCCAATTGTTTCAAAGCCAAATCGCCGGAGTTATGATTACAGCTGTTCAAAAGCACACACAGCTTTTTGGGTGACCTTCGCCTCTTGATGTTAATTCCTTCTGTATTTTTTTTCTGTTTACCTCAAGTTTTCTTTATTCATCCATGAGATCTTGTCTTATGGTGTTAATGACACTAACAAGCTGGCTTTTTGGGGATAGATAGGAAACCGACAAAAGTTGCCTCTAGCGTTGCCCTGGGCAGACTTTAAGTGTCTTTAAATTGGTCTAATAAACATTAACTTACGCTCATTAATTAGTTGATGATGAATTCGTAATTTATGCAGTTTTTAGTGGTAAAGAGCACTTACGTGACATATGGGGGCAGTACAAAAGCTTTCCGCATTATTTTCTATTGTGCGCGCTCGTCACGGATGAGTTCAGGGAAGACTAATTAAACAAATGATGCAAATAAGTTTATTTAAAGCACGCCAAACATGCTGGAAGCAAGTGCAGTTGTCTTGATCCGGCAAATTTCATCGGTCTAAGACAAGCGTTCGACCCAAGGATAACTCTGGTAAGTTTAGCTTTAGTTGTCATCAGTGAAACTTAATCAAAGGTGAAAAAGCGCTAAACCAATCGGTCCCTGAGAGACCAGATCGATGTGTTATCTGGATACATACATTTTATGCAATCAATATTACCCAACGCAACTTGGAATGATCATTCGATTTCGTCTTTGAAGTGGTTCTACTCAACAGCATGTTTACGTTTCGCCTCAATAGTTAACTTATTTTACTCCAGTGATAACAAGATGAGAGCAGAAATATAATCATGTGAATCAAACTATTGCACCGATTTGACGCCAAATTTCATAACTTCACGCTCGCGCGTGTCAGATAATTTTGTCGCTAAGAAGTTCGGTCTCGCATCATTTCGGAACTCTCAGTGCCCTATAAGGCCCAATTAAAACGTCGAACTTGACATGTGCCGAACCTAATACCACTTTGGGTCGACCTAAATAATTTTGTTCGGCGTTGACTCAAACGTCGAACCTAATTAAGTCGAACTCAAGTGGAAAAGTGAACGCGACTTTATTGCGGTCAGACGGTTTGCTTACCAAAATGGCGGGAAAAAAATGCGGGAGAAAAATTGTCGAAATGAAGAACTTATTTTTTTTTGCAAGTGCGATGAAGGAAGGTAAAAGAAGGCGACTCAAGATGTAGTAAGCATTAAATAACCACGCTGCCAGGAGAAGACAAGTTTTGTACTTGGCTTCCCTTCTATTATTGCTCCTTTTCCAAATGAACATCATCGTTCCTCGTCCAGTTCGTACTTGTCGTCGGCTAAAAAGAAATATTGCATAGAAGTAGTTCATGCACCCTAGGCATGTATATTTCGTGCTCTCAAAGCAAAAGACAATATACACATCATGATTTGCCGCTCTTCTCGTCATTTTGTTGCCAAACAAGTTGTGTGCGCATGAAATTGTTTAATAATAAACATTGTTGTTTAATAATATTGTTTAATGTATTTGTAATGTATGCACTAAATTCGGCTCATGAAACGGTTCGACGTGTGAAATGAAGTCGATCTTTTGCCGATCTATTCGACAAGCCCGGTCAAATAGAATGGCAGGTCGACCCAAATACAAATCTGTCGAACCAAATTGATTCAAACGTCGAGTTTTACATACGGCTAACCTAATTATTAGATTCTGCACACGTAAAGTTCGACGTTTGAACCGCGCCTAAGCCTGCCAAATATCAAATTCAAGTCAAAACCATTACAGTTCAAACGTTATGCTTCATGTAACATCAGTCTCCTATTGTGACGTTTCATTGCTACTTTTGACTCTTGGGATGTCATGCTTCAGCTGAATTGTAAAAACGTGTCTTAAAGATGTGTTTTCTCTAATTCCGCGCCGCACCCAGCATCAACTTTTTATTGATTAGAAAGGGATTTTTACGTGATGATTTAGCTTCGCGAAAGATTGTCTCGAGTTGAAGAATCTGTCTGAGATTTCCGAACGAAGGTAGAAGGAAACCCCTTTGGCAGAATAGAATCATGATAGAATTTCTGTGATTACAAGTTACTATTATTTTTTCAATTGTACATGTTCAATGTCGAATAACTGAATCAAGTGAACTGTAATTTTTCCAGAAATATCCACTTAGGTAAACATAATGTGAGAAATGTATTCAAGCTGAACAGTGGCGCTTTATCTTTCAATATCTAATCATACTCCAGCCAATAAAATAATGAGTAGCAAAAATACAGCAGGAACATGAAATCTATAAGAATCATAAACCATAACTGAGGAATACATTATGTGTCGCAAAAAATAGGTTTATTTGCAACTAGAATAAAAAACATGGTAAATTTTGATCCTGGTAAAGAAATAAAAAAATGTGTTTTTTCGTCTTGTCACGAGCGTGGGACAAAAGTGAAATTAATTAGTACCCATGAGGAATCGAACCCCAGACCTTGGAATCCAGGCTCCGATGCTCTACCACTAAGCCACACAGAGATCGACTCTATGGTGAGAGAGGCTAAGTTAATATAGGACACGTGTCCTGCATACCACGGGGTTCAGCGCTAGCAATGTCGACAGTTTAATGTTTGTAAAAGGAATAAGAAAGATGTTTTGAGCTCTCTTGAACCAACCTTTCTCACATCAAATTCGGAGTTGAACTTCTTTAGCTACATAAAATAATCAGGCTTGGAGACGAAGTAGTTTACACTGAAAAACTACAAAAGTGACATGCTATGTTATAACGTAACGCTTTGCACTGTATCTTTGTAAACAGGAAACGTAAATGGTTAATTTAATTTTTCTTTTGTCCACCTCAATTAAGTCGACAAAATTAGGAGCCAGAGCGGAAGTGTCGTTCTAGATCTTTGCTATCCCACTTGATTACTAAGTCGCCATAATGGAATTTTTCCACTACCCCCTGAGTAGAAATATATTCCTCTCCCCAGTTTCCCTTAAAGTTAGGAAGGCGCACGGTTAACCTTTCGTGAAGAGGTAAAGAGAAGTCTTGCTTATATGAAATTTGAAGGCAATTTTACTACCCTTTCTGTAAGTCGCACAGCAACTAAAAAGAAAGAAAAAAAACTAAAGCTAAAGACATGAGCAATCGTTGATTTTTAAATGCGAATGCACAGCTACATTAGGCCAGATACAGTTGTGTGCTAGTTTGCCAAGCCTTTGAGCAGGAGTGAGGCTGTTGACCTTGTTATGATACAAACCTTGCTGCTTTTCAAATGCAAATTACTTTGTTATCATGCTATCTAGATACTGGTCTCCATCACAACAGGGTCACCTTCAGCCTCACTCCAAATCAATGGCTTGGTAACTAAGTACATAACTGTAAAATGGCCTATTGAAGCTGTGCATTCGCATTTCAAAATCAACGATTGCTCAAGTCTTAAGCTTTCTTCTTTTCTTTCAAATTGCTGTGTGACTTACCGAAAGAGTAGTACAATTGCCTTCAAATTTCAAGTAAGCGCCTTCATTTTCATTGCAAAGCACGCAAACTGATATAATTTTAACGCTGTTTTCAGATCTAGAAGGGTGAGGCTATCAGTATTCTATTCGAATTTGAGTCAAACTAAAGCTAAAATGGTCAGTAAGTGGCTATTTTTTCAACCCCGAGATGACCAATTTATCATTTATGATGGTAAGCATTAAATGAATCGTCGTGTTCCTGTTTTGCAAGAAAATTCTGAGTTCCTCTTCTTGTTAGTGCAAGGTTGAATTTGGCACACCGCACAGACGTCAAAGACCAGTGTGAGAGTTTAATCACTAATTTTACCCTGAGGCCTGGAAGTCGTGTTAATATTACATGCGTAAGAAAGCATATTTGTATACGCTCATTTAAGGAATTACTGATAATTGTATGCGGTTCAGTAACCTCCGCCGCCCACGAAATCATCGGATTACTTATGTCTGAGTTTACCATCGAATATCTCAGTTTGACCCGTCTAATTCGTCTACTGTGTGACTACTTGGCAAATCTCAACGTCAGTTATGCGGCAGTGCTGATAAAGAGACAACCAAAGTACGAAAGGCGGAGTCGGTAAAAAGCTTTTCTCAGTAATTTTTTGAAATTATTGCTCTGTTGAGTTTTTTTTTTACCTCGGTAGCAGCTTGAGACTTGACGGTGTACACGACAAAAAGAAGAAAAAAATTACATTCGATATGGACTCTAAGTTTTGGTTCATTCACACAGAGCTCAAAAAGCGCCAGTTGAGAGAAATTATGATGGTGAATCCAGTCTCCAGGAGCTGAAAGTTGGTTCAAATATCATTCGAAATATGTTGCTATTTAAAACTAAGACTTTCTTTCAAATGCTAGCGTGCCACGACATGCAGATGTCTCTGTAATTGTTCGTTAATTTTTGTCTATTTTCCTTTCTACTGAATGCTACTCTGTGGCTATTAATATAAAACCAATGACACATAAAGGGTTTTTTTTTTCATTTTGACAAAAGGTTACTGATATCCATAGAAACACGACATAAAAGATAAAAATTTATTTGAATGTAAATTCATGGTCATGTAAAATATACAAATTAAGCATTTATCAATTACATGTGAAGATGTATTATTGATATCAAGTCTTTTCAGGAGACGGAGAACTGATACTAAGAATAATAACAAATCAGACATTTCGACCAACTTGGGAGACATTTAAGAGTTTTGTGAGAAATATTCAGCATTAGATTTGAGGATGTGCATGAACAACTAAGACCAAAAAGGAAAACAAAAAAAACAAAAAAAAAACCACAGCGAGCCGTCTTAAATCATTCACAGTTATGGTGTCAATTGACAAAAAGGTTTCTTATCATTGCAGAAATAGTCTGATCGCTTCAGGCAAACTAGTTTCTACGAAGATTTGCTTCGTATAAGCGACGGCCAGGCGTAGTGATTACGATTGGTATTTAGCAAGATAAATATGATAAATGTTTTATTGGCGATTGCCTTGCAACCTTATGACATTGCACTGAGCTTGGTATGTGGTTGGAGTAATAGTGGAAGAGATACTGTTACAATCGATTATCAGAAAATTTTAGGTGATTTGAAGCTTGAATAAGAACAAGAACAAAAACAAAAACAAAAAAAAAACGGTAACAATGAAATAATCAAAACTTACCAGGCGCCAAAACAAAGTGGGATGTCTCAATTAATTCATGGTTATGATCGCAATTAAGTAATGGTATCGTGATATTGTACATAAAAAAAAGACAGCCTGCGCACTTAAGTAAATTATTTCTTGTGAAAATTTTCTGTGTTCAAGCGACAGCCTGTCGTAGTTACAGTGATCATTATGACAAATGTTTTATTCAACAACACAAACTTACAAAAATTATACATAATTATAACTATAATTATAGATATGCCACGTGGTTGATGTTATTGTGAGGGATGTTGTTTAATATTTCGAAAGTTTTAAGAATTCAAAGCTTATATCAAAATTACATAAAAGATAAAACATAATCAATACCACACAAATAAAAAAAGGAAATAATTAAAAAAAAAAGAAGATTATTCCTTGATTAAAGCATCCAGCTGTTCGACGGTGGCTTATAAAGGGAATATTATTTTCAATTAAGCGGAGGACCCCTAGATGTCTACCAATCTAATTCTTCCTGTGGTTGTATTCATGCATGAATCTTTACTAATTTACTAAGAGATTCTTAATGGAGAGGTCACATTGACGGTAAAAAATAAGCCGTTTTGAATCTGTTAACCAACCGTGTCAGGTATACGTGCACTAGTTTAGTTACTTCCTTGGAAGTATTTCTACTTATAAGCATCTTAATCTCTATTTATGTGTTTTCGTTCATACAGTTTCAAGGAAAAATGAGGCCTTTCTCATCAAGGAAGTTGACATTTAAGAGATGTATCTTCGCCAGCGTCCTGTTCATTATCTGCCTGAGACGGTAAGTATAGCACAATATAAGTTGTTTTATCACTTGTTTCGCGAGAATTTTTTTCCTATTGAGCATAATATATAAACCATATCCGATGATCTGATATTGATACGCGCAGATATTTTGCGAGTCGCTTAGTCTTTTTACGACAAATGAAAAAACACGATATATTTCTGACGTAAAAATGAATTGCTCAGAAAGTAAGGCCTAAAGAAAGTAAACGAATCAAAGTTTGTTTTTATTAGTGAGTCCTTTTTTTGCCTTACTTCAGTTCTCGCGTATTTTTTCCCTGTTTTACAGTGTAATACAGTTGCATGTTTTTCGCTTTCTGCATGTTATCCTAATATTGGAAAAATGGCGTGCAAGTAAGAGTGGAATGATAAGATATCGCTTCTACAAAATTAAGAGTTGGAGTTCTTTTGAAAATACGAAATTATTTGAGTTAGTAGATGGTTTATTTTTAAGGATCAGCATTGTCAAATTATTTTCAAGGCGCTTTTTTAACCGTTGCTATCCACTGGATAAACCTCCACCTGTTGGATCGCACCGTACGCTTTACCATGATTTATCAGCTGGATAGTGATTCATCCGCTGGATAGTGAGTTATCCGTTAGATAGCGTTATCCGCCCTTTGAAAAAGTGGTCCCTGAATGAAGGATATTTTATATTTACAGAGCTCAAGGGGACTCAGACGTGATAAACACGGTCTTTTCTGGCTATGACAAAGTGTTGAGACCCGACTATGGTAAGAAATGTTTTACGGTCAAACAATTTTTTTTTTCTATGTTGATTTTGTAAGTGGTTATTAGCAATAATTAGTAATTGCACTTAACAGCACTTTTTTTTAAAGAAAAGGGAACACCCACAGTCGTCAATTGCAGTCTGCTTATCGAATCGTTTGGAAACATTGAAGAAGCTGACATGGTATGTATTGTAACGACATGATCTTTAATTATTAGACATTACGTAAATAAGTTGATGGTCCAACTGAAAATTCACTTCTGTTTTCATTCTGTCATAACTTTTGTATCAATTTTTTATCGATGTGTATTCACTGCGGGTATAATAAACACCATGTCGGAAAAATTGCATTTTTCCTTAATTTATCCTCAGAAGCTGCACAATTAAACGGTGACGACTAGTTCCGGTTTAGTAGGTGGAACCCATCTAGCAGTGCTTTAATTTTCCTTTTTTCAGTTAAAAGCTTTATTTTCAGCTTGTTTTATTCGTGAATATTATAAGTTCTCTGGAAAACTCGCTTTTCCTTAATCAACTTAGACGTTACACGATGAAACTGACCAACTCCCGCCTTAAGGCTCTGTACGGATATTCTGACGATGCCCCCACTCCATCCCCCGCCCCCCTCACCCTCATTGTTGGTTCACTGGGAGTCAACTTTCTATATTTCTATATAGTCCTATCTACATACTCTGTTGGCGACAACGGATCCACTCTCCGTTCCCTCTGCCCCCACCCTTCCACCTGATTACAAATAATGACTTTAACTTGACCCAAACAAAAGTCAGTCGATAACTGATATCATATTACGGAAGAGTAAAACCTCTGAAACAAGGTATCTATTTTATTCCTAGGAGTATAGAGTGTACGCTTATCTTCACCTAACGTGGAAAGATCCACGCTTGAGTGGAAAGGTCAACCGCACCCTTAGCTTAAAAGGAGATCAAATAACCAACATTTGGGTGCCAGATCCCTACTGCTACAACGCACGAGAGTCAAACATGATGAGCCCGGATGAGGAAACGCACAGCAATCTGAAAATTAAACCTGATGGAGAGATATACTATAGTAGAGGGTGAGAACGAGACGAGCTTATGAATTTTTTTTTTCTCTTATGAACGGATGATGAAAGGTTTGTTTTGACATTACATCAATTGTATGAGGGATCATTAGATCCTTTTAGCAAATTCCAATTTGACATGGTTTGATGCTACTCTGGTTTACAGATTTAATGAATGTAACAGTAGAAGTTACAACTCATAGGCCCAACGTTTCGACACTCTTATCTAGTGCCTTCTTCAGGGGTGATCTAACAAGAGGACCTCATTTTCAGCAACTGATTGAGTGTTTATATCTATCTTAGAGTAAGTTTGCTGGCCTCCTGCACCATGGATTTAAAGTATTTTCCATTAGATTCTCAGATGTGCTTTCTCAAGTTTGGAAGTTGTAAGTAGCGACATATAAAATATAATATTCTCCTTACGAAACCATGACATGAACAGGATTAAGAAGCGATAAATCGCACATAGCTTGGCATTAAGTAGATAGGGAGCGTTCCCAAGACGGCGTGATAGCAAACAAAAAATCAAAGATGATGCGACGACCGCGCGAAGAATGAGGAGGAAAAAGTGACGTGATCACGCGCAAGTTCATCACGCCTGGCGTGACTGTAATTATCATTTGTCACGCCATAGCTGCCAAATCCGTGCCTCGATAGGAATGATATTTAAATTGTGGCTTACCTTGTTACTAACGGAAAGTCCAACGTAATCAATGACTTTTCAGATATCCTGTAGTACGCGAGAAAAAAAATGCTGACCATCACGTACGCAGCAATAATACTTTTATGCAAATAACTTCTACTGATATATAACATCTGAAAACACATCACGTGAAAGTAAAGAATTTATCGTCGTAAACACAGGAAAAAAATATCTTTCTCAGTTGCAATTGCAAGAGCAATAATTTCGTGTGTTAAATCCACTAAGACCATACTTTACCTCATAGCAAAAAATTTGAAGCTGGTTTTGTATCATTGTGTTCGAAGGTTCTATTTTCGAGGACAAGACCTCGTGTGATCCTGTGTTCTACAAATTATGCATGCTGTTCTTTGTTAAGAATTTAATGGAGTAAACAATAACATCACCCTTGGGACTAAGAGTTATTGTTGGGTCAAAATTGATCAATAGATGCAGTAAAATACAAAATCAATAGACAGACGTTCTTATGCAGAAAAAGATTCACTAGTACAACTTTTAAGCTGATGTCCAAAACAATTTATTACTTTAGGGGTTACAGATATATTTGGCGCAACACACAGTTGTGAAGAAATTTTTTTAGGGGGGAGAGGAGACTTGTGGGGACCCAGTTATACTTCCCACAAAATCGATTGTTCTCATAGTGCTGTTATGTAAACATACGGAGGTCCCCTCCAGAACACAAACCACACTTTATGGAGAAAACACAAAAAGAGAAAAAGCAGAAGCAATAAAATTAAATGTTGTCTATGTTTTATGTCTTTATTCAGATGGTAACACGGTGGAAGACATCATATTCCAGTGGATGCCGGGAAAAACTAAAATCGCCGTTGGACACGAGGAATTGGCTCAGTTTAAGTACATGGGTTCCTCACTGGAGTCTGGTGTGGCTGTGCTTTCCACAGGTTAGCCTCGAAAGGTGTAAGATACATGCTTATTAGTTTGACAATTTACATGGTTAAATAATGACTGGTCCATTATTTCAATTCTAGGTAATTTCTCCACCATAACCGCCAAGTTCTCGTTTGAGCGGCGCATCGGCTATTACCTTATCCAAGTGTACTTCCCGGACATTTTTGTTGTGGTACTGAGCTGGATTGTCTTCTGGATGGAAAAAGACGACATAGGAAATAGAATGGCGTTAGGAATCACCACCATCTTGACCATCATGTTTCTCCTCGGATCCTTGAATGGAAACTTGCCTAAAGTGAGCTATCCAAAGGCTTTGGACTGGTATCTGTTGTTTTCATTCAGCTTCGTCTTCCTGTCCTTGATCGAAAGCACAGTTGTGTTTCTTTTCGCAGTGAAAGCTAACAAAAACGAGAAGATCAAATGCAAGGTAAAACCTGGGCGGCAGTATTCTGTTACTGTCTAGTTATGAAAAGCTTAGGGCTTGCTAAAAGAAAGAGTTTCTCAGGTGCTTTTACCATCCTTATTTTTTAACTGGTTTACTCTTGTGCATTCAATTAATCCACTTCGTTCTCCATGGAGCACAGGGCCGCGGAGGCAAATCACATTTTTCACCTTAGACTTCGATTGGGTGGGCAGGAACTCATTTAACATAGCAATTTCTTCCATGGTTTTCTTTCCCCACTTCAAACGCTCCATTTGTTGAACAAACATTTTCTAACGGGGAGAAGTTGATAGCTAACGCCCAAGCATTCCAACCCAAACTCTCCCGGCCAGGCTTGATGTTTTCCATAAAAGTTTCTCTGTACGTCTCATTTAACTTACTCACCATCCTCTACTATCCTAAAGGTATTGCTCACTTTTTGTCATACTTATTTCAGAAACACACCATTCCTATCACGACAAGAATTGCATCATCAATGAAATGTTTCGGTAGTTCGAAGAGCGCAAATGTCAACAACGCTAACGATGACTACAAAGGAGTATCTGAAAATGACCTTGAAATGGGTTACCGTCCGAGCAAAGCTGACAAGGCCTTGGTAGATGACGCAGAAGCAGAAGTCCCTCACAACAGGAGCACCAAGATCACACGGATGGAGAAGAATGCCAGCAATATTGACCGAGTGTCACGCGTTCTGTTTCCACTGGTGTTCCTTGTATTCAACCTGTTTTACTGGACATTTTTCAACGGTCATGTAGTTAAGCAGTAGTCGCACATGTAAACTGATAAGGCAGATTGTTTTGTTTTGTTTTTTCAGAAGTATTTTCAGCCTCTGTGTGAACTTCTTCAGTTTTTTTTTTCTAAATTTAGAAATTAGAACCAACCAAAAATCACTAAAATGTCTATACGTAATCTATTGGAATTCTCATTCTGCTGAATATCTGAACAGAACTACAAATATGTGTAAAGAGAGGAGAGAGGGGGGTGGGGGAGGGGGCAGGCCTGTAGGGTCCAACGGGGTTAAGCTTGGCGCTCGCTTCAGTCTCCCTCATGGATCAATCTTTCCCTCTCTTACTCTTTCAAAGACTGGCTACTGGCACGCTCAGTACAGTTATCATCAATAACTTGATAGTTTCTTTTAAAGCTCTTGGATAGGTCACAACAATATAATGGCCTAAATATTACTACGTATACACACGAACTAACGTATATGTCAGCTTACGTTTTGATGTGTGGGTTACAACTTTGCGGGAGAAAAACACTTAAATGAGTATTGTAATAAAAAAAAAACAGACAGAAGGAAAAGTGCTTATTAGTCATTGAATCAATATACATATTTCCTATCGTATTTCGATGGGTGCTTTAATTTAGAACTAATGCAAGACTATACGTGACCTCGAAGTAGTTTACAGAGCAAACAAAGCAATGATAAGGCCGTGGCGGGTGATGGGCCTGTTAAACAAGATATGCAAGGAAAAGTATCGAAGACTGCTAATGCAGTCGATAAGGCTAACAAAGTTTGAATCCTTTGCTTAACGTTTTATTTCTTTAGTACATTAATAAGGGAGAAAAATACTCTCCGACTCTGTTCGTGAAGAAGAAAAGATTGGAGAGGGTGGAAAAGCTCTTTTAAAATCAACACAACCACAACATGTCTTTGCTGTCAAATTGTCCTCTCATGCTTTCAGCCTATTAATTTTTTAACTAATTTTCATATTGGCCCAGATTTTGGGAAGTACTAGTTACTGCTGGGAAAAAAAGCATCTTGCTCTTAGTTAAAACAGATTGCAATAAAAAAGCTTTTATGTATCCGATTTCGCACCATATGAACAAATTTATATCACAGCAAAATGTAGCAAAAAAAAATGCAAAAAAAAAAGGGCTTGGAAGATTATGTTAATATCATTCGACTATCCTTGAGTGAGGCAAGGCAGCTGCATCAGAATTAACTTGTACGTGAGGAAGAAAACTGGAGAAAGAGTATTTAGAACTTACCATTTCCGTTGCGACTGTAATAGCAATCCTGAACAAAACAAAACTTGAGAACCCATGATTAATTTTTATGTAAAAATCCTCATTGGCACTGACGTCCAAACTAAAACAATTTCTTTATTTTGTTATAATTAGGACAAGTTATTTTGAATTATGACATTCTTCGATTACCCTAAGGGCATATTCAAAATTTTCAAACGCTTTTTTTCCTTAGAATAGAACCGAAAATGCAAGACACTTGCCACAATTCAATTGTACAAATTCCTCAATAACATCGCTTTAAGTGATCATAAATAATTTTAAGCTTCACGATATATGTGGCTTAGAGTGCTAAGGTAAACCGAGACTGAATATGAGAAATTCTCAGAAATATGATTAAAGACTGGTCACAAGAGCCCTAAGATATCTTCCAATGCTTTACTATATGTTCATGGATCATTTTTTATTTTTAGCCAATGATATATACCATAGTAAATCCATTCACTTTTAGTGGTTTTGTGCTTGACAGTTTAACACTTAAAAGTGTCAACCTAACCTTTCGTAAACATCCCACATCAATAGTGAATATCCAGTTTCAGAATAAGATTTTCAACTTTTACAGCAATTTTTTGGCTTTCTGATTTCGTGCATTTACTCGCGAAATAAATGTAAGAGCTTCAATAGCTTAACACCGTTTATTCAGCCTGAAAAACGACGCGGTATACAATTTGTGTTTTAATTGGCAACTTGAAATGGGAACCAATGTATTTTTAATGAATGTCGAGAAATGTGCTTTCCTTGTGTGTCATTAATTGCATAAATTTTCACAATTTCGCAACTCAATATAACTGGCTACGTTCCTATAAATAAATGTTTACAATATCAAGTAAGAGCATTTGAGTAGGAGGCACTCGGATATCTGGTGAGTTGAAGCGTTTGATGAAAATATTTTATAAAAGGTATGGTCGAGACTCTGTGGTGTATGCATGCTTTTTCAAGCATAATTTATGTACTTTCGTGTTAGTTCCAATGTGTTTTGTTAGAAAGAACCCCTGTGGTATTCAGATAACTAATTATGTAGACCCAGCTACTCGAATTCTACCCCGATTTAATGTCGATAAATAATTTTTTGTAGTGCTACGCTAATACTGACTCAACAAATTTGATGCGAGAAAATTCTCGGTCTATCGGCTTGAAACGTTGAACATATCAATGGTGATGGATAGCAATTCACATCAATACACAACTCAGCACAATGATTAACTTCCAATATCTATGTATTTTTAAGGAAAAGCCTCGAACTCTTCATAAGAAAACTTTGAGAAATCAATACTCGAAGTTCGCAAACTGGAACTTTGCAATTTTTAAGGTCTCAAATTGCAAGCGCCTCGGACTTCAAGAATATCCTCCAAAGAAAAAAAGTATATGCTACCGACCTAGCTGGATCGGAGCAAAATAAATTATTTATGGTGATTTTCAGAAATAATTCAAGTTAACGACAACTGTCTGAAGAAGTTCCAAAATTCGTTATTCATAATTCATAATTATTTTTTAAACGTCTACCACCAGCGAAATTCAGCAAAAAACTTTCCTTGTGGACCAGACCAAAATAATAACATGGCAACTGTAATTAGCCTTTTTTATTATTGGTACTTCTCAAATACGAAGAGTTATGAAAACACGAAGAGTTATGTCGAGATCGGCCGGTTAGTAAGCATTTGTTCAGAGGTAAATTAATAATTAGGATTTATGTTACCTTATTTTAGAGTCAAGTCTGAATTTAAAATGCCTATGTCGATGTGATTGTTTTACTGTTTATTTTGATAGTCGTGAGTTTCCAACTTCAAGTCGGCAACAGTCTTTAATTGAGATTATTTCATGATCCATATGGTTCGTCCGACACCTTTAATTTGACAAAAATACTTGATAAGCATTCAACGGATATTAGCTTGAAGACAGCAATAATGATGCAAATTAATTGCTAATTAAAAATGCAAGGTCGAGACCATTTAAATCTCGAGGTCTTATCAGTGTTTTTCCTCTGAGGGAAGTTATCTCTACAGATCAATCCCCATAGATTGAATGTAAATAGTAATGTGCCATTTGTTACCACAAAAACCAAAATGAATTTATTTCAACCTCTCGGCTAGTAGGTGCGTTATGATTGGTAAACTAAGTGGGCTGTATTTCACGGTATCGCCTCGCCAGTATTAAAAGTTTGTTTGAACTGAGTTCTTCCCCTTCTGAACCCGAATATTCAATCAATATCTTACCAACGTTGATGTTCTCAGGCCGAACGGTAAGGTACCGTGACATCGAACTCGGTTAAAAAGAGGTATCTATTAAGAAGTCATAAGAAATTATCAGTTATACACCAAAACCATTTTTGTAATTAAAGAGCTATCTCCAGTCATCGACGAGGCAAAAACGAACAGCATCGTTGCTGCGATATTTGAGTCAATTTAATTATCTTTTGGTCCATGTTATAACTTCTGCTGCGTAATCGCACCCATAAAAGTGCTAGAATAACGCGGTTGTTAGCCGGACAGGAATTATTTTTTAGCCTAAATAAACGGAGTTACTCGAAGTGTTTCAGTTTGAGGACGGAATCTTTCCGTGCAGGTCTCACTGTTGTTGGTTTTCTTTCCATGTGGAACGAAACTACTTCGAAAGCGATGTCCACGTGAGTAAAATTCGCGAAACATGATTGGCTTTTTCATTATCCTACTTGGATCTCCGATATCTTGAGAGGTACAACAAAAAGTTGCAAGTGAGACGGACTACTATAGAAATAAGTCCATAATGGAACATCCAGTCTGTTACTTGATCATCTCTTGAATAGTTCAATTCAGTTTAACGCCAAAGGTGATTGCTGCAGGTTGACAAAAATTGCTAATCTTTGCAGGTAGCAAGTTTTCTTCGCTTCGATGATAAACCATAATGACGAACGTTTTGAAGAAAGAGAAATTTTTATGCTGTCGCTTCATTGGTTTAGTACTTCTGGTTATGCTGTATCCAAAATTGTAAGTGTATAAATCACAGTTAAGTGCATAATCTTGTTCTCGAAAATAGGCGAGAAAGGCGGGAAAAGCTGGAGAAGATTTTTACATAACACGTAAACACTACATTCTTGAATTTTAATAGTCTGTAAAGTAGTCATGGATAACCACCTTTACAAGTAGCAACTAATTATTGTACGTTATCTCACAAGCGGTGTGAAAAAGGTGTTAAACATTCTAAGAAGATGACACGTACCGTTAAGCAACACCATAAAAAAGAAATTTAGCGAATAAATTTGTTAAGAATTTTTTTTTCCCTTTTTGTATGAAAATATATCATTTTAGTCTATGCATATGGTAATCCGTCATTTCATAGCATGAAGGCAGAAATGCAATCAATGGCTATCATAAAACCTCACAGCAGTATATCTATTCAAGGGTATGCGATCGTGGTTGAAGTTGGCTCGTTGCATCAATGAATGGCAAGCGTGGATGGATTATTTTGTGAAATTAGTGAATTAATATAGTCTCGAGCACAAAATATTTTGTCTATTTCACCTTGATAACAGCACGTAAAGGCGAAAGAAGGAAAAATTCTAGAACAAGCTTGTGAGAACAACAACAAATATAAAATTAAGATAGCAAATATTTGGGTTAAAGGGCACCTGTAGCGAACTTGCATTTTGTTTATAAGACTCAAGATGGCTATGTTCGTGTTCACAGCAGTTCTGCAAAACAAAATGGAAGCGTGGTCTCCGGGTCAGTGCTGGCAAAATTGTTTTCTGATTATGATCAAGTTGTGCGACCTGGTTATGGAGGTAAGGCAATCTCGATGCGCTCAAGAGAAATAATAACATATACCACCCTTGTCAATGCTAGGATTCAATTTATTCATTTTGGCTAAAAATTGGGAGGAGTTATATGACTCTATGGCACTCTGGGCTAAAAATAGCAATAATAATCAAAGTAATAATAATAATGATACTAATAGTAGTAATAATAATAGTAATAATAATGATAATAGGAATAATAATAATGACAATGCAAGGGATCAAAGATCGAGATTCCAGTTCTGAGCGGGATTATAATCATGTGTTCTTGAGTAATTGAGTTCGTGATTCAAATCCGGGATAAGCTCGCACGCTGGGAGCCTCTTTACTCATGTGCATTGTTGATTGCTTGGTTATGTCGGCTGCATTGTATGGGTAAACTCGAATCAATGAAACCAATCTTGGGCAATTAAGTGACAGAAACGATTTATTATCCCTGCTAAATAACTGGCTATAGGTTAACCCATCCAGAGTTATGAATTACCACGAGCTTAAGACGTATCCATAACATTATTTTTCTCTTAATACTTATGGAATAATGAAATCTAGATTAGACCAACATCAAACATTTCTTGTTGTCAGAAATCATTTTTTTCTATTTTTAAATAATAACTTTTATTTACTAATGTTAGTTTATTTGTTTAATCATTTCAATTTTATTCAAACCCAAAGTTTTTTTTACTGGTTTATAACTGAAAATAATAGTTGTATTTTGTTTTATACAAATGTTATGAATCATAGGAGATGCTATCGAGATCTTTGCAGATCTCTACGTTGAATCATTTGGAAATATACAAGAAGTAAATATGGTTAGTATTTGCAGGGTTCTTAATTTTTAGGTCTCCATGACAAAAATCCCGTTCATACATTCTCCTCAACTCTTCTCCCAAGGGGCTTTTGGTAGCTAACATGCATCTTTGAATTGAGGTATGGTATCAAGCTCAAACTATGCAGGGTCTCACAAGTTTTCAGGGTGGAATTAGACAGCTAATTTCAACAGAAACTGTAATCGTTGTGAATCTAAAAACTTAATGATCCCTTCAAAAGGTCCTACAGAGATTTAAGCATCCATTAACTACATCAATTGACTATGGTCAAATGCAGTCTTATCTGAAATCAGAAAGTATGGTTGCAGACCAAAATTGCAGGACACAAAGTTGATGTACCATTTCATCGCGTTTTTCGAAACCCTATTGCTGAGAGCGCGTCAAATTGTTTGGATCACTAGTGACAAGTGATTTCAAAATGTATGTAATGGTGGCGATGAAACTTTCATTTATTTCCTTCCCAGGAATTTAAGGTGTTTGGATATTTACGACAGCAATGGAAAGACGGGAGGCTTTCTGGGAAGCTTAACAAGACTCTAACCATAAAAGGCGAAACCATCAGTCGAATGTGGTTACCAGACCCTTTTTGTTATAATGCACGCGATTCCAACTTAATGCAGCCAGATTCTGAGGTCCACAGCAAAGTTTCAATAGACGTCCACGGAAACGTTCATTACACAAAAGGGTTTGTACCATTTAACTTTCGGAAGAGACAGAAAATCTGGCGAGTAGTCAGTGTAAAGGTCGAATAAGGAATACAGATGCTGTAGAACTAGTAGTAAAATAAGCACTAAATGGCCAATTACATCGAAAATAACTTGATCATTGCGTAAACTAGTGATAGTCGGTAACAATGAAGATGTGATATCTAAGACACTTCAAAGGGATAAGAAAACCCAACCATACATAGAAGGGCTCATCCAATTATCATTCGTAGTACGGTCACTGATGTAGGCGAAGCTGTTCGTCACGTACTCATCAAAAGGATATAGTTAACCGAAACGTATTTTACTGCATTAGATTTTTGGGCTCGACATTAAAATTTCGTTGCATTTTATTATTATTATTTTTTTTATGTAAAAATGACATAGTTAAAAAAACATTCCGATTTCCCATTCCAGGGTGACTTTCCTGGCATCTTGTGAGATGGATCTGCGTCATTTTCCATTCGATTCTCAGGAATGTTTTCTTAAAATTGGAAGCTGTAAGTACCACATTTAATTTTCTCAAAGACATTGATAAGAAAGGAGTTTGGTGCTCAGGCTTAGTTCTGCTTTCTCCGCGCAAGAGATAACTCAAAAAGATCATCCCCACTGTCATGAAGAAGATCGTTGCTACAGGAAGACTAAGTAATCTTTTGAAATTCAGTGCAATCATTAAACGAAACTCAACTCCGGAATATTCGTGTTCACTTCTTGAAATTATTTCTCCTGTTCAATACAGATGCTTATTCAACGGAAGACATCATTTATAAGTGGAAATACCAAGAGGTCGAAGTGGAAGCCAAGTCGATGGCGCAGTTTGATTACTGCAGTGCTTCTTTATCGTCATCTTTTGACATGTACAAAACAGGTTAAAAACAATTGTCTCAATTTAATATAGACTCTCTGTTAAAAATACTACTATTTTACTGATCAATTAACCAAAGGGAGCTGGGCATTTGTTTCTTTCGGTCGACAGCCCGATCGACTTCAAACCACCTGTTTTGTTGATAACTTCGAACCTTTCCTTGGCATTGCCCAACGAACTTTTATTATTCTACATTATGGTTGGCAAAAAAAATTGTTTCGTGCATAAGTACGAAATCGATCTGTGAATCAATTTGATTAACGTTAAATGGAAAAGAAAATTGGATATGAATTATTTCTCAAGTCGTAGTGAACACAGGTCTGTCATAGGAGAATTCTTTGAGCCAATAATTCAATTTCACTAGTTACAATTTTCTTTCACAATACAAGAGTTAATTAGTGCGACTTCTCCGTCTGATCACGAAGCCGACCGTGCTTCTCCTCCACTTATTTATCCTGGTCTTGGATACGAGTGAACCAGCCAAATCCACAATCATATTACAGACCAAAGCAATATGATCAATATACAGTCTCCACAACGGTTAAAATGTCAACCATAGAATCTCTTTCTGTTTCTTTTAGGAAACTTCTCTACTATCACTGTGACATATTACTTTAAGCGTCGCATGGGCTATTACCTCATACAGGTCTACTTTCCAGATATCTGCGTCGTTGCCCTGAGTTGGATTGTCTTCTGGATGGATAAAAATGACATGGGCAACAGAATGGCTTTGGGAATCACCACCATATTGACCATCATGTTTCTCCTTGGTTCTCTTAATGGCACGTTGCCAAGAGTCAGTTATCCCAAGGCTTTGGACTGGTATCTATTGGTGTCTTTTTCTTTCGCGTTCTTGTCGCTGGTTGAGTGCATGATCGTGTTCGTGGTTTGGCTAAGCTCTAACAAACGAAAGGCGAAAAAGGTTTGTATCTACATCCAATTCTACCATCAAACGCAACGTCTTACTTTAAAAAATTGTCTAGTTTGAGGAAGAGTTGTCCGAATTTCAATTGAAGAGACTTTGGATGCTAACCGGTCGAATATATTTTACTCAGTCATGTTAAATGTTAACTCTCACTTATACATTATACCTGTACAGCGCAGGCATGCGTGGGCTGTCGAATTTCGGCCATAGTACGTATTTTTGAAATAGAAATCTACTCGAAACTAGACTTAATTTACCTTACCTGAATGTGTAACAAAATGGAGATAGTCTGTTATTATTTTTAGGATTATTGAACCATATCAACCAAACCCGTAGTTTGACTGACAGTGCTGCGATGCATGTGGTTTCGTATTGTATAAGTCTGGCGTTATTTTAAATCCTTTAACTTAAATTGTAATACCAAGAAGAATTCTTTGAAGAATTCTTTGGTAAAATTTGAGCTCCTTCAGGCAATATGGCGAAAGATGTTATGGGACTTTTCAAGCACAAAATCGGAGTTCCCCACAATAAATTTAGCCCGATGCCGAGTTTCAATTTCGTTCTCTGATGACTCTGTTACTGAGGCAAAGGGAGCTTTTGGGTCATTTACGCCGTTATTAATGTAAATTGGCCATTCAAAGATTTTTATAAAGCTGACGTTTCGAGCGTTAGACCTTCGTCACTCGCTCCAACGATATGGTGGCCAATTCACATAAAATCATCTCTGTTAATAAAAACAAATTATCTTGTAATACTCCCTCCCCTCCCCCTTTACAAACGGCGCTCCACAGTTTCATAAGAAGCTCCTACCCCTTTTAAACGTAAGCTGTTATTAGGTTCATACGTGTTACGCGTCCTGCGAAAAAAGTGTGAAGGTAAACAAGTGCATCAATCAATTAAGATCGTCATGAGCTCAATGAAGTGTTCTTGTTTCGATAGGAAAAGGAAGACTCTTCAAATTCAAAGTCACCATCAACGGTTAAAGTAACATTTCATGGCGGAAAACATGACACTCAAATTGACGACAAGGAAAGTCATGTATGTCTCCCAAACATCGATGGCATTGTGAAGGAAGATACTTCATTTTTAGGTCACGAAAAGTCTCCAAAATTGTATGATGCCGCTGATTTAATTGACAAATTCTCACGGGCCTTGTTTCCGATGGTCTTCCTGATCTTCAACATTGGATACTGGTGTTATTATTCACTTGCTTAATATAAGCTTATTGAAATCGAGAATCTAAATTACAGGCCACGGTGCGACTGTTAATTACCAAGGATTGATAAATACCAACAAATCAAAGCTCGTCACTTTAAAGCCCGAGTGAACTAGCCTGGTATTTTAACCTCTTGTAATGTTTGTATCGTAGGTAGTACAAGCTTAATTGACAAAGAAATATGATGTTACGCTGATTTTAAATAATACGTGGTAATGTTACCTTGAAATAATGAAAGTATCGTCAGAAGTGAATACAAGCTGCGATATCGTATTAAGCGACTTGTGGTACTTTAACGTATCGTGATATTTAGAACTACGTAATGTTAGTGCTGGAGGCGAAGTGGCTATCACGTGCAAATTTACGGGCAAAGCTGGCATTAATTCATAAATTATCCGTGGAATCTAAAAAGAGAGTTAAAAAAATACTGATACTAGCTGTGACTTTGCACTATACTTTTCCAAGAAGAAATAATCATTTGATAAGCCTATTGATTGTTTCAAATGCGGTGTAAATATAATCGAAGAAAAATGTTACAACAGATTTTTAATATCATCTTGATATGTCACCAGTAGGTCTGCAAGAGATCCAGAACCAAATAGAAAAGAACATAAGATGCGATATCTTCTATTCATTATGGCTGTGAGCAGAATTAGATATACAAGAAGCCTCAAATAGTAACTGTGACATCTTCAAAGGGAAAAGACTGTGGAAAAAATCATTGTTATTTTTCGTCTGTATTTATGTTATTAACGTTATTTTTCGTCGCACCTCTGCCATCGCCAAATTTAACGCTTGAAAAATACTAAAGAAGTCTTGAAGATAAAAGAATGCAACGTGGTTCGGTAGACGTGGTTTAAAGCGAGTGGGTAAGACCCGGTCTGTAAGCTATCGTTGAAAGTGTAGTTCATAAAAGTAGGTACAAAGTGTAAGCTAAGCCTATCAACAATTTACTACATTATATTTCTATACGCAAATTGCCTCCAAGTTTTACATAACAATAATCCCATAAAGAAGAAACTTCTAAAAGGAATGAAAAGCCACATGAAGACAATCAATATTCTTACGTTTACCGCCGTCCAAATAATTTCATAAGATATGACATAAATTGATGATTTGCTTTATTTGACAATATCTGAATCCTGCCACACGCGAAGACACCATTCAGCTGTAACAGCTGGAGGTTACTGGCCCCCTTAGAAATAACAGTTTCTGTATTTGCATTTTATAAGGGAAAACTTTTTGTAATCGTCGTTTTTAAAAAGGTTTCACCGCAAGGGGTATCCCCAAAATAGCAAAACCATCGTGATCGATTGAAATTGCTTTATCGCTCTAAAATTGCTCGGAGATCGTTATTTTTGCTTTAAGAGGAGCTCGTGAATGTGTTTAAGGTAAGCGTACTTCAGACTAACTTTCTACCTCAAGCACTTGAATGAGATTTTAATCAAAAATTGTGCTCCATTCTGTCTTGTGTTTTAATGTCGCCATAATTAATCCAACCGAAGCTTTTCGTAACAATCGCAGAACTGAAAAGAAATTGTTATAACTTCAGCTTTATTGATTTTACTTGTGGCGATGATGTTGTATGGCATTCGCTGCACCGTTGCCCATGTAAAGGTGGTTTACAGCGACATAACTAATGTGGATCAGTCTCAAATTGTTGTTACAGTTATGATAATTGAAATTGTGCCATTGAAAATGCATCTTTAGAACAAGATAAGTTCCTCCGAGATTTGTGGCATGGTACGAATGCAATATGCAGATAGATTATGCATTTTTCAAAAACCATCAAATTTGCCTTTACGAAGTAAATACACAAGGAAGCACGAACTTTACTGAAAAATTGATAACACTTAGTCAAAGCGAAATTATTGTCAAGATTTGATGGCGCCATCGAAGTTCATCGGCATAAATGCGCCTCTTGGATGCTTATACTGAATTCAAACACATTACTCTTGGTCTCTGAATAATAAAATTATTTGCCAAACTTTTCAAAGTTCGTCATTAAACATATCCACCTGTTCCATTCTTTGTGCCTGTGGTATACTCGTGTATGGTAGTAATCCTATCGAGTGTGTTTCTATCCTTAGGCATCATTAATTCAAGTAGGTTTTTTTTTAATATATTCATTGGCAAAATATCGAGAAAAAGTGATATCCTCTCTATTTAAACATGGTTCAATCAAAACTGCATTAAAAGAAAGTTAAGTACGCCGTTGAAGCCCAACTATTGCAAAAAGTGCGGTTGGTAACGTTATGTACTTAGAAAATACTTCAAAACTCCTTGTTATTCGTTATCCGGCCGGATGTTTTTAAATACAAGAGCCCTAATAACACCTGTTAAGATCTTCGTCACGATATGAAATGCTGCACTTGTACTGTACTTCAATCGTTAGTTATTATTTATGAGCTTCAGTATTTTACATTTTCTCGAAACCGGGCTCTTTAGCAGAGAAATAATGATCTAAGAGGAGTTTTAAAAGATGGCTGAAACGACACCTCGCCTACCTCCCGAAGTTTATTTCAGAAATATTTTGTTTATGGAACTGCTATTAAGCAACATTTTCTATCGATCGCCCTTGGCCATCTTTTAGCGGTTACAATAGATTTTACGTGTGGTTTTTTTGTTTGGTTTTTTTTTTTTAGTAATTAACAGTTGACAACCATGCAGAAAGAGACTCCTCTAAACGTAAATGTTCACTGGATATTAAGAATCTCCGTCCTCCTAGCGTGGTGAGTAACTATGGGAAATGCATTTATATCTTACAGTTCAGACAAACATATGGCTAGTCGGTTTTTTTAATTTCGATTTTTTATCAAAACTCCACGCACAAACACAAAATGCGCTGTGCAACAGAATAAAGTATGCATAACGTCCATCAGATCTCTCGTCTAACCATTTAAAAATCTATGCGAATGGAATATAAACGGAATATCAACCTACATTTAATATAGTTATAGTTAGTTTTTTGTTTCATTATCGCAGCCTTATCAGAGAAATCAAGTCCAGCTCGGTGAAACAAGCGCTAGTTGCTAATTACGATGAGACCGTGAGACCTCGACTCTTTGAAGGTAGTAGAATTTAGTTAATTATGTTAGTATATGAAAGAGTATTTCCGGATATATATTTCTTCAGTTAAGAGCTGATTCATGGTTAGCATGAATATATGCACGTGAGACGTCCAGAGAGCGCGAGGGAAGCGTAAGAGTTGCTGAAGGTGCAGCCTGGGGCAGCTCTTGTATCTTTGGTCAGTCTTCAATCTTTTTAAAAAACTCGTCTAGAGCAAGGCACAGCTATTAGCTTGGGCCAAATCTCGTGTTACACGGCGGACAAAATTCGCTTTTTGAAATAGATAAGGGAACCGAAGACCCCAAGACGGGTTGAAAGCTTTCTACATGATGTTAACTTTAGTTGTTTATTGTTTTCGGCAAACAGAAGTGACTATAAAAGAAAAGTAAATTGCGCCGATGAAAATTTCTTCCATAGTTTCTTCGAGAGGCTGTCGGTAAGTTTAGCAGCGGAAACTTGACACTTAACCGGACAGGAACTTAGCTCTTATATCATTCGGTTCCGGTATTAGTTGATCACCTTAGCGTAAGACCAAAAAAAATATACTTCCTTATGCTTTTATAGGTTTACCTGTTGAAGTGTCAGTACAACTTCATGTGGAGTCCTTCGGAAATATTCATGAAGCCGACATGGTAAGAAATAACAAGGGATTCCATATAAGCAAAATCAGATGACCAATCATGTAGGCTAACCAGCGATATCAAACCTTCTGACACATTGACAAATTACAAGAATAAAGCAATTTTCAATTGATTGTCAAAAGCGTTGCGGGATTTCATTGTTTTAGCTATGATTAGTCCTGAAAACTCGCACTACTCTCTCAACCAATCAGATGCGGAACCACAATCAATCACGACTTAGTCACCACGTTTTCCCGCGCTTTAGGTGGTTTGGTTTTTTTCACTAAGAGTTCTCATCGGCTCTTAAAGTTATTTTCCTCTCTTCTGATTGGCTGTTCTGTTAATTTAAGTTTTGGTTTTACGAAAAGTTCTCTAATGCTTTCAGAACAACCCTTCAGTCCATCTTTGCTGAATCTGCCGGAAAAGAAAAAACCTCTCTTGACTTTCTTTTTTAGGAATTCCAAGTGTACTCTTACTTTAAGCAGATTTGGACTGATAAAAGACTGGCAGGGAGAATCAATCGTAGTATCACCCTCAAGGGGTCTGACATCAACCGTGTGTGGACTCCTGATGCTTATTGTTATAACGCTCGATTAACAAACTTGATGTTACCAGACGCAGAAACGCACAGCAAAGTATCCATTAGTCCCGATGGAGTGCTCGAATACAGTAGAGGGTATATTTTGAATCGTAGAGTCTAACTAGTTAAAGATGCTGTTCGTGCAATAGATATACCCTTCCAAGGATGGCAATAATGAATCTACGACAGACAGCTTTTTACACGGTCGCAGATGGACAGTTAAAACAAATAAAAAATTGACGGTCGGTGTTTGGACAGATAAAGGAGTCCTGTCCAAGAGTCTAATAGGGAAGGAGGAATATGAAGAAAAACCATGAGTAGTGTAACCAAGTTATTCATTTTCTTATCAAAATTCTTTCCAGGGTTTCATTCACAGCATCATGTGTGATGGACCTCCGCAGTTTCCCCCATGACAGTCAAACATGTCATCTTAAGTTTGGAAGTTGTAAGTACTGATTCACTGATGACCGTCCATAACTTAAAAATTGAATAAGTGGCAAACCGCGGACGAAGGGAATGTCGATCTTCTTGTAACTTCATATGAGATGTGTTACTAGATGAGTGCATTAAAAGTAGTATCCCACTTGTTTATATGATAATGATGTGATGATCTCATTATTTACACTCCCTTCATTTCACATATTATACGCAACAACCAATCAAAATCAGCAAGTAATTTTTCATATTTTCGGTGTTTCTGGTAATAATACCATACATTTACTAAACTGCAATTTTGACTTGATTCAAATTTGCATGTATCGAATCCGTAGTAACATTCTATGCGCACATTTTGGAACTCTTAAACAGGGAGGTGATTGAACTAAAAAGCATGTAACCGTCTTATAATGCTCACGTCTGAAGAAAAAAAAAAAAAAAAAAAAAAGAAAAGAAACCTGAGTTATGAATAATGATGAAAACCTCGCTTACCAATGTATATTCGATGCTTCGACACTGTCCTATGGAAACGGTCTGGGATTTTAAATTGATCTACCACGTTGTAAGGTCATGATAATTTCAAACAAATTCTGTCTCATCAACGTGACAAACAAGTGACTCAACCGCTTATTTTCCAGATGCCTATGATGATAGTGACGTCATTTTCAAGTGGTTAAGTGGGGATGTTCACGTCAGTCGCGCTAATATGGCGCAGTTCAAGTTTCTGGGCGCAATGTTTTCTGCTGACCTGGATAGTTACACGGGTGGTAAGATCATGAAGAGTAAAATGAATCTTTTAGGAAACGGTTTATAGACATCTCTAGCTTCCTCCCTGTCACGCAATGTTGCTAGAGCGTTTACGTGATCTGAAGAAGTCAGAGCTGGTCGAAATTATTTCAACCCATAGTTTCTACACTGAAAACTGGCAAATTCTCCATACTATTCTATTCACTTTTCCTATGACAGGAAGAATGTGTTTGACAATCAAGACCTTATTAATTGATACAGTGAGGATGAATTAGTCACTCTCAGGGAATGGTTAGAACTCTTAGGGCAAAGAACACTATCTACTATCGAGACTATTGAGCAAACGCTTCAAAGTAGAGCTTTCGAAAACGGTGATAAACAAATTTTCCCTCCTCTACATATTTCATTATCGTCTATACAAATTCTTTTCGTTTTTTTGCCAGTGAACTTTACTACCATAACTGTCTCATATACGTTCCAGCGCCGCCTTGGCTACTACGTCTTACAAGTTTACATTCCTGATATCCTGATAGTCCTGTTAAGCTGGATTGCGTTTTGGATGAACCCAGAGAGGGCTGGTGACCGACTCACAATCGGAATCACCACCATTCTGACCATCATGTTCCTGTCTGGGGCTGTTAATGCTTCCATGCCGCCAGTCAGCTACGCTAAAGCAGTAGATTGGTATCTTATTACATCATTTGCGTTTATTTTCCTCTCGGTTATTGAGAGCTTGGCTGCGTATGTGATGTTTTCGAGGCCAGTTAAGAAAGATAGCAGTTTTGAAAAAAACAGTGAGGTGAGTCCAAACGTTAACAAAGATGATGAAGTAAACAATAACGACAACGACAGCGGCGTCGACGTTTTTGTCGTTGTTGTTGTTGTTGCTGTTTTTATTGGTTCAGACCAAACTCGCCCTTCATTACGAAAATTACTTTATTTAAGAAATATAGCACAGCAGAAAGCACGTTTTATACAACTGGGACTGTTCACTTCGATGCCTGATGACAGGCAAAACTACGTTTTCTTTATTTTTCTTGTATGAATAAGCGTGATTGGGCTGACTCATGGGATCCCATCTTATAGTAAGTCAAAGACTGAGCATCAGTCTATCATTACTCCATTTTTGCTGAGAAAGTTTGTAGTAACCTTGCCCAGACCGTTTTTTATAGATTGAAATTACTGAGAACGTTTGCGGCGGGGCAGAGAGGTTTATAGCACCACCAATGAACTGTATATAAATGTCCCTATAGCTAGTTACCTCCTTAATGATCGCGTGATTTTGTTGTAGTTGTGCAACTGTCTCCGACAGAAACATTCTTCCATGAAGTATTTTTAGTAGAATTCAATAGCACCAAAGTATATTAGTCCTTCACCTTGCAGAAATGCCGTTCCCTTCCATCCAAACTACTGCCATGTCTTAACACTTACCGGCGAAAAGCTAGAGCCAAAAAGGGAAAAGTCCCTGATGAAGACAAGTTTAATGGGCTGACCATGAACATGGCAGTAAAGGACCAATCACTGCCCCTGTCATTGGAGGACATCGCTTACATGGAGGAGAGAGAGAGACGGGAATCACTCATACAACAGAGGAAAAATAACGCAGTCCGAATAGATCGTGTGTCACGGATTCTCTTTCCTGTGACATTTGTCTGCTACACAGTTGGTTACTGGATCAGCTACTCGTGAATTAAGTCCAAGAGCGTCGCTGAAGGGGGCAGAGGCTAAGTTGCTTATGATTCTTCACTTTTTCGAGAAAGATATTATTTGTAAATAAAGAAAACTCAAGTTACACCCCCCGCTCCAGCAAAATGAAGAAGTAAACTATAGTTTAGAACCAGCTTTACGAGAAATTGATGCCTATGTTGAAGAAGACTGCCAATGGCGAAAGGAGGGGAAGTGTGCTTTGTTAGACGCTCCATTCTTGAGCCCAGGTCATTTTGGCTCCTTGTCAATGGTATGGTCGCCAAATAATGAACCCTTTTATCCCAGCAATTGTGGGATTCCGGTTTTCACTGCGCATGTCTACATTGTTTATTTACTGCTTCCGGTTGACTTCTGCTCAAAATAGAGCGCACGGTCCACTACGTCAGCGGAAAAAGAAAGAGAACGTAAATCACCTTTGTGCAGGTGAACTTACGATTCATCGTAACTAAAAGGAATTCATAAATAAAAAGAAAATACCGAGATTTTTTACCAGTGCACCTTCTGATGCTCCTGGAAGTTCGGAAGTGAAAAAAAAAGGATAAGTGATGGCCCTTTACGCAGCTCCTACGCTGTTTTCAGGTTCCCGCGCGAGGTGAATCGATTGCAAGCTAGTTAGTTAGTAAAATGGACTTTGAGCAAGGACTTTACGAGTATTGGGCTTAGAGGAAAGGGAAAAGGAACAACGGCAAACTCAAGAAACGATTGGTATAGATTCCAGAGAAGTCCTCCTCCCTCTTCTCCTGATGCAAAAGCTGATGATTGTACAGGTGACTGCACCTGAGGCGGGATGAATACAAAACAAAGAAAAAACAGCAATGTTTTGAAACTCATATAAAAACACCCATTTATTCGCCCCTAAAATACGACATACCTCAGACAAGTTTCCTAATATTTCCTTGATCTACTCAACAATGAAAACATGCCAAACAGTTTATATTGACACTGCTTTGATATTTTCCTTCCATTTCAATGTACTATGTTATTATTTCAAGTGAGAATAAAATAATTTAACAACTATTGTTCTATTTACTTGTTCCAAAATAACTTTAGGAAGCAAAAATAAAAGTTCTTACTTGATGTGTCATATTTTGATGTGATGTGTCATATTTTGATGTGATGTGTCATATTTTGATGTGATGTGTCATATTTTGATGTGATGTGTCATATTTTGATGTGATGTGTCATATTTTGATGTGATGTGTCATATTTTGATGTGATGTGTCATATTTTGATGTGATGTGTCATATTTTGATGTGATGTGTCATATTTTGATGTGATGTGTCATATTTTGATGTGATGTGTCATATTTTGCAAATTTTTTAGACTATTACTTAGCCTTGAGTTTACTGAAAACACACGCATATTGATCAAATATCCACATCCCTCTTTAAGATGAAGAGAAAAAGAGAAGCAATGATAAAATTTGAACCTTGAAAACATCACAAGCTTTGAGTTTTCTCTAGCTTCTTTCTTTTGCATGATTCAGTTCGATAAATCAAGCTAGGGTTTGGTTGTTTTTTTTTATGAAGTAAAAAAACATATGGAAGGTTCACATTTTGCAATTTTTAAGCTTGTGATGTTTCAAGGCTAAAATTGTATCATTAATATTGCTTCACTGAAAAGAAAGATAAAGTAAAAGCTCATAAAAAAACTGCTTGTAGTTACTAAAATAGTACTCATCTTACTATTTGAGTCTTCAATACTAAGGATGATAGTATGGCTTTTTGGTTCAGCTCCCAGCATTAGGTATTCATCGCGTAACTATATATCACACGCACTGGAAGTACTTGACCTCCATCTTCTTGTACAACAGTACACTCACAGTAGCCATCGAATTAAGCTAGTAGGAAGCTCAACCTATCATTTCCTTAATAAGCTCCTCCGACTGAAATCTTCAAGGAAAGACTTGGTACTATTCCTTGTTACATGTAAGACATGATATTGATATTGATATTGATATTGAATGCTATGTGATTCTGACGTCGAACTCTTTTGCACTGATACATTTCCTTCTTTTCTGCTTTTCACTCAAAACAAATTAATATAATGACTTATTTCTACTCATACGTCTTTGACAACAACGACAGCAATCCATCGCTCCATGAAGAACAGCTTCCCGCCATTGCGGCACGCAGCGGCTTTTGCTGGCTGTTTTCTCACACATCGACAGGCAGTTTACAAGTGAAAACTTTCACGCGAAAAAAAAGACAACAACAACAACAACAGTAACAAAAGTAAAACAATTCAAATTTATCGTTGTCAATGCTCTATTTCCGGCCCGATCGATCCCTTCCGAAAATCACACTCCCTGTGTGGGGTCTATTTTTTTCCTATCAACCAATCAAAAAATTGAATTAATCGATTCTCCCAGAGGTGACTATATGGCTACATAACGCTGACAAGGAGCCAAAATGACCCTGGGGCTCGAGATTGAAGACGCTTGTGACGAGACGATGCGAGGATTTCGAAAAAAACAAAATGATTAAAAAACGTTAAAGAATCATTGACAGGCAAGGGATGAGTTAGCTGAAAAAGCAGAATTCATGAATAAATAAATAGATCAACCTGTAATATCATGTTCGTAGCATTTCACAAAACGATCACCCGCTGGGCAGAATTATGGGGGAATATCACCGGATACTATCACGACAGCGAAGAACCTTCGAGAATAAAAATCTACTCACACACTGGTGTTACATACATGTTCATTTGAGTTTTGCAAAAAACAAAGCTAATGAAAGATGGATGTCATCGAGCGTGATGCAAAGAGAAAATAAATAAAGCTGAGTCATCCCACGATGCTTGAGCTCAGATGTTTCGATTCCGTGCTCTGACATTTTTCCACTGAGCTAAAGAGAACTACGTGATGAATATGATGAATTGCTAATTTCATATCTGCCACGCGTCCTGCTTGCTATCAACATCAGCCACGAATAAAACGTCCTAAGAGTGAAAAGAAAAGGATCATGAAAGGAAATGTAAATTTCAATCTCGTTTGTGGAGTTTAATTTGTAAATAAATTTAAACCTTTTTACGCAAGTTAATTAATTTCTACTTTATCAAATCCCAGCTGTCCAAGTTATCAATTTCTTAAATGAAGTGCTTTAAGAAACAAACACCTCATCGCAATATTCTCTCAGGATTATGACAAGCATCTTAGCATTCTCTCGACAATTAGAGCCCAAAACATTTGTTAAAGTGCAATTTGACTGTTGCACGAGATGATATGGTGGAAAATTTTGCACGATTTGTTAAAACGGATAGTCCTTATAAAATATTTCTAGTAAAGGTGGCTTGTGCATGTTTCAATGTTCAATACCTTTATTGCATAAAATAGATTTGTTTTACCCTTCTGTCTCAGTTAAGACTTTTGTGTTTTTCATAAGAGCCCGTGTTTCTCCAAAACAATGGAATTGGTACAGAGTGACGACAGAGATTGACGACAAAAGGCAGGTGTAGTGACGAACAAAAAGAACCTGGAGACTCGAAACAACGCGTGTCTCGTCGAGTTACGAAATCCTTTTACTCAACTTAATTAATTTATCGATTGTAAATCTGAAATTTCACACTTTTTTTTTCAAAAGTATGGCAAATGTTATACCTATTTATTATGAATTATGAACATTTTAATTTTGCTTTTATTTCAGAATCATGATTTCTTATATTTACTCAAAAAGCTGGTGGTGTTTACTTTCTTTTGTTCGGTAGCCTTATCAAAGGTTATATAACCTGTCCTTTATTGACACAAGTTTTAATTAAGAGAGTGTAAATATTTCCTAGAATGGGTTTAGTCGTAAACGTCTCCTTCTTATTCAAATTGAAATTAAAACCAAGAAAATTGTACCTGAAGTGATTAGTGTGAAGGACGTCTGACTGATGGTTTACGAAATGGCTTTGGGGATCATTCTGTGTGAAGGTCTTGCAGAGGACTTCAAAATGTCCCCGGCTTAAGTAAAACGCGCATGAAAAGAAAATCAAAGCTTTCTAAAGCGGAGTTTCATTGGCAAATAGAACCCTGATGACATACTTGGAGATCTGTACCTCGCTGCTGTTTCTCTTTCTCGTATCGTACACACAAGAGTGTCCTCACAGACCCTCTCTGAATGGTTATCGGTACAAGAATACAAAACTTAAAGGGCACGAAATAAACAATTTAAAGGGTGCCCTGTCACCTTACACGTGTGCCGATGCTTGCCTCAGAGACCCAAGATGCAGGTCGTTTAATTTCAAAAGAAAGAGAGACAGCAGTGACATCAACGAATGCACCATCAGTGACATTAACAACGAAAAGGCTAAATCAGGGGAAGTTCAGGAGGATTTTGAGACAGATTTCTACGATGTTGGCTATGAGGCCTTGCAAAAGGTACGTTTAACCCACGATTTAGTTAAGTTTGTCGTCGGGTAAAACTATAGAGTGTGAATATTCAATTAGAACAACAAACTATTTATCTACATAATGGCTTGTAGTACGCGTTTCTGTACAATTCAAACGAACTCGATCTGCAGCTCTTTATGACTTTCTCGAAATACTATTATGAATATACGACACAATGCCAAAAATTTGACTTTCTGGATAAAACACTTATTGGTGACCATTCAACGAATAAAAAACTGGGCAGTACTTTCATGTAATAAAATATCACTTAACGCACTGCCAGAGGTAACTGTAATGTTTTCAGTCTAGTGAACCCTTTCGTATGAAGTCGTATAAAAGTTGGTTATAACGTAGTGTGCTGAAATCTGGAGGTAATTTTAATTTTTTTTTTTTTTAACTCAGTCCTGAACTGGAAACATTCAATTGAAGATTTTGTGTATGCTTGTCATCGGTAACGAAAAGATGGCTTCATATTCATTTTGAAGTATATGTCGGGATGGTATTTCAAATGGATGCTTTCTAGGCATTAAGAGAAACTAAGAGTTTGTTTTCTTCGATGGGGCTAACCTCTATTACAACTATCCTTGAACGACGAATCATTTTTACACACACACACACAAAAAAAAACAAAAAAACATAAAAAAAAAACAGCAACAACACTGAGTAAACCAAAATTTAAATAGCGCTGATCGCACAGTTGTCCTGAAAGCCACTTATTAATTTCCACGAAAGGCGTTGTTAGTTCTTTAAATGTACTGATAAAGGTTATCAATTTAGTGGCTGCCACTCGCATCATTCCTCGGCATTAACGACAGGCGATATTAATTTTTCACGCCTGTGATATCATCTCTGATGGCCATTTTAAACTGGTGTTTGCCAATGTCTACGGAAACACATCAGATTTCATTTAAGAACTTCAAATCCTTGTATTGGTTTGAAATGTTTACTTTACCGCCGCCTTTAATTCGCAGCTGATCGAAAGAGGTTAACTTTTACCGACACTATATCAATAAAACATTGGCGCCAAACAAGGGGAAGAAAAGAAGAAAAAAGGGGCTCTAAACGTTCAAAGAGAAAATGCAGGATCGTGTATTCCGCTAAAGCTAGTAGGGAAGCGGGGAAGAATAGAAAAAGAGTCCATCGGTAGCCTCGTTGCCAGCCATCACCGCCCACGTGACTTCTACGTGTATTTTTTCCAATGTTTGACCCTTTCTTTCATTGTAGTTTTAACCTAAACCCTAAAGCCAAGGGCCATTCCAAACGCCGAGAGAAATGCGGCCTTTGAATCACATTGGCTTGGCACTGCTTTGCTCCTACAGCTACGTACTTAGAAGTACACGCATGGAACTGACATGATGCATTGTTTGAGCAGGAGCTTACTATTACTGCACTTTTGCGCCATTTTACTATGTAAGGGCAACTGAACGCGCAAAATATACGGCGGCATTAAAATGTAGAACAGAGCACGAATATTGACGGAATACGCAACAACAAAACAGCCGCACTGAACGATCCAAACAAACAAAATACGACGATTTCTATCCGGGATTACATTAAAAAGACCCCTACTTTTCAAAAGGGGCTGTGCAACCAATGACAGTGTTGGTGCCTGGGATAACGTAAACTTTTCTGATTTCTTATTTTCAGATATTTTTGAACTCAAGTTCTTACTGTACACAAGATTAACCGCTTAGTACAGTTCCTGACGTGGGAGAGAAATGCTCCAAAACCGAAGATGTAATATAGTATTTTATTAGCCGGTGTCTTACATAAGGATGATGTGGTGTTAAGAAACAAGCATTACTGGTCCTCGTGTTTTCCATCTCAGATTTAGTTAACAGTGAATTTATTGTAAAGGCAACTCCTACACCTACGTAAAGTTAAATGAATTATCCCAGTTAACCGCAAGAATCAGCACATCAATTCTCTCAAGTGGTTGCCATATATTTACTTCTGAATTAAACAAAATAATTTCATATCCAATAATTGAGCTTGGGCTTCTTTGTTCTACAAGATTCTCGCAGTGATTTAGACGCTCAAGACAAATGGTACGGTCTGGAGACTGAGTTTATGGGGTATGACATTGTCCTGTTGACATACCACCAAATTTCTCTATAAAGGCATTTTCGATAGAGCAGAATAACGTCTGCGCATGTCACAAATAAGCCTACAATCCCATAGCAACAGTGTTTATTAATCAACATAGTATTAATTTTAAAAATTGTCGAAAGCCTTGATATCTTTCATCCATTGAAACTACTGTAAAGGACGACGCTCAACGAGCGTGCTTTGCGTGCAGTTGTTGCTATTATTATCTTTTATCCGGGAACCCGATACTGTTTCTCACAAACCCACTGAACAGCACAGGCTGTGGCTTTTGCCAATATTTTCGTAGCAATCATCAAACAACGCACAACTACACCGCTAGCTTGAAGGGGGTATATTGACCACGTTTCTTGTCTGTAGAGCACAACCAAACTAAAAATAGAAGAATTGGCAGGGCGGGCAAACAGCTACCACGATACAATCAAATTCACAACTGAAATGTCAGACTCGGAAATTGTATTCTTGGACACAAAAGTGTACAAAAGCCAGGTAGTAAACAGGGAATCCACCCTTGACGTGCAAACGCATTACATTACGAAAAGAGAGGTGCTGATGCACGAAGTTTCAATCGAGCCATCAACCAAGCATAAAGAAGGGATTCATAAACGGAGAAGCGCTGCGCCTCCTAAGAACAAGTTCGTCACGCTCCACGTTTGATTAAACCGTACAGTTTCAAAATACGCTTAAAGAATAGAGGATACCGCAATAAAATTTAGGATGAATATCTCTCCGAATTTATGAGAGGTCACTCAAAAAACTTGCATGGGATGGGCTTGAGGTCGATCGAAATGTTTACCCGTCACTGTCAACCAGGTACCCAAATACCCATGGGAGCTTTCTGATTTCATGAATTTTTTTTTTTGCTTTTTGTTTTGTATGGGGCGGGGGAAGGTTTGGTTAAGGGGAAGAAGGGTGACAGGGTTGCATATTTGAAATCGGGTTCCAAGGTTAGGGCTTTTTAGAGTGGCAAAAATTATTGTACACGTTTCTAAAAAAGGTTCTATCAAAGAAAACTCATCATTTCCCTCTGTTATTCGTTGATGGTTGTAAATGTAAGATAAGCGTAACTCATTCAGAAACAAGTAATTTATCTAATTTAAAAAGACTTCATTTTGAATACACCCTTTGAGTGCATCTACTCTGTTAATCTTACGCCATTACACCCAATGCTATTGAAATTTTGAATCGATGAGTTCAATATTCTGCACGACAAAACTTTTAGTGCAAATCGAACACAGTGGAAAAAAATTATATATATATATACATATTAGTAATAACTTAAAAACTGCGATTGAAGCAAATTTCCATTCAATCATTTTATTACCAAAGCTACTGATTTTTGCAACTTTGGAAACTGACTTTTATAATGCGAGAATGTGGAACGCAACTTTGGAGCTCTAAAAAGCCCAAATTAAAAGTTCAAGGCGATTAAACAAACCATTTAGTTTTTAGCTCCCTATAAAAATTTCAATAAAGCCAAACTTATTGCAGAGAGTAGTGTGAGTACGCCAAATAGCGTCAATGTGGAGGTCATTTTAGCTTTTTTCCCCAGTTATTTAACTGAATTTTTCACCAGGAACGGGTCAATAAGTAAACCAGGGTTGGCCGATCACGGTGTCAAAAACATTTTACTATTTTATGTTATTGACCACGTTTTCCAGCCCAACTAATTGAACGAAAGATTTATCATCGCCGTTCGGAATAAAGGCTCCTTCATTCGATATCCCCGAAGATTCCGTTGACTTCGGCAGTTTGGTCTTAACGCTAGTATCTTGCTCTCTGATTCTTTTCTTAGGCGGAAGTGGCACAGCGAAAGGACTCGACGAACTTTTCTGTTCCACTAAAGGTGGTCTTTCAGGTTTAAACGTATCATTCTCGTTTTCAGGTGATGAAGTTGAATCGTTCCTGATTCGTTCAATTTCTAAACGCCTTTTCTCCCGAAGTTTATTAACAGCTTCCTCTTGCGCTTTAATGAGTTCTTTAAGTCTGTGGATTCTTGCTTCATGAGGACTGAGCCCTTCTTGCTTTTCTCCTGTCGAAGTCGATGGCGTTGGCGTTGCCTCGGGCGAAGCCACCGCTGACGGGTTAGACTCTTTAGTTGCGGATAATCCTTTACTGTCCCCTTGAGATACACTCTCTGGATTTTGACTTTCAACTATGACAGGTGGCCGCGTTTCAGACAAGTTTAAAATGTCGTTGGAGGGAGACGTCCTCGTTGCACCATTTTCAGTACGAGTAATGGGTGTTTTTTGCAACAGTGAAGAGTCCGAGGCCGATGGAGGCAAAGGTGAAGAGTTTCCCGATTTGGGTGACAACACAGTTGCTCTCCCAGGATGAGGCGCAATGGGGACTTTCCCGCTAGATGCACCGACAACCTTGTTCACAACTGTACCCTGTTTCGGAGATACATTTGCCGGTAATGGAATTACAATCCTTCCGCCACTTTGCGATACTTGTGACGAAAAAGGTTTCCCCCCATCGCCGGTTAACGATAGCACGACAACAGTTTTCCCGTCTGGACCAAGGACGTTGATTGCCTTGGGTAACGCTTCACCTGGTTTAAGGTTCAACACTATAGAAGTCGATGTTGGTGGTGGTTTCATCGCAATCTGTCTTGGCTGCGTTACCGGTTTAACCAGAGAAGAGCTCGTTAAACTAGTTGGTGACACGGATGCTGATTGGCCATTCGCAGATGCGGAAGTCAACGACTGACGTGAAGGAGACACTTGCTTATGGACACTGTCAACTAGCTTTACAAGCTGCATGACGTTTGCCGATGAGTGAGTTTTAGTAACAGAATTGGCTACAGAAGGATGTATTCTTTCACCATCATCCAGAGGACGTGGACTTGTTTTTCTTTCGTTCAATTCCGTAGACTCGTTAATTGTTTTGAATTTTGACACTTGTTTAACTTCAGTTGCATCGCTGAGACGATTTCTAGAGGGAGAACTCGGCGTTGGAGACACGACCCTCTGTGTCTTAATAATCTGCGGCGAGCTCTTCTTTGAAGAGTCTAATTTGGATCCTCTCACTGACATTCCCTGGATAGCGGAGGCCTCACCGCCATCTTGATCACCATTCGCTGCCAATGAATACACAGCAGAGATCAGGGGAAGTCCTTCATTATCATCAGCGATAAGACTTTCATCTATGAGTGGAGGGCGCACAACCGTCCTTGCTGTTGATGAACGAGACTGACCATTGATTAACAATTCACCACTACAACTCGCCTTGGTAACCGCTCCCTGTGGACTGTGAGAGAACGATCAATTAGAACCAGGTGTGGTTCGTGCGTTGCAAGATATTCCTTCCCTAGCAGTGTAATTACTGTAAGAAACCCGTGCATGTCAGACCTAAATGGAAGGTCTAAATATTGTTGATGTCTTAAAAGAATACAGAACCATGATGCTACCTGGGTTTAAAGTACCAAATCGCAGCGGTAAAAACTGATGTTACTTTTTTCGATTACTACTCGCAGGTTATCAATATCTCGTAGTGAATCTAAGTGATATAACCGATATCGAGTTCTAAAAACGGTTATATTTCAAAGCAGAGGCCTATGAGCGGAACAGGGGAGGGAGGGTTGGGAGCGATAAAGAAAATTCCATTTGCTATGGCGAAGTTTTTGTTAACAAAAAATGTTTGTTTAGTAGATACCATTGTTCTTCGTCATTAACTATGCGTTTAGCAAAGTATTAATATAACCGCCTTCGCACTATTAAGCTAAATCCCTTTCAATTTATTGACTGTGATTATTAGTTTTAAATATCTCTACCATTGTCCTGATAATATCAGTTGTACACATCGTCCGAAGAATCTCACATTGCACATTGCTAAGGCCAGTCTTCTAACAAGAACAAATTTCAACAGACTTATTCACAATCTATCTTTCAGAAATGACTGATTTCAGACGACCATTACCAATGACATTAGCTTTTAAAAAAAAAGCTATATCTTTTCAGTAGAATAAAAATAGATCGACGATTCTCCTCAACTCGTCGTCGAATTATATTTATATTTTTTCGTTTTGATTTAATTACTTCACGTCGTTACTTTATCTCGTCAAGCCGACATCGGAAACTTTGCCCTCTGTTCCAAGGTCGTCTGTGTTGTAGGAACTTGTTTAATTTGGCAGAAGACTTTACCGCTTGCTACATATTCTACCTCGGAACCGCGTTTCAGCGGAATCAAGAGGGTCCTTTTCACGCCTGACGGACTTGCATATTGTACCATAGAAATAGTCGACCTAAATTCTAAAACTGTCCTCAATTTTAGCTATCTGTTTGCCTCTTTCGGATATTTTGAACTATTGGATTTCGTTGTTTTACGATTTCGGGCAGTTATTCGAAGCGCCCCCACGCGAGGGTTAATTCATCGATATAACCCAATCGAGAATTCTCCTTGAATCACGTGTCAAAAGAAAAAACAGGAATAATATTTTATTCGTATGACACTGACGTAAGAAACCTTTTATATCACGTTGTTCCTGCCGGCTCGAAAAATTTGGCGATGATCTAATATCGTAAGGTTACAAGTTGTGCTCGAACATGTCGTTGAACGCTAGTAGACCTGCCCGAGAAAAATACGACCGTAAAACAGAAATGAAAATGAAAGCAGTATTCGTTTGATACTAGGAGTCCAACCTAACAGGCAAGCAATACGGTAAATAATAATGTCTGTCATGTGACAACTTTTCAAGAGACGCCTATTATAGTTATCATTATTATGGGATAGGACCTGAAAATCACGTTCGCACGATACCTCAGTAAGACGCATTCTAATTTTACGATTACAAGCAGTTGTTACGAGCACGAAACGTACTGCTCACTGATTTAATAAACCACAGCTGCGGAACACGACCGTGAGTCGGGTTTGCTGAAGGGAATTTCAAACTCCCTTCTCCGTGCATTTTTTGGAGTAAAGAGTAAAGTGACCGTCGTTTCCTCGTTCATCGCAAAGCACACTTCGCCGCATTGCGGTCTCTTCTTCCACAAATTTGAATTTCTGTTAGAGTGTGCTCCGTACTCAATTTGTTGTGAAATTAAAATATCTGATATATAAAACGTAGGAATATGCATGTAAAATCTTTTACTGCGATGTATAGAATTACCATGACATAAATAACATCGTCGATTCTATAGATTTTATGGGCATTGTTTTTACAATACTGCAAGGTTTGTTAGACGCTAAGACGCTGGCTTTTCGGCACTCACTCCAGATCATCATGATGCGCTCAAATTAACAAAGCATTCCTTTGCAAATTTTTCCTACCTTAACTGCGCACTCGTTACAGGCATAATTTCACCTCTTCTTCTTGACATCAACTCTTCATTCAAAGTGCTTACAGACTTTATAACTGGAGTTGTCTTTGCCTTTGTTAATTTCGAGGGAGAGCCTTCCATCTCTATTGCTTCGACAACACGCGGACTGATTCACTGAATGAAGTGCATAAATTCACCAACGAAAGTGAAGAGTAAAAAATCCATGCTTTCCCACCGTAAGAAACACAACGAGACAATCCTCAATCCTTCGCCTTTTACCGTTTCTTTCCTTTATGGTGAGTTCTTAACCCAAGAAGATTACTTGCAAATTGTAGAATTGAAGAAAAATTCGCTTTTGATTCTGCGAGCCCCGTTGCTATTATCCGTACGACTTCTTACAAACTCCAAATTTGCGACACATTCGAATTATATTGAAAATATTTCAACTCTGAAATATCAGATTGTCCCATGATGTTTGCGTCTTCGGCAAAAATGGTCCAATTCGATGCAAAACTAGTTTCCCAATTCAGCATTAATGATGAAGTTACTCAAACTACGCCAAATTATAAAATTTGCATCTTGCCCAGCGGCGCTCGACCTTTCACTTTGCCGGTTGTCAATCAACAACACAATAGATGCTTTTTGCTTGAGTGCACATGACTCAAACTCTCACCGGATATTGGCTCATTTTTATCGACAGCTGTCAGTTTACAACCAATGGAATCGCTTGTACTTTTCTATTGTTCTAAGAAAGCTCTTTTGTTTACGAGGTTTCCAGATGCAAAGCGCCTCAGTTCAACCCAAAAGTAAAGAACTGAAACAAAAGCGCCTAATATTCAAGCGACCTCTCTGTTCGAGATTAGCCTTCAATTCTCATTCTTCACACCTCTATTTTTATATTACGGAGTAAAAATTATTCATAAAGGACGATCTATTATCGAGAGCTCGTAGAAGACCAACATACAGGTTCTGCTCTGCTAACTTTCGAGTATCATTTAACACGGCGAGACTTAGCCGTCAAATTATGTTTGGAGTGTTTCTCGACCTAGACTGGCTTTGAGCACCGATGTAATTTTATTGTTTCCACGGCAAACGTTAGACAAAGCCACTATGACACTAAAAGTTTCGGGCCTCTAAAGTAGCGTTCTGATCCGTCATAATACTCTTTGCTGTTTTAAATAAAGAGGAAAAGCAGTCTACACCACCGCCAGCGATCTCTATGATTCACGAAGACATCGAATATTCGTTGGAATACGTACAGCTGGTACAAAAGACATCAAACATTTATCTACCAGCTGTCGCTGAATCTGATCAGGTCACCGGAAATATTGCTTTCATTCATTTCCACAAATGCAGAACAACCACTCCATATCCGTAACCTTTCATGTAGTCGGTCGAAATGCGGTTGGGGAAGGGGAGAGTGGGGGAGAGATTAGCCACAGTGTCTTTGAACCTTGACCCTTGTCTGACTAAGTCGCTTCAATAAGCTAACCTTTACTGACAATGAATCGTTTATACTGTGACCATGAAGCCACGTGTAGTAAACACTGTAATACGAAGAATATGTAAATTAAAATTTACGGAGGAAATAGAGAATAATACATGGGTGCGCGTAGATATGAAATTTCTCTAAGAGACCTCATGAGTGAGCGCAGCGAAATAGTGAGTTGTCGAGTTGAACACGAGAAGAGAAATTTCATATCTACAAGCAACTAAGTATTATTTTGTTTATCATATTAACACAATAGTCTTTATACTGACAAGAAAAGTCAACTTTATGAATGAATGAAAATAAAACGATCGACAACCCCCGAATGCAGATCGTAAAATGCGTTGGTGCTAAGGGTCAAGACGAAAAAATGCGTTGAAACAATACAAAAACAAACAATGGACGTAATTTTCATTACAAAAAATTCTCAGTTATTTACTTGAGAAATGCTCGGTTATGAAACTTTCTCTCGGTTTAGTTAGTTCGCGTTTTCTGTTTTATTGCGATCAATATTTGACTTACTCGCCCATAATACATCACTGCTTAAAAATATCATGCTGTGTTAGCAAGAGAAAAATTGGTCCTCTATCGTATTTAAGGTATCAAGACACTCCATATGATAATCACGTATTTGCATCGTTTCAGCGTACAAAAAAACCATGGACGCATACTCTGCAACATCAACAAATGACGATCTGTAACTAGAAAAATATATTCGAATAATATTACAATTAGAATTGAGGGGATTGCTTTCAAAAGGACACCAATCACAATGGTCTTAATCCAGCTCCCGCTAAGATTTATCTCCAACACCAACGATTGCCAGTTAACTGATACCACCTTTGTTGACAAAACCGCGTCCTTTAACAATTTGAATACCTAGGCCTCGCCCGGTTGGTAATGAACACGGGTAATGAACACGGGCAATGAACACGAGCAATGAACACGGGCGATGAACACGGGCAATGAGTAAATTGTTAACTTCTATTTCGGCATCTGATAGCTTTTGAATAATTGATTATAAATTAATAGGAAAACTCATTGGAATCGAACTTAGGGCGTGAGTTTGATTCATCATTTGCTACACCGGTCTTTTTTTTTTTTTCTGCGAAGAATTAAAAATTGAATAGCATTTGAAGAGTTTCACTTCGGCTAGAGCTGTGGCGAGTGGTTACTCAGCACAACGACAGAACCGCGCGTTACTCATGCGATCAACTGAATCACTTTGAGTGGCCAAGGTTGTGCAACAATGGTCTCGTTGTTAACATCAATGTCTGAGTGCCTTCGCTCCTCTGGCAGGATGAAGTCTTTCCGTGCTAAATTCACAGGTAAACAGTCCTTCGGGGTCTTTTTTAATAGCAATTTCTAGCTTTAACTTTACACTGAGCCTGCAAAGAGCTATCCTCGCTTCTATCACAAACCGTTTTTCGGAAAAAAAAAGCGATATTTCAGTGTAGCCGGTCTGCTAAGACAAATAAAAGAACATCAAAGAAATGGTAAGCACACCATTTTTACCAATATCTTTGTGCTGAACGCGCTGCAAATCTTATTTATACTAAACCGGATCATTTCAGAAACCGCTGTAAATCACAGACTGTGACGACTTAGACGTTTAAATCACAAGAACAATTGACATGAAGGCAACTACAAAAGGTAAGCAAAACGAAATATAATCAAATACGAAACGTTTTTTTTCTAACGTTTTGTTCTCTTGACCATTGTTTACCGTCAAGCATCACTTAAATAGCAGGTATTGCGTGACAATAATTGAAATTCAGTGAGGACGGAACATATTCCCTCCTGCAGTTCAAATCAAAATACCGCTTACATACTAGGTTTTATAGTCATAGATGTAAAATACTGGGCATCCAAAGAGGGATAGCCAGTATTCTCATGCAATCCATTTGAGCTACTCCTACTTGTAGCTTTTAAATCACCGAAAACATTACCGCGGAGGCAAAGATTTCCACGTATGTTTTAATGTCCTTCTGCAAGTGTACCACGGCTGAATGTCATATCGTAACGCATGTTTTGCGTGACAACGAAAATTTGTCCTCGCGTTCAAATCGTGAACTTTTCGTCTTGTCATACGACATCTGGCCTCAATATCAAATAAAACGTTTCTAAAGGCAAACAACGAGGACGGTTATCTTCCACCTACTCATCGCAGAGAGCGCATTTTTGTCTTTTGCGATGTTCTGAATATCAATTGGCGTAATCAGCTCGTTATATATGATAAACTCTGATTATGGTCAGGTTCGACCAGCTGGATTCTCTATGTTGTGGTCACTCTCGAAGGGCCTTGCTCTATTCATTTCAGGGTTTACATGCGCAGAGAAGGGGTGTATACTCGACCACGGGTACAAACTATCCAATGACTACTCAGCAGAATACAGGGGGAAAGGGAATAGGCAATTAATGGTACTCCTCGTGGCTCAATAATCTGGAAACTTCATGTTTAATCCCTTTTGATCTTTAAGGTTCCGTTTTAATAGGTCTTAACCACTAGCATACAGAAATATCAGGTTTCCAAACCGGTTTCCATTTCCTTGACGCCATTTCGCAGTAACTCAAGTGCTTTCCGGTTGAACCGGTTTCATTAAGCACATCAGTGATCCAGTGTTTACTCACAGGTGCGCATGTGTTCTCGGTCAAATTTGCCACGTTGCAAGAGGTTGTAAACTTCTTCCGGTCGTAAACAATTCTGTACGTAAAATTGCACCAAACTGGCTTGATTTCATACCAAACAGGTTTACAAGAAGTGACGAGGATCTCCCCATGGTTGCTTATCGTAGCCGAGCAATTTGTGCCTTTCCATTGCCAATAGTAGTCTGTACTCGAATTTTCGAATTTTTTCTTCTTGGGATTCCATTTGTAACTTTTTACGATCACTGGTTTTACGTGATAAAAGATATCAGAACATTTCCTATTCTGCTTTACAACAATCCCCTTACCTTTCATTGCTTTCAAGTCGTTTGAGAACACCCCATTGAACAGGGTATCATTAATCTGCCGTTCTTTAAAGGTCGTGCTGTTGCCATAGTAATAGACTTGGTGGAGTGTAATTGTAAATGTCTTCGTAACTGATACGGTTTTTAGGTTTTTCCCATTCGATACCTTACCCTGACGAACATGAAACGAAATGATCAGCGGAATAAACTGACCGAAGAAAAAATACAACATTACTGCCAAAGCCATATACGCCAGTACGTTGTTCACCCATACACAACAAGATGACAATATAGCGCCCTTTCGTAAGCAGCCAAATATCTTGCAATACATGTAATTGAGCCAGAGCAACCTTGCAATTGAAATGATAACGCTCACAAGAGACGAAACGACAGCCAGAGTTTGCCAAGAAGCGAGGTGAAAAGCTGGTCTATCGACATTTTCAGGCGAGTCGCAGTAAATAATGAAGAAATTCAGAAGAAAGCAGGGAAAATTTACCAGAATTATTGTCGACAATGAAAGATACATTTTTTCTTTATAAACCCGATCTCGCAATTTTGCATCTTGACTAAGCATCTCCTCGTCAAAGTTACCTTTAAATTCTCGGAAAGCTAACCAAACAGCCCAGAAATAAATGCCTGCTCCAATGAAACAGCAAAAGAGGAAATAAAGTACAGCTACAGTTAAACCGAATTCCTTTAGATCCTCCGGCTGGGACGCGTATTTTATGAAATTCTGCCAGTCTGTTACCAAATCGAACAAACCGACTACGACGGTTATAATTAAAAATGTCCATCTCTTGACGCTGTTGCACCATAGCGAGGTACTCTTTCTCTCCTCTTGAGTGTGTCGCCCCATAGTTGTTGAAGGCATTAGCGGCTGGCTATCTTCTTCTTCCGCCTTGGCTTTGATCATGGTTAATTAATCAAGCTCTCGCCTTGCTAAAGTTCTTTCGCCCTGCGGTGTTAGACGCGTTGTTGATAACACAATGCATCATTACAAATTAAAGAACGAGGCAAGCTTTTGATCCAACATATGGACTAATTTTACCCACCAGATGAAATAATACAATGATGGCTTTTAAAGATCACTGAAATATAGCCAGCGATATGCATTAAACTGCAGTATTAGTTTTCACTTACGGACAGAAAAATTGCTTAAATTGCACACATTTTAGAGTTTTTTGGAAATGCTAATAGCTTTCATTGTTTGCTTAACTAGATATAATTTTGTGCTTTACTGTAACCGATTGGTTAGTTTCGCCATAAAAGAAAGTGAAGTTGTCTTTATTTTTTTTGGATATATTTATGGCACCTGTCAGCTGTTTACACTTATACACAAAGTAGGGGAGAGATCTAAATCAAACGTGTAGATGTGTGCTCTCGTTGTGAATATTAAAAAAAAAGTCTCGTTCGTTTTCGCATATAAATTTGTATTATGACCAGAGATACTTTGTAACATTACATCCAGAAATAATAATGATAACGATAACATAAAAAATTTAGGAAATAAAACAACAAGCCACCTCCGTACTCCACGGGACCCCTACCCACCCTTCTCTCACCCCCTCCCCCCCACCCCCTCCCCGGCAAATTGCGTCGATTGAAATTCAGACTCGCTGCTCTTGAAGAGGCGCAAAATAAATGTCAATGTTTGTTTTGTCTTGTTTTTAAATTTTTTTTGTATCGTTTCGTTTCGTGGATCCTCAGTATTCTTAACACTTTACACTCTAACATCATTATGCATATTCTCCATACTGTTCACCATACATTTCTTAATGTGCTGGCAAGGAGAATTTGTTTAACAATCAAGAGGTTATTCAGTTGATTGTCATTTCCTCTATTCCCATGACCTTAATGTTTGATTCATGGGAGATATTGAAAGGAGAATTTAGATGTTGGTCTCTCTCAGGGATTTAAGAGTTAAAACGAACATAAGTGCTAATATCCTGTGACTTCATTGCGCGAGAACAGACGTGTTTTTTCCCTCAATAAATACAAGTCCCGGCTGTGTGTTTTATTAAAACTTTCTTTTTCGGTGAAACACGCATTTAAGGATCTTAGTGAGGTGGTAGCTAATGGTTAAATTTTGGCCACTTTACGGAGACTGTTAACCCAAAATGACATAAAATGACGCAGAGGAAGCATTTTTACGGTTAACTTTTTTTGCGTCTAATGGCTAAAATTTTGGATCGTTTTACGGCTAGCGGTTAACCCCACTGAGACCTTCTTATTTTGTATAATAGCAGGAAGATGATCTGAAGGAAAGAACGCGAGCAATATTTTTCTTTTTCACCAAAGTTTCAACAGTATATTTAACTGATTTAAGCTGGTTACGAATAACGTAAGTATTAAACTTTACCAATATGCCCCTGCATTCCATAACTCATACAAACTAAATTAGTTGTCCGTTTTTCTTTTTACTAGAAAACTAGATTATTTAGCACCGTGTACATTAAAACCCATTTTAAGGGAATCAAAGGCAAAGTGTCCTGCGATGCCTTCAAGTCAACATGGAGAAATTGTAACAATGTAACCTTGTTTTACAGAATCCATCGGTGGTCAGCTAGTGGTATACACTGGAAAACGGTTATTCTTGGCTAAAATCGATTAGCTATTATGTAGTGGTATACACAAAAAAACAGGGATCCTTAACTAAAATCAGTCAGTTATGATGTAGTTGTATACACTGAAAATAGGTATCCTTAACTAAAATCAGTCAGTTATCATGTAGTTGTATACACTGAAAACAGGTATCCTTAGCTAAAATCAGTCAGCTATCATTTAGTGGTATACACCAAAAAACAGGTATCCTTGGCTAAAATCAGTCAGTTATGATGTAGTTGTATACACTGAAAATAGGTATCCTTAGCTAAAATCAGTTAGCTATCATTTAGTGGTAGGCACTGAAAACAAGTATCCTTTGCTAAACTCAGTCAGTTATCATATAGTGGTATACACTAAAAAACAGGTATCCTTGGCTAAAATCAAAAACAGGGACCCATAGCTAAAATCAGTCAGCTATCACTTAGTGGTATACACTGAAAAACAAGGATCCTTAGCTATAATCGCTTTTGAACTGTTCTTCGGTAATATTTTGGCCTCTTCAATAATGTTACGATACATTTGACACAAGACCAGACACAAGTGACTACGATGTCCCATAAAGCTTTATGATTGTCCTCATAACACTGCTAGACTGTTGCTTGTAGCAGATTACTGTCATTCTTGCTATTGTTGTTGCCGCTTTGTTGTTGTTGTTCTTTTTCTCTGACTTCTGCGCTTCCTTCCTGTATAATGGGTATTGGAAGAGCCAACATGATGATACCTGACAGGCAGCATAACGAACCCAAAATTTTTCCCAGATCAGTGATAGGAATCATGTCACCATACCTGAAAAGCAGAATAACATTTTTCAGTTGTCTTATTTAACAAGCCACTTTTGTGTTCTTAAAACGCTCGGTTTCAAAATGAGAAGTGCGAGACGCAGCTACGGGAGCCGTGTTTGATTTCAAGAATACAAAAAAATAGTGCCTATCACAAAGTCTTTGTACCAATCCTCCTTTTAGACCAGAGGCTTCGGGTATCTCGGAAGTAGCTTCCTAACATCGAACTCACAATTTTGAAATCAGCTAAGAAAATGATATTGTAATTGGTCTGGAATTAAATTTCCAACTATAGACTGTTTTTACGGGACGTCACGTCACGTCAGCCATATTTTTGGCTCAAACTAGGGCATTTGAAAGTAGGGTCGTTTTTATCAAAGCATCCTCTTTCACTATTTCAATTTACACACCAAAAAGCGGTTTTCGGTCATGTGAGATTTTCTTAGAATTCAGTGCGTCAAACGCATATACGTAATATAAGGTTATTACGAGCAGTAATTTGTAGGATGAAGCAGTATAATGGTTTGGATTGCAACAAGTGGGAATATTATTTTTACTTCGAATCATGGAAGAAGTACTGCAACATTCATTTAGATCCTTTTGATAGGAATAGAGCAGAAAATTAGTTCGCTTTCCCTCGGGGATGAGTAACTATCGAAGTTATCGTCTGAGCCTCCCAGAGTTCGTCCGAGAGTATGGTCAAAGTTGACTCTTTAGAAATCGAGGCCACTTTTTTGATGAGAGAAAAGGATTTAAAATTTACACCTTTCACTGGCAAGTAATAATGAAGAGAACTTACCCCACTGTCATCATAGTAATAATGGTGTACCACATACTGTCTGGAATACTCTTGAATTTAGTCTTCTGTGCCTCCATTTGTTCGATGTAGTATAGCACGCTTGAAAATACCATGTTCGTCAACAGAAATGCAAAGAACAGGAACCCTAGGTCGACGATAGCGCGTTTTAACGCCCTTCCCATCTGCCTCATGTGTTTCGAATGACGTGAGAGCTTGAAAATGCGAAAGACTCGGAGCATGCGCAGGACATTTAGACTGCTCGCGTTCTCCACCGCGGACGAAGAGTCCTGAGAGAAATGATTGAATATTAGAATGACGTAAAAAGGCGTAACTGCCAGTAAATCCACGATGTTCATCTTGTTAATGATGAATTTAAGACGGTTTTCAGAGGCGTAGAGTCTAAAGATGTATTCAGCGGTGAAGAGAATCATGCAGAACGCATCCACAGCAAAAAATAAGCGAGGGTATGTTTCTTCGCAAGTTTTATCTTTACAGCACCTCTCAGTCTCGACGATTGTACCTACAACACTAATATATATGAGAATACCGAGAAAGCTTTGAATGTATCTTCCTACTCGTGGCGGATTTTCTGTGTTTTCGAGAAGGTTCCAGAAAAATTTTCGAAGGAAAGATTTTCGTGGAACTGGCTCACTGCAGGAACACTTCGAAACTTCTTGATCTTTAGAACAAATTTTCTTGGAGAGATTGTAACATTCCTCCCAGCAACATTCGTTTAGATTATCAGCTTCGATTCCGTAAAAACTCAGTTCTTCGTTGAAAGCTCCGAAGCAGTCGTCGTAGGAATAATGTAGTTTTCCATCGCGATAGTAGTTGAGAATGTAACGAAACATGTGAGGGTCTCTGTCCAGGAAGTACTCATTTTTGTCATTGTCGAAGTACCCTTTGATCGCATCGCTTCCTAACAGAGTATTTGGATGCTTTTTCAACGTGCTATCCCACGTACAAAAACGCCGACCGCTGACATTGATCGTTATTTTTTTGTCGAGTCTCTCTGTTCTTAACTTGCTGTGTCTATTTTTAGACTGGAGTGTCATTCATCAAGCCTTCAGGTAGCTTTGCAAGGGTTTTCTTTGACTAATGTTTTTGACATGGGCTGATCCTTGTAGTTAGTCTGCAACAAAAGCATAGTTGTCAAAAACAACTACGGTTGAACCCCGATAACTCGAACCCTCGGTAACTCGAATTCCCCGCTAACTCGAAGCAAAACTGATTTCCCTTGGATTTGCTTCATATATTTACTATAATTTTAACCCCTCTAACTCGAAACCCCGCGAACTCGAGGCAATTTTTATTTTCCTTCAGGTACTTTGTAATTTTACCCTCGATAATTCGACTTTCACTTTCGCGGACTAATGAACCATAAAATTTTGCACCGGAAGATTGCATATAAACTTATTTATATGTTATGACAAATTGACCTTTTTTCGATTTCATTTTCGTTTTTGTACTCTTACATTGCTAGAAATCTCACAATAAAACATGTATAAGTATAAAACCTCTTTAATCAAGTGTTTCTGGTCTTTTTATTTAAAACCCTTATAACTCGAGACCCCAATAACTCGAAGTAATTTAAATTTCACTTGGCAATTTGAGTTACTGGGGTTCAACTGTACATTAACAACAACGACAATTGCAAGAAAATGATGGTTTCGTGCGGTTACGAAATAACTATATGTGACACGCGCATGCGCGCATTGGTAAAAATTTCCGTAAACTGTAATAAAACCCAGTTTATGTGCGTGCACTCAAGCAGTTTTTTATTTCAATTTCTGCTACGACGTTATTGTGAGAATCCAATCTTCGCCATTTGCTCGGTCTGACAAGGGACTGACGCTCGAAACGTCGGCTGTAGAAAATCCTTACGGTGGCCAATATACTTAATCAGCTCAATTGATAAAAACAAATTATCTTTCAATACCCCACCGACACAGCACCACAGTTTCTTAAAAAAATCTACTTCCTTTAATAAAAAGATAACGCTGAGTGTTATATAAAAACTCTTCCTAATAGTCGCCTTCTGCTAGGTTAGAGTGTGGGATATAGGAAACTCGTTTATTTATGATGTATCAAGTGTGAGACTTTTCAAAATTCAAATTAACTTTTTTTGCATATGTGGTGTCTTACTCGTTACTCGTGGCAAAAATATCTATTGTTCAACAATAAAACTACTTTTTTTAGGAGCCAATAGGAATATCTTCAATTAAAAGCTGAAGTATTTTGAATTTCTATTGTCTCCTTTTCAGTCTGTTTGGGTTTTACGAGTGCGTGGAGGCTAAGTGGTTTCAGATTGTTTTCTACTACCTATTCAAATAAACAGTAAGGAACAAAACAAAAAGTAAACAATATAGTTTCATGAGGGGCATCGATACATAGCGACCAATGCTTGTAAAAATTTCACCATAGTTTTTAATCCCAAACTAGACTAACAGCTTCTTTTAAAGGTTAACACTAAATGCAAAGTTAAGCATACTCGAATCTTATCAAATCGTGTACGTGCTCAATGAACTGGACACTTCAAGTATGTTTACCAAGACTTTGACATTATGAAAAAAACAGTGAATGTGCAATTTCCCATTGAATTTCTCCGTTTAGTCTCTTCCTGTCATAATAGTAACTAATGCATTGTAAATTGATGTTGCATTTGTGTCGCTTTCAACGCTGTTTTGCGTCGACTTGGAAAACAATGAAAATAGTCATATGGTTAGTGTCATTAAAAGCCACCCTTGTCCAAGCTAATAATAAAAATGACCCGCTTCTACCTACTTACCTTGTGTTACGTAACCTCTTCTCTTTGAGCTCACATGTTACAACACAACCTGAAATCGACTTCTATAGCCTGTGTCCAATCCTCTTCAAAGTTTGACGATAGAAGTTCTGTGAATTGTAACCCGATAAGCATGTCGTGTAACCAATCAGCATTCGAGATGAACGGAAGTTTATACAGGGCGGAAGTTTATTGTGCATTATTATACATAATTCATTATTTCAAACGCGTAGTTGGTTTTAAAGAAAGAATTATTGACAGACGTCAAAGTAATTTGAATTTAACATGGAACTTCGTGAAAAAAATTTTTTCGAGGAAAATTGACTCGTGTCATTTTCCTTCCAAAATATCAATTTCAACCTCGTCAAAATGTAAATACGCGGCATTTAATGATAAGGCGGATTAACTAGAGAAAATTGAGACCTCGGCAAGGTAAAGTTAATTTTAGAAAAAATACCATAGAGAGAGAATTTCTGCAGAAGTAAAATTGTATTATATCATTAAAGCAATTCAAATGGAAACCAAATAATATGATTAGACCACGTCGCCATTTTCATTTGTAGTTCTCATTAGGAAGCGGAAATCTTTCATTCCCGTTATTAGCGCACGCAAATGTTATTTTTAAAATTTTTTGGGGATAATAGGAAATGTCAGTTGAAAAGGGAGGTTATCGCAAACAACGATAACAGGAACGCATTTGCCTCGGATATCGTCAAATGAGAGATGTTCAGTTTACAATTCTTTAACAACTGATTATGCCTGAAATTTTGAAGGAGGTAAATTGCAGTTTGTTGTAATGCTCTATATCCTTTACCATCCTTTTTCAGTGCTTTTGCTTGATTTTCACGTTTTTTATGTTTATCAGTAATCTCGCAAATTATGATGTGCAAGATTTGCAATAATGATTTGCAAAATAGAGGGTGAAGGTTTAATTTAGGGATCCTCCGAATTATCATCCTACAAGAATGACTTTACATCATAATCTAGCGGGTTTTTTTTTAATTCAAGTTGATAAAGTTTACATAATTTTAAGGAGAACTAGAAAAATAATATTTTTGCGTTTTAGCATACGTGTGCTTTATTTGAAATTAATCCTTCCAAGGGTCATGTCTTGGTTAACCCTCAACCGCATAATGACGTAGAATTTGGATGTCAAACAGAGTGCATTTTATATTTCTCCATCATTACGCCCACGAGAAAAGCCAGAAAAACAGTCAAACCTATCAAAGAATATCAAAAGTCCATAATTTAAGTGGTCTTCAAATCCTCTTTATAAGGATGCAAACTTTTGAACAATATAGTTTAACTATATGTGAAAGATATATTTTTGTTTTCTTTCTTAATTTTCTGCCTATTGCTCGAAACGCATTGCAAAGAACACAGCAGAATATACCAACACGCGAAGAGCTCTCAAAAACTTTCTAATTAAACTCTATAAACGGATGCCCGGAGTAGTATACGTGGTTTCAATAATTTTCCTCTGAGAACCACAAAAATATCATTATGACTCAGAATTTACCACTAAATGTCAAAATGAGAATGTTGAGTTGCAGATGTTATTGCTCAATCTCAATACCATATGCCTTACTATAAGTGTGGTGAAATGTTACTCATACGCGAACCTCTTCCATCAGTACAGGTTATAAAGAACTTGAAGAATGCAATTAATCGGGGGTCATCACGTTTTTTTTTCCGATCAGAAATAAGAACTGTATGTCAGATACACTTGTAGGTGCCATTCAATATGTGTTTGGTCAAAGTGAAAACCAGTGAATTATTTCCCTTCAACCTCCTCCACTCCCTAAAGGTTATAGAACTTCACATAATTTTTTTGCAGCGAACTGCGTTCTTTTTCTTGGTACCTGCGACAGGTATTTTGTCCGTAACGTTTTATTCATGGTACTAAATAAAGCTTTCCAACAATAAGTAGATGTCAAAGGAATCTAAAAGCAGTTGCACTATCCTACTAATAACTCTCTCTGAATTTAACGTCTGAATTCGTTCCTTCTTGAAAATATTTACATTATTTGAGGGTCAGGAAAATAAAATTCGCTATTCGAGTTACCTACGGGAACACACCTATCAAAAGCTATTCCACTGAATGTAGCAGCAGTTCAAGGGAACTGCTCAGGTGATCTCTTAGTATATCAGAGAGAGTTTTTGAGTGAATGAAATTTGAGAAAAACAAGCAAAACCAGTGGAAATAACCTTTATTCCTAAGCACATGCTGGAGAATGCAGTTCAACTTTTATGTAGACGAAGAGAAGACTATGGACGTATGTGAATAAACATTAATTTCGCTTCCCTTCGACTATTTGTTTATATTTGTCTCTCTAAAGGGGTAGAGAAGAGTTTATAAAATGCTGCTTGAATTTGGGTATTGTCAATTAAAAAAATGCTGACCTTTCATGAAGACTCCACTTGAGTGTTGATATCTTTTCTCTCGCGAGTCGACTTCGGGGGCGACCCGAATAATTCACGTTAAGAATATTCTTGAGATTATCGAACATGAGTGACACTTGACGCGGCCACCAGCTGAAAACTTTATTTGAATGATTTTTGTATAAATTTTTGAAGTACTGAGTCTGCGTTGAGACAAACTAAAATCTAAAGAGCTTTTTTAATTTCCTTCTCTGTAATTATGTGAAATAAAACTTCCAATTGAATCACATATACTTGAAATAGATGATCATATATATTTTTTTGTCAGTATTAGTAAAACAAACGGGATTTTATCTGTATTATATGTTTTTAATGGGCGTAATCCACGACGGAACTTTATGGTTTTAGCATTACATTATTGCGCTGACAGAGAAAATGTCGCCTCCCGGCAACTTAAAAGGAAAATTTCATGAATTATTTTAATTCATATTTGAGGCTCATTTGCCTCTTAACTTTGGTGAAATTGAATCGTTTCAGTAAATTACCACAGTCCCCTTTTTTGCCTGATTGAACTTGCTATGACAAATTTAAGTATTTTGAAGTGTTTTTTCTTCTGAAGTCTTCCGCTGTTCAGAAAAGAAAAACTCTGGGCCTATATGGAAATAAATTGCACATAGTACCGCGGATCTGTTCCTAAATAGGTCCTCACATTTGTGACAGAGTAATCCTTTACTTAAGATGATAAAACAAAAATAATACTCAACTTTTAGCTTTTGCAATTTTCATTAAACAAGAGACAAAATTTGTTAATATTCAGTTGCTCTTGTTCCTTTAGAGAAAACGTAGATAATTCACTTTTTTCGACGGAAATGAATCTTTTTTGGATAATGTGAAATAGTTTGTTTACGGGTGCCATTTTCATTCAGGTTTTGTTACATGCAAACTATATTGCTACTTCTACGACGCA